TTTCCATTTAAAGACTCAGAGAAGGAAGAGCTCAAGGACTCCACTGAATGTTTGACCATGTGAGGATTGAAGCGGGCGGAGCCAGTGAGCCACAGGAACATGTTGACCTTATAAGGACAGCAGGGGGAGGAGTTGTGAGACTTAGTATGGACAAATGAAGTGTTAAAATGTACCCGGTGTAGTGGAGGCGGTCGTGTCTGGAATTGTTTGACAATTTCCATCCCAAAAGCAAAAACCAAGGAGGGATGCAAAATGGCGACCGTCTTGGCTGCAAGTGGGAGCTCTGTGAAATCAAAGGGTTATTTTTATAATCTGAGCTAGGGCGTTTGGTTTGTGTAATCCTCTGTCCCGGCTGTTTCTCCGTTTGGCTTCTCTATACCACAAATTTTAAGTTTAAAGATCCAAGGACTTGAGAAAAAAAGTGCCACTCAAGGAACGAAGAGTTTTGGATTACCGAAGAATATAAGTGAAGTAATGAAATGTTCCTGTAGTTTTGTTTTTTTTTGCCACTAAACCCTTTTGGAAGTACAGCTTGGCTTCTTCAGGACGTTTCGTGACCACTGTCGCCTTTTGTTTTAAAGCAAAGTCTATGACCTGTCAGAGTACAGCAGATTTGTCTGATCTGAGGTCAGTTTTTCTGTCAATGCCAACCAGGAAATCTGGTCTGAAGTGTAAAGCTGAAGCTTGGGGTATACTTTTAACCACCAATAATCAACCAATGAAAACCCACTACGGTACGCACCACTGGCCAATCAGGGGTCTTGGTTTATCTTAAAGGCACATGTAAGAAGAGTGAATTCAGGGTACGATGAGTTAAGTCCAAAAACCGTGGCCAAATGTTGTTTTTCATATCAGAGTGTGTCTTTCTACGCTGATGACACTGTTATTTTGTTGAGTATTATTTCGTAAATGCAGGCTTTACACAGAGACTTTGCATTTACATTTACAACATGAAATTTATCTTTTTATCGGACTGATACAGTGCCACTTATTGTTTCTGTAAAGTGTTTATCAGGGTTGTCCATGATGTCATGTCCCGTGTGTGAGTTATGGACGCCGTTGCGCCTCGTGCTTAATGACAGCTTGTTTTTATTCTCTGTGAAAAATCATGGCGACCTTTAATCATGTGGCCTAAAGACACTTAAGTGTTTAGTTTTTGGTTTTATAATCTGTATGATTTTACTTCTTTTGCATACACAAATACATATGTCATAATGTTCTCGAGATCTGTTCAATCATATAATAGCTGGTTTATGTCTGGCTTTGCTCTGAGCTGCACAAACCCTGTTGAAGAAAATGATGTGAGGGAAAACTGTGTAAACTAGTGAACTGAGTAGTAGAAGTCCTGCAACAGTCCTTGGGTTAAAGTGCCATTACACCACTAAAGTGTAATTTCTTTCCTCTCGTGCTATGTATTAATCATTGTCACCATAGAATTATCATATATTTGCATTATTCTTTGCCTTCTGAGCCCAGACGACGTGCTTTATGTAGAGCTTGAGTTAATATCTAAGAGTAAATATGCAGTTTGTGAGCTGGGTGATGAACCTCCCCTGACCTTTAAGGAAAGGGAGATTTTTGCTGCAGAAGTTTTGTGTTTTTATTTCTCTTTTTGTCCAGATGGATTTATCGAGATGGATTTATTGATTTATTTGAGGTTACAAGTCTCACAAACTGCATCTTTCAGATCTGAAGCAATATGACTTTAAAGGCTAGTGCTGCTTCTTTGTACTTCTTGGACTTACGATGGACGTACTGCAAGGTTCTGGTACCGCATAACTTCTAGATACAAAGACTGAAATAAACACATCATAGCTGTTTTTGCTTTTTTTATTTTCACAAGCTTTCTTGTAAACATCTCTTGGTCAGAAATGAAAACCTCTTTTGTGCCAAATATTGTCAAGAACCTACCCTTGTGCATTGACATTTGAGTTGTAAGATGAGTTAAGAAATAAGAGGAACAAACTGTCTAATAGTATATTAAAACTTGGTGGTACTTTTATCAAAAAACTGTTGAAATTCGATTTTCTTTGGAGGTTTCAATGCTCAGAGATTCAGAGCTGAGTTGCTTATTTTCAGCAGCCAAACATGAAATTCTGTTTGAAGAAATGTGCGTATATTTTCCAATTTGGACTATAATTCCTGCTTACTCTACGATAATGGTTCATACATTACGATACATCGGATTCATGAGGAAGACAATATTTGTCACTTCGAAAAGGCTCTAACTCTACTTTACCGCCAACACTAGCTTCTGTCTGCCTTCTTTTTGCCACCGTTGAGTGCCTTAAAGAGTAGAAGTGAAAGAAGTTTTGGAAGAAAAAGCCAAAAAATAAACAAGTTAAAGATGTTTTACTGCACGTTTTTGGTTCCTAAACTGCAGAGTCACGAAGGAAAGCAGCATTTTTTAATGGTGGGAAGACCACTGTCAATTTTTCTCTCTTAATAGCTAGACAAAAAATTAAATGGCAAATACTTTTAGAAAAAAATTCAACCCAGTGAATCAGTTCAAAAGTTATTGGTTTAGATAGATAAAGAGCAGGTATAATGAAGTGTACTAAACAAAACATGTATATGGTGAGGAGTCAACACAAAAGGTTTATACTGTACAATCTATTTCTCACTAAAGGATTAGTTTTGAAATACTAAATGTAAATTCTATGCTTTGTTGGTGTGAAGGTTCTGCAACAATTTTAATAAAGTCTAGCTGTTGTGTAGCTCAACAACCGAGCAATTGAGAATGGGGTCTAATTAATACAGTTGGGATAATAGTCCCAAAGCTTGATTTATGCTGCTTGGTAATTACTAAGATCTTACCGTCAAAAACTTCTATATGGCTGTACAACATTCATGGAAGTCGAAGCAAACAGGAAATCTTCCAAAGACCTGACCATCTTATTTAGTCCAGCCTGAACGGTCTACACTGGCTACAAATCCTTAAAAGACTAGGCCCTTCTCAGGATCTTACCTTTTGATTTGGGCCAATTAGTGACTTCTTCAGGTGTTTGGTATCCTAGCAACAATTTTACACATTATTGATGTCTGAACTAGGAAAGACTGAAACTCAACAAAGCATTCAGCAAGGACTTTTAAGTTGAAACCTAATGGACTCATGAATCATTGCTGCAATACAATCCTGAGTTCTGGCGCTCTACCGAAGCTAACATCATTTATGCTAATATAAGTAGTTAAAAATACGGGGCAGATCACGAAGGACTCCTTTTTAGCTGCTTTCCCAAGTGTCAAGACAATTTGAACCTCTCTTCTACTCATCATTTTCTTTGCTGAAATGTTATTTCCCAAAGAATTTTATCAACAGTGTGGACGGTTTTATTCAGATCAATGTGTTGGTTAAACTAACACGCCACTATGAAATCTGTAAATTCCCAAAGCTCCAGTAGAGTTTAATAAGTGTTCGAAGATGTGACCTGCGTATGTGATGTTTCGTTGAGTGGTTTTCAGGGTCAAAAAGGTACCAGAAAGTGTACGTACTGTATTTGTCCACTGTTTGAGGATGTGTGTGTCAATGGTGTTACATTGAAGTGTATTCAAAGTTTATGTTTTGAGGCACAAGTATAAAATTTTTTAAGGTTTTGGATGTGAGAACAAATCCTCTGATGTGGTACTAATGTTTTTACCGACGTCACAAAAGGTTAAATATGTTTATACCATTGTACGGCAGTTTGTACATCAAATACAACTTTCCCATTGTTTATTCTTGTAACACCATAATAGGAAACAAATGTTTTGGATGGACTGGACCGAGTGTGGACTTTTGAAGCGAACAAGAAACAGCACTACCAGTGACCAGGAAACTCATGGTCTGGACTGAACTGGAGCCCAAATCGGTGACTCTTCTGTTGAAGTGGAGAAGTGGGCACAAAATCCAAATCCAGATCCAGGATGTCCAAATATCCAATAAAAGACATTTATACAAATTGTACCTTGTATGTTTGTTTTGGTGTTTCTCTTTTTCCCTCTCCAGACTTATTCATGTCAGTTTTACCACCTCTTTAGACAACTCCAGATTAAATTAGGGTCAATTAGGTTTAAAAACTAGAGGAACTATTTGGTTGTTCCGGCCCTCAGTTGGATGAACAGATCGATATCAGTTTCGCGTCTGTAAATTACACAATGAACTGATAGTGGGAGGAGATTGGTTTACTTTAGTATAAAGACTGGACAGTGAGGGGGGCCATCACCACATGTTCGGCACAAACTAAGGTGGGCTCATTCTTCCAGCCTTTCAGTGTATTTAAGAGATTTAGGGATTTGTTATGTTTGCACGCTGGTAAGAGCGTTAAAAGATTAGATTTCAAGCAGCTACACTGATTTGATTTCCTCACGAAATCAAACTCCTGTCGCTAAATTGAATCAAATAAAAAGTAAACTCTCAGTGGAAACAGGACAGAGTCTGTGTGAAGGGTGTTTCTTTCAGCTGCTCTCCTCCCCTGGAGAGCACGGGTATTTTTAAATACAGCCCTCTTTATACTCATTCACCTGAAAGTTCCCCCTCGCACAACCATGCTGACTGTGTCTATGTGTGTGTGTGGACAAGGCCTCCTGTTGTAGCTTTATTGACACTGCATTAATGACACACACACGAGGTAAGGTAAGGGGAAGCTTAACAGACTTGGGAAACCAATACTGGTGTGGTTCAAATCAAGAACTCCACTTTCATACTTTTTATATCAGGAGATAAACAACTTCTCAATAATGACCATTCAAGTCCATCACTCTAAACACAGCAGCGTTTGAGTAAATATTAGACATAAGGATCTCCTAATGCTGCATGACCGAATTGATTGCAATTTATGACAAGTTCATCAAGCAGTTAATTAAGCTAGGCAGCTTTTAAGTTATTAAATCAATACTTACTCATGCACAGTAAGATCAAATGCAAAGGATCAAAGCTTTTTTTAGATATAAGTCTTTGTTGTGCAAAGAGCATGCCTGCCTTTACATTTCTGAAATAAAGAACATAATTTTACTAAGAAATCAGTCAGCAGAGATGATGTAGGTTTTTAATTCATGTTGCAATCTGTTCACAAATTGGCAATACAAAGCGATCAATATTGAGATGTGAAAGAGTTGACACATATTAAGACTTTAATCGTACCTTTAAATACATAACAAGTCTGTGGATGGATTGATCACTGCAGTGTGATTTGTTATATTTCCCAAAATTCACTCGATACAGCATCCAGACAAAGACTGAACATGAACATTCAAAACTCTTTCCTTGAAATAAAACGACATAAATGTTGAAATGAGTAAATCTAGGCTTTGTGAGCTTGTAAAAAAAATGACAATAATCCATCTTTTAAATTTCAGACAAAAACTGCAACAGATAAGAGTAAAAATTAAATAAAGGAAGTAAAAGAAGACTGAATCTATAAATTGAAATGCTAAAAAAACACATAAGAAAACTTATAAAATTACCTCAAAGATTAAAATCATGGACCAACTTTTACTGCTGTTTGATCTATGATAACAGATTTGTTCAAAGGCTCGGTTGTTCCAACATTTTGTACCGCTCATACTGTCTGCGAGTAAACAAAAGTTTGTAAGCATTCATGAAATTGCAGAATGAGTTTTTGCAATTATTAAATTTACTGTTAAAAGCTTTCTGTCTGTTTCAACCATGATGACAAAGTCACAGAGCCTGAGTTGACTCTTAGACTTTTTCCCTGCTTTTCGATGTTATCAAACATGAGATGGCAGTACCATGAGTATTTAACTTTTCAATAATGACAAAACAGAAACATGAAAATGATGACAGAATAAACCCTGTTAGCCCAGGTTTGTTTCTGACTGAGTATTCGGTAAAGTGTCAGCTTTCTATCACTAATAACGTCTTCATTCTGTTTTAGTCGTGCACTTTGGATTACACTGAAATCAGGTTTGGATAATGCTGGCTGATTGTTGTGGCAGGTGTCTGCTGAAGTCATTTATGTGGACAGGATGAAATGTGTAAGACAAAACCAGTGCTGAGGTAAAAAAAAAAAAAAAAAAAAAAGTGTTTCGTGTGTTTAGATTAGCTACAGGACAGCACAACAACAACAACAAAAACAGAATAATTTGAACACAGCCACTCTCCTGCTGATAAAACCTAAAAAGCATTCATAACTAAAAAGCAGCTGCATGTCAGAGATTTGGAGCAGATAGTAGACATTGACAGGACTGTTCAGGATCCAGAGACAGGATCCAAAAAGCTTGGTTGATTTTCCCCCGTCTCTCTTTCTACTTTCTCAACAACATCTCTGCTCAGAGTACAGAATACAAACACACAGCAGATCAGGCTTTATACTGAACATTTTCAAGTGAGCTGCCAAAGCAGGAAAAATAATTTGAACGATATTATCACTTTTACTTTGTTTTCACGGCAGCCGCATTAGAAAGTCATGCCTTGAACAGTCCTCTAACTCTGCCCACCCTGTGTTGACCGACACCATTTGTCTCCTTTTGATTAACTGGGAGGAAAACACTCCCACCAGCTATATCAAAGGTCACCCAGTCCATAAACACAAACAAAGTGAAGAAAGCTTGATTAGCCCTCCTGCTTCCAGCCTGTGTGAGATTGAAAAAGGCGGTACTGTTTGATTTATAGTCAAATAAGAAAGCTTCAAAAGTCCTGCTAGTAATAAACCATGAAAAGAGCGTGATGAGCAGATGATGACTTTACATGCCCTCTACTCCTGTCCAGGATAAATTCTTTACTCTCCTGCAAAAATACTCATAAAAATATAAAAAGTATTTATAAAAAAAAGTTCATCACAGCCAGTAGCCAATGTCAGGAGTCCGTGCAGTTGACCGACAGAGTCAGTCTATGGTCTTTGAGCCAGGCGGCTTTTCCCCTCCTCCTGCTCGGCCAACTTGAAATGGGTGTAAGACAAGATTCCTGCCAGGGTGCAAAAGATCCCCAGAGCCTGAAGGTGGGAGAGGAGACAGACAGACGGACAGACAGACAGACAGACAGACAGACAGGTTGAGAGTTAAAGGTTTGGTAGAAATGACAATGGGAGAAGAGTTTGGAGCATCAGAACAGCTCAGCAAGACTCACCTGGTTCAGTGACATCGGGTCGTGGAAGAGCACATATCCTCCAACCAGAGTGATGCAGAATTTAAAGTGACCAAACATGTTGTAGCTGGAAACTAGAGTCAGGACAACAACACATGAAAAATTCATCTTAGCAATCTCCTGAGAAGACTGGAAACTCTCAAGAAACTCTGAAACCTTTCAGTAAGATTGGAGAGTGTTTCACCGAGCCCTCAAACCTCTTGAAACCTTCAAAGATCTCAAACTTCCTCCTCCACAAGAAGGAAGGGGTTGTTCTCCAAACAACCCCATCAGGAAGAGCAGAAAGCATCAGAGGAATTTGTAACCCTTTTAGCAAGACCAGAACGCATTTACTGTAGCCCTCAAACCCAACCTCGTAAACCAGAACGCCTTCAGAAAACCAAAACCACCAAAGAAACTTTCCACCACTTCAATTCACCAAAAAGACCTACTCAAGAAATTCTGAAATATGTCTTTAATTATCATAAAGCTTCTTACAAAATTTTAAACCTCTTTTAAGATAGAACTTAAAACTCCTCAAGACCCATAATACCCCCCCTAACAGGTCTTTGCACTTGCATCAAAGGATACGTGACAGCTGAGGTGTTTCCAATGATCCAGTAGATGGACAGGTTGACCAGGAACGCCACCACACCTGAGAACAACACTGTCACCTTGAAGGAGTAAAAGGAAGCACTTTTAGCTGAGAAATATCTGTTAAGTGAGTATTTTAACAGTGAAATGTGTGTCACATTAGTCTGACCAGAGCCGGCAGAGACCAGGGTCCAAATATTCCTCCATCTCCAGTCAGCGGCTCGAACACAGGAATGACACAGAGCAGGAAGCCTGAAGACAGAGGAGCCTGACGAGACAGTCGCTGTGTTATCACTGCTGTCATTTTATGATGTGATTTATGAACATGCGCAAAAAGAGGCTAAAAACGGGTCCCACCTTCAACTGAACAATTTCCAGTTCAGGTCTAAAATATACTGGAATCTGTCCTTTATCCTTCAAACTCAATGCTTTCCCATCAGCAATTGATATTTTAAATAAACTTCAGTTTTAGGCTTGATTTTATGTCTTAAATTTTAGTCATTGCATACTACACTTCTATGCTTATTGTTCTTTGATTTATTTGCACAACAAAGGTTGTCTATCTTGTGTTTTTTTTGTTGTTGTACTTTACGATAACCACACTGGGGGAAGTTCCAATCAACTGTTGAGCTGACAAGGCAATAAAACTCTGGAATGAACTGAACTGAATTGAGAAATGACCTTCAAGTACAGACCAACAATTCCCTAGTCAGTACCCCAATGAAAGTAAACAAATCTTATGACAGTCTCAAGTCAAGTTCAAAAAGTGCCAATCAAGTTCTCACTTAAAACCAAGAAATTTTAAGTAAAAAAAACAAAAACGCTGACTCCTATTAAAAAGTCCTAAAATGGAACAATTAATTCTAATCTTAAGTCTCAAATCTAGGAAAAGAAGTCCTGAATCAGTCCCACATAGAGGCCAAAACATCAGAGATGAGGTCCCAAATGAAGGGGACCAAGTCCAGAACCAAATAATGGGGCAAAAGTTCAAGTCAAGGTCTGAAATACGCAGCATCATCATCATCAGAGCCAGAATTGACTAAGTTATAGTAAAACAACACTACTACTACTTCTACTGTGTAGCACACTAATAATTTAAAAAAAGTAAACTGATAAGACTCTATATCAGACAATATTGAGCTTTAAGTGGACCTTGTACTGCTAGATCAATTGCTGAGTCATACCTGATAGTACAGGAGCTGCATGGAGTTCACCTGGAGCTCATGTTGTTTGGCTCCAACCCACTGAGAGACACACAGACATCAGGGTTAGTTTATTTATTTCAAACTGCCGCCTCTAAGATATTTTATGTTATTTTAAGCATTTACTCACCACTTGGTAAAGTGACGTCACCAGCACACCCAATGTTGCAAACACTGTCCCCAACAGGTTGAACCGCACATCATAGTATGAGTTCAGTATCACGCCTAGTGTTATAGGAACCTGGAAAAACAGACAAGTGGGGATTTAAAATACTCTAATTGCCTATTTTAGCTTATTACATGTCTTCAGTAAGAAGGGAAATGAAGCTTATTTGCCGGAAATCCATGAACTTTAAAATCTTCTACAAGAATCCTGAAACCAACCTATGTCTGCACCAAGAAAGAGTTAGATTTAGCTTTTGAATTCTTGAAATTTTCCTACCAATGTCAGCTTAATCTTTGTGGAGAAGGTCTTCTTGTAGTAAGTGGTCTGGATGAGGATGATGACTGGTGTAGTCATGGCTTTAGCCAGCTGATATGTTCCTATTGAGTTGTTCTGCAGGGAAAGGTTGGTAAAGGCCACAAACCCACAGAAGCTCAAAGCCAACCATACAATCCTTTTGATTGGCAGGCTTTTTGGAGAGAAAATGTCCATTTTTTGGCAGATGTAGAGTCCCAGCCAGGTGACCACAAAGTGAACAAGGGTCAGGGTCATGTTGGGAAACCCATAGTGTACATATATCCACTTGTTGATGAAGACAATGCAGATAGAGGAGAATAGATTGACCAGTAGGCCAGCGATGATGCGCCCGTTGGCTGACAAACTCAATATTGTCCCAACCATGGTTTCGAAGGTGTGCTAGCTCGCCCTACCCTAGATGACTTTCGTTCAAACTTGTTCACACTGCAAAAAAGAAAAATTACTATTAGATTTTCCACTGATATTACAATATAAGGAATACAAAATTAGAGATGCACCAATCCATTTTTTTCCAATCCGATACCGATACCTGGGCTGAGCATATCGGCCGATATCTGATACCGATCCAATACTACTGTTGAATAAATGACCTGTAAACCTTGCCGTGTGAGTGAAGGCATTAGACTTGACATTAGCCTTGTTTTATAGGCTATTAAAGGTAACAAATTAACACAGATATAAATTTACTTAGTATTATATATTAACAAATAAATTGCACATAAGCACACATCAAAAAGAAGTAAGACTTCCATGTAAACATTTAGTGCAAAAGGATAGACAGACCTAGAATATAGAGCGAACAGAATCGCTGTGTTGCTGTGTATGATATCAAAAGAAAAAAAATACTAGATCGGAATGCTGGATGGGTGTCATTCATCAGATATCCGACCCAGTTAATTTGCCAATATCAGAGCCAATATCCAATTCAAATATCGGATCGGTGCATCCCTATACAAAATTTGATCTTGCTAATGCCAGACAAAAGATTTTTAGACCCAATGGACACAAATAAAGACAATTTGGTTCTGCTACAATAATGACTTTCAATAAACATTCAGTAACATTTCTGTTGTCTTTACTACTACCCTTTAAAATACTTCCATATGGCAGGCATGTTGAAACTTGTTATTGTTGAGCAAACTGTCAACTTCTTGGCCCGACTTAGAAGCAGAAATTTGGTAGTTTTCTTGGGTTTAACTTACTTACATCTCAAGTTATAAAACATGTTCAAAGTTAGAGCAAACAGTCACCGGTTCAAATATCGTAACGTTTGAAGAACATCGTGTAACGGTCGATAACGGTCAACGGTTTTAGTAAGCTTATCGAAAGGGGTGATAACAGGGCAGATCGAATATCTCCGATCAAAAGTAATCTGCAGAGTTAAAATAGTGTACTTTACTACTCTCCACTAAATTATGACGCAAGTATAAGATCGTTTCAGATGTGCAACTCGTCACTGTAAAAGAAACAGTGTTTTTTAAAGGGAGTTTGGCGTGATGCTCTGTATGTGATTACGATCGGTCTGTCTGTCTGTCCCTCTGGGTGCCAGTCTGTCTGTCATTCTGCCACGCATTAAGAAAAGTTTACCTGGGGTCTCCATCTTCCCACCTGTCACCCTTTCCGTTACACTTGCTCTGCCTCGCTCCGGCCAAACAAAAACTCTCGTGAGGTACCGGGTCGTGAATGCGTCTCCACCCGGCGGCCAGAGTTCTAGTCCCGGCCTTTGCAGTAAGGAATCCCGGCTGCCGTTCTGGAGCAACTCCTTCCCTGCTCCCCTCCTGTACTCAACAGCAGTGATTTGTGCTTCCAAGCCGCTCTGTATGTTCCTGTTTCCTCCGTGTTTGACACCGTGTACTGAAAAACAGCGTCCCTCAGTGGACTGGAGGTACTGGTAGTCGATGAAGTGTGCGCTTCAGGTCGTTGTAGGAATCCATGGTAATATTAGGTGCGGTGGCTTTTAAATAGATTGAGATTCGAAATAATAAAAGATACCATAGTGCTTCTGTTTCTTTTAAGATTCAATACTTAAACATACTAAACAACTGATGGAGTTCTTTACCCAGAGAATTTTTTTTACCGAGGGAAAAAAAGAGGAACTTTCTAAAAAGAAAATCCTCCGAAATGAACCTGAACTGTAGGTGGCGGTAAGAAACCATGTATGGTCTTCTGCAGTGTGCACAAAATTCAACAGAAGAAGAAGAGGCGGCGTACACACGAAGAAGAAAACAGTTCAGCCTCGTGAAGCGGGAATTGACAGCTCACTACCATGGACTGGTAAAACACTTGATTTTGACTCTTAAATCAGCGTTTTAGATCCTTTCTTCGCAGTAATATCAACAAACCGATAGCGTGTTATATAACTGACAACCTCCGCCACAATGTGTACCTTTGTTAGCTGAAGCCGACGGTGCTTCCTCTGTGTTTATTATCCCTGTAGATGCTAACCTGTAAGCCCCAGATACCCGGTTTGTGTACAAATAATGTGAAATATTCAGTAATATTTGATAATGGAGGCCTTATAATTCAGTTCCTATAATCAAACACTGCGAATGTCACTCAATGGTCATCATGGAGAGCGTTTGGAGGCTTGTGTGAACATAAAGAAACTGCTAATATTAGCCGCTTAATGTGAAAGGCAGAAAAATTTGACTCTAAATGTCCAGAATTAACTTTTTTATGGTCATTGAAGCTCATAAGAGGTGAATTCTCCTCGTTTGTATGACTTAGTGCTTTCAGACATTTTAATAATAAGTCAACTTTGTACCTATCTCACAGCACATCCATCTCCCAAAGCAGACAACAAAAACAGACTCAATACCTGATCGCATACTTGAATAGAAAAATTAACTAAAAGCACAGAAAAACAGTGGAGGTGTGCAAGATGAATATACATGCAAGATGATTAAATGTATTTAACTTTGCTAAATATATTGCTTTGTGTCTTCTTGTCTCTCAGGGGTCAGAGTGAGCTGCCGTCCCCAGTGGTTCGAGATGATGAGGTGACCATCGCTGCTCGCAGGAGGAGGAAGAAGGTGGCCTGTATCCTTCATAAAAGGGAATTGTAGAGACTGCTTTCCTTCAACAAAGAGGCCGCTTGGGTTTAGGTTCACTTGCATCTCTAACTCGTTCAATTATCAGTCTGGTTTGAGTATTAGAAAATGATTTATTGTTCAAAAAAGGAAAGAAAGGATGCTGATCCAGGTCTTTCTGTTATTAAAGCTCAGAAAACTTCCATGCACTGTGGGTGCTTCTTTGGAACAGCAGCAGCATGTCACACAGATATACAGGACCTCGTCTCTGCCTCAAGCGACTTTTTAAAGATACTAGGAAAGCTGCAGTAGACATGCTGAAATGAGGTTAAAACAGGATGAGTGAAACGGTCAACAGAAAAGTATAAGAGCTTACCACAACCCATATCTGACTACACCAGTGAGATTTAGATAACCTGACAAACATCCCAAAACCAAACCCTTCAGTGACGAATCCCCAGAAGTGACGCACCTATTAGAAATCATAGTTTAAACAAATATATTTTGGCTCCTACAGGAATGATTGCATCTCTGTGTTAAACTTCCCTTTTTCTATCTTGAATTGATGTGGACATTTATGATGGCATTACCTTGTTGTGAAAGTATATTAATATTTAAACAATTGCTTAGTTGAACTGTTTCTAATTTGTGTTATTTGCTTTTTTTCTTTGCTTGCTTTTATAAAATCCTACTTACACACCTACAAGACATGATTTGTGCAGGTAAATCTGCAGCACTGTTGATGAGTAATGTCAGAGCTGTCACTTTGGTTGTTTTCCTGACCCTCGCTTTCAGTCCCATCCCCAGGTGGAGGCAGCCCCATTATGTCAACCGTGACACCGGCCCGTTCCATGCTGAGGAACACTCCAGCGTCACTCTACAGACAGGCTGGTATGACAAACACCACCCGCATATTTTGTCTGGGTTCTAGTCATTATTGGTCATCCTCAAGTTCCTAACCGCTCCATATTTGGTCGAAATACTGCTTCAGTTTCATATATCTCTGTCTGTCTCTCTCAGTGACTCCCCGGGTTCTAGATGTTTCTTCCATTTTGGCTCCAGGAGGACGAACTCCTCGATACACACAAAGCGTAAAAGGAGGACTCAGCAGCATGGTAAAGGACACTCTTCATGAATTGAAACTTGGTTTCTTACATAGACTGTATATACTGTAGACAACTTGGTTCCGCGCCCCACCTGTATAAGGATTTGAAGCCAAAAAGCTCTCTGTATTTCTGTGATTTTTCTTGATCTCCTGAAACCAGCGTTGCACAGTAGCATTGTGCGCATTTGGCGGGAGAGTCGTTGTGGTGACGCTCGGTTCAAACAGCATATCCCCCGGAAGAGCTACGCAATCCCTGAATGCCAATAGGCTGTATCAGGTGTCAGTCAAAGAAAACAAGAACCCCTAATAACTTTTAAAAGCGGAGCTCCACAGAAAAAAAAGGACTTGAGTACAAACCGGTCGTAACTACATGTCAACATCACAAGCAGGGGGAGAAAAATTTGTGACCTATACTGCAGCCCGTCAACAGAGGGTGCTGTTCTTGGAGTGGCTTTACCCAGCGAGGAGGCAGACGCTGTCCATTCTATATACAGTCTATGGTTTCTTATCTTTTACTTCTCTTACTTTTGCGGAAATACTCCATCTGAAATTGTTCTTTCCCCTCTGTTTAGGGTGAGTTTTATTCACAAAAATGATATTTAATTGTGTCAGTAACTTTTTACACATCTAGGTTGGAAATGGGAGATTAAATATTTCTTAGTTTTAGGAGCTGTGAAAGGCCCAGATATTCTGAAGTTATTAGAAGTAAACATAATAGATATGAATCGTGATCTTGTTTTTTGTGCAGAACATGGACGACAGTGATTGGACGAACACCATGTACACTTCCCCTGTCTCTGGACCGGAGAACTCCAGCTTCTTCACAGAGGACATCGCCAACATGAGCTCAGCCTTACTGAAGGAGGACGACCCAGGAGAGGCTGGTGAGTCCAACAAACTTAACACTTAACACTTCTGCTGCTTAACTAGGTTAACTGTATTCCTGTTAAAACTGTATCCTTACATCTCCTCAGCGGCTGCCAGTTTGTTCCCAGAGTTCCTCGGTTCCTTTCTGAAGCACTCTTCCACTGCTGTGTTTGAGCTGCTGGAGGATTACCAGAATCTCTGCCAGGATAAGGTAGGCCTCAGTTTGCTTGTCATAATCACTGCAAACATTGGTAAATAACAAGCATGGCTCTATCCATGCTCAAAAGTGAAGCCATAAGCATCTCTTAAGTCCATTTATTAGCTAACTATGTGACATGTTTCTGTCTCAGGTGGACATGCTGCAGTCTGTGGTCCTCAGGGCGGGTCAGAACAGTAAAACAGCAGGTGTCCGCTGGCTGCTGCAGCAGGAGAACTGCACCTGGAGACTCATCACCTCTTTATACAGGTGCCAGTCTCACCTGCCTGACCATTTCACCGTCTGTTTATCTACTTTGTGTTTGTACTGACTTGTTGTTTTTCTGCAGGGATCGAGTCCAGCTGGCAATGGAAGATGACATGTTGACAGACACAGTGGTGGGTGACGATTAACACTGACAGCTAACATTCAAACACACACAACCTGAGTCCCAAAGTCCTCCTTAAACCCGGAGGTTCCTAGTCTTTAACTGTCTGTCATCATGTCTTTGTAGATTCCCAATGAGAGTGAGAAGGTGGTGGTGGAGCAGCTCTTTCAGCGGGATGCTATTATAAGACAGAGTCAGGTCAGATTCACCGTCTGAGTTAGGTTTTTATTGTTGTTGTCATTGCTTGTTGCTCATTTCCTGATCACTGTGTCGCAGCTGGTGGTTGATTGGTTGGAGAGCATCGCCAAGGATCAGATTGGAAATTTTTCAGACAATATCGAATTCTACGCCAAAAATGTCTGCTGGTGAGTTTCCTAATATCTCTGTTTTTTTTTTATTTCACTTCTACAGCAAAGACTTTGTGTCAATGTGTGCCTGTGTGTGTGTGTGTGTGTGTGTGTGACAGGGAGAACACTCTTCATGCGCTGAAGCTAAGGAGGAAGAGCGGAGCTGGCCTCACTGTACCCCTGGTCACTGAGCTGGTGAGGCTTGTCACCAAGACAAAGGACAGATCCTCATTCCTAGTATTCCAAAGACATGCGGTACATGAAGCGTTTGTTTTTGTGTGTTTGCTCAGGACCCAGATGCTCCTCTTCGCCAGCAGCGCCCCCTGGCTGACCTGGACAGAGAGGACGATGCTCGTCTTCTCAAGAACCTGTTCAACCTGATCCGAGCGGGGATGACTGATGAGGTAGAGAGACACCGAGGCAAACAAAGAGAGATTTGATCTGTATTTAAAGGGCCAGTCCACCCAAACTTTCTGGGATTTGAAATTCTGAGGGTAAGGGTGTTACAGAATAGAAATTTGTGTGACTATTTTCAGGCTCAGAGGCTGTGCAAGCGCTGCGGTCAGGCCTGGAGGGCAGCAACTCTGGAAGGATGGAAACTCTACCACGATCCCAACATGAACTCAGGTAACCTCTGACTCCAGTTTGATCAGAATTTTATTTTTAACAGTCTCTGAATGTGTATGACTCTCTGATAACCATATGCATATTAAAAAATGTAAATTTTTTTCCTGTCTAATTTTTGAGCCATTTTTAGTAGCTCTGGCTCAGAATTTTCAAAAATGTATGCTTTTGCGGTATAAAAAATCTAACCCTTCTTTCTCTCTTTTCTCCACAGTCAGTAAAGAGCTGCTGCCAGTTGAAGGAAACCCTCAAAGAGGAATCTGGAAGGCCTGCTGCTGGAGAATGGCTGAAGAGGTACAAAATGAGGACACAGAAAAACGAAAACTTCACAACAAGTTTTTCTTAAACCGTCTGCAAAGCTTTTAACCTGCTGTATGTGTGTGTGTTTGTATTTTTAGGAGCAGCTGAACAGATACGAGAGAGCGATCTATGCCAGCCTGAGTGGAAACCTCAAACCAGTATAAAGAAATTTACTTCTGCACCTTATTCAGTCTCTGTCTTGTTGATGTCATAACTTACGGGCTTGATTTTCTTCCTCAGACCAGACTTAAAGTCAAAATTTCTAAAAAGAGTCACTTCTTCTTTAAAAAAATCAGGTATTATACACCAACCGTTTGTGCGTGTTTGTGTGTGTTTGTTTGTGTCAGCTCCTGGCAGTGTGTGAGACGTGGGAGGATTGTGTTTGGGCGCACTTCAGAGTGATGGTGGACTCGCTGGTGGAAAAAGATCTGATGTCATCGGGGATGGCTCACCAGGAGGTGGAGACACTGCCACGAGAATATCTGGAGGCCAAGTAAGACAAATAATATTCAGTTTAAGGTTCATTTTAAGGTGATCTATTATTCACAAATTTTCTGACTTTTCCTGCTATCAAAACATACTTTTTTGACATATGAAGTTAAAATATAAAGAATTTTATCATTGTTGTTTATAAATGATTGAATTTATGAGTCAAGAGGACTCTAATCTCCCTGCTTAAGCTGCGTTTATGAGACAAATGTGACACATATGGGACTTTGGTGTGACTCTGAACCTAGAAAAATAATTTGATGTTTGTCTTGTACAGGCAGACTGAAAAAATGCAAAGTTGGCCCCAATTTATTCTGTCTTTTTGTCCTTTTTGGAACAAAAAATGAACACCATTATGTCTTTCTCCTTAGTTGGACCATGGATAAAGTGTTTGAAGAGCTTCAAGCTTCAGAATCAAAGGTGAAAATCTTACACTGGCTAATTGTGATTAGTTATTATTGAGGTTATGTCACTGAACTCTCAGTAAAACCAGATTCTGTTTGTGTGTCCATACAGAGGGTGTTGGACGAGACAAAAGAGCACTACCATGTCATCCAGAAGTTTGTCATCTTGGGAGACCTGGACGGTAAGCACAATCACTCCCTTATGTCTGACCTTTGACCGCTGAAGAGGAAGTTTATCTGTCTGTCAAAATTATATATTAAACCCTATATGTAAGCTTAAAATCTGACCCTACATAAAACCACTCCTATGTCTGAAAACTTTCCTCTTTCTCAGGTCTTCAGGATGAGATTTCCGACTGGCTTACAGCTTCGAAGCCACTCCCTTCACACCTGCTACGTTTTATGGCTCATCTGCTGTTGTTTTTCCGTTCGCTTGGTTTAGCTCTGAAGGTAAGTGGATTCGTTAGTTGAATTTATCATAAAAATGTGTGGAAAATGGGAGGCCTGACGACAGAACCTTGAGGAACTCCTTTTTTTATCTTGAAGTAGAGTTGACTGAATCACTCCCTGGAGCATTTAAGATTCCACCTAAAAAAAATAAATAAACCTTTCTGACACCTGGACTGTATGTGATTGAGTTCATGATCACTCCGGCTCACCTGTTTCTCTTTCTTTCTTTCCGTCTTGAAGGAGGAGGTGTGCGTGGATGTACTAAAGGCATATGTCTCCCTCCTGATTCGGGATCAGCAGATCGACCTTGTGGCAAACTACGTTAGCCAGCTACCATCCGAGCTGGCCACCGCCCAGTACGCAGCTTTCCTGGAGACAGTCACCCAGCCAGAGCTCCGCCCACGCTGCCTTGAGCTCGCTACAAATGCTGGTTAGACAGAAATCACTGAAACATTCACATTCTGGCCAGTGAAACAGTAAACATCTCTACATTTCTAAGAGGAGTGTTTGTTTCTGTTTGTATAGGTCTGGATGTCGCTGCAATCACCAAGCTGGTGGTGGAAACGGTGAGGGAGAGAGATGAGACAGAGTTTGCTCACCATAACCAGACGCTGGAGACGGCAACCACAAAGGTACTGACTAAATAAGAAAAAAATGTGGTCATTAAACTCGACCACTGCAGAAATATACCACAAAATAAACTTTGAAAACCAAAAAGCTGGGGGGTTATGCCTTTAATTTAAAACAAAAGGGATAAGAAACTGAAAGAGGACTGTTTTCTAGCCTCTTATAGGCTTGAATAAAAGAGCTGGGTTTGTAATTTTTTGATTTTTATATCTGTGACCTCAACATGATTCTGTGCTCTGATAGGATGACCTAAAGAAGATTGATGTCATCGATTGGCTGTTGTTCGAGCCCGCCCACAGAGCAGAAGCCCTCAAACAGTCCAACGCTATCATGAGGAAGTTCTTGGGTATTATTTTTTGTGTATTTTTTTGGTCTTAATAAGAAGAAACAGTTTAACTCAATCATCCAACACCTCTTAAACTTTGTAGGACTCCCTCTCGAGTCCCTTCTTCTTTAGTGTGAGGACCATGATGCCTTTCTTCTACCTCACCACCCTGCTGTTCGTTTGTCTCAGCTTTGCAGAAACACAATGCAGCCAAGGAAGTGTTCTCCAAAGTTCCTGAGGACTCCATGAAGGAGATTTACTGCCAGTGGTCAGGTGTTGATCAGACTACGCCGCCACCTGCTGAGGATGAGAACGCCATAAGAGAGCACCTGTGTATCAGAGCCTACCTGGTATTTCAGCTGTTATTCTAATGATTGTTTATCTTGTCCAATAAAGTAGCTTTGTGACTGTTCAATCCCTTATTTTAAGGGAAGACATTTCTGCTCTATCACTTCTTTTATAATATTTGGGTACAACTATAACTGCAGCATAACTTCAGTCTGTTTGAGGATTAGTGAGATTTATTGATCGGTGTCTGTTTGTTTTACAGGAGGCTCATGAGGCATTCACTGAGTGGTTCAGCCACAGCAGCTCTGCACCCCAGAAACCTGTTCCCGCCTCTGAAGCCAAATTCACAGAGAGGGTAGCCAATGAAATGAGGGAGAAGGAGTACCAGGTAGGTACATTTACACACTTATTGCTCTGTTATTATGTGTGAAAGAGATTCTGAAAATGTTTTGCTATAAGTATGAAAACATGTGTTTCAGACCTCCCTGTCTGCCTGGTCTTGTCGTCTGGACGCTTTGACAGAGGATGTCAAGGAGAGAATCTACAATGTGCTGCTGTTTGTAGATGGAGGGTGGATGGTAGATAACAGACAGGTGAATTTTTTGCAGAGTTTTCACTTTGTATTGTATTGTATTGTATTTGTTTATTTAGCACAGATTAAAAACAGTGCAAGGAGGGAACGAAGCCGATATACTTCAAGAACTGTTTTGGAGAGGGTTGAAGAACCTAAAAGAACAAAAACGAATGTCGGTCCTATTGATAATTTTTCAGTGGCAAAAGTCGTTTCTGAAAGCACAGCAACTTCATTTATAAAACAGAGTTGCTGTAGCATTATGGAGCAAAATCAAGTTTTGTTTTGCTGAAAAAGAGGCTGCTACAAAGGCAGAGGTGTTACATAGCTTTATTTAATAAATGAAAATGAACTAGTGTGATTTTCCTGTGTCATAAAAATCATTATTTATGATCTCAGTTGGTTTACAAATGGCTCATTGGCTTGTGTTTTCAGGACTCTGAGCAGGATTCTGAGCGCAGCCACCAGATGGCAGCGTTACGATCTCTGTGCCTGCCTCGCCTCAGCTTCTTGCTGCTCAGCGTGCTGCAGAACTCCTCCAGACACCAAGAAGCACTACGACTCGCTGACATTATCTCAACTGATCAGCACTGTCTCTACAAGGTAACTGAAACTGAGCAAACAGGATGTGTGATCCAACAATTTTTTTTCAAACAAAACAAGATGTTGTAATAGCCTTAATTTTCTTAAATTACACACACTTAATACTCTTACATAATATTTAATAACCGATTTTTCCCACATCAGCTTTTGGTTCTGTTTTGTTTATTTGTTTCTTTTGCTTCAAAAATCCAGGTTTTCTCTAAAGAGGAGCTCAGGAGGTTTCTGCAGAAGTTGAGAGAGTCGTCTCTTGCTCTCTTGGACAGAGGACTTGACCCACTGGGCTACGAATTACAGCCCTAATCTAGAAAATAAATATACACACACATTCACACAGTATAATATTGGACTAATTGAAGTGTTATTGGTTTGTTATTGTGTCTTTTTTGCAAAATAAAATCCTGTTTTTCTTGAAAGTGTTGGTGTAGATTCATTTAAAACTGGTCTTTATTGCTAAAGTAACACAGACAAGAGGATGAATTAACACCATTACATGTTAATAGTCACAAAACTTAGCAGCATTTATGTTTTGAATGGTATTGTTAATATTTCAGTTACAACTGTGAAATTTCCTATTTCAGAGTTTGTTACAATTATGATTACCTCATTGATTTTATATAGAACTATTGGATAGGCAGTTGCTCAGGTTAAAGGTTTGAAAAACTGATTAAGAGGTATTTATGTAACCAAAAAAGACCTTGAAGAATGTGATTATGTTGATATCTATGCCATGGAAAATGTAAAAATGCCTTTTATTGTTGCACTGAGTCTATCTGTTCAACTTAGACCTACCTTCTGCTATTGTTTTTAGACTTTACATATAATATAGAAATGCCCAATCTTTAAAATTTGTAATACGAATAAGAAGGCATCAAAACTAATTTAAATGTTTTGTAACCAGCTGAAAACTTAACGTGGTGGCAGATAATTAGGATATATAATGACTGACTTATACTTGCAGATATTAAGTGTAAAACCAATTCTGATAAAGAGAGACAGATTTTTTTGTTAGCTAAGTGAAGACCAGACATGACCAGACGTGCGGTTCAGGTGCAGTGTGTGTGTTTGATCAGCAGAGGCGCTATAAAGGCGTTTTAAGAAACAACCGTAGACAGATCTACTGCGGGCTAACTTACATACTGTTAGTGTTTCTAATACCCAGTAAACTGGCGGATTGGACGTTATTGTGAGATTTGCCTTTTTCAACTATAACTTTTCAGGTACGTAAACTTGGCTTACATTTTGTTATTTGAGGGTCTGGTGCCCCAACAATAGCAGAAGCACGTTGGCAGGTGGTTAGCAATATGCTAGCAGGCCGCAGAGCCTCGTCTTTTCCTAGGTGAGGGGACGGGAAGAGTGGAGCAACGGCGCGGCTGGTGTTTTCCTACCGGCCACGTGTAAATAAAAAAGATTATACGGCTTATCGAGATTGCAACACTTTAATGTAATGCAATAATGCCCGTTATTGATCATTTTGCGTCATTTGGGTTATATTTTAGGTGAAATTACAAAGCTAAATCTTTCGGTTAAGTGTAATGTTCATGTTAAAGGTAGGTACTGAAACTTGTACCTAACTTTTTACCCATTTGCTATCACATCTATATCCGATGTTTTCTTGTTAAATGTAGTCCAGTACTTAATTTAAAATTGGGAATGGATCATGTGTTTTTAGCCTAGCAGCTATTCACAGTATTGGCATATAAACAACACATCTGCTTTGCAAATACATTGAAATTCTGTGTTATTGTACTCTATCTCCTGTTTTGGTTGATCAAAAATTCAGATTTAACATTATTTTTCCATTAATTTGCTGTTATGAGATGTAACTCTGACATGGATAGCAAAAGATAACGCTGAATGTGAACATCAAAAATATACAATAGTGTGAAAAGGGAGAATTTCGCTTAATTTTTAAGTTAAAGTGAAGTTTGTACCATTTAATCTTCCAGTGATGAGAGTTATGATGTTGTAAATGATCCATATAGTGAAAGGGTGTAGCTTTCCTTTAATCCGTGGTGTTATTGAAACAGAAACTTTGAAAGAGAGAGAGAGAGAGAGAGAGAGAGGCAGAGAGAGAGAGAGAGGGACAAGTCCGGGCATATTTTCACTGCATGGGTGTAGTAATAGGAGCAACAGCTGACTCACTGTGCATCAGCTGTGTTTACTACAGCTCACGTTTTCTGTTCAGACACTCAGAAATGTGCCCAGACATATTGCACTGAAGGGGGACACATCAGGCTGGGCACTGGGATGTTAATCTGGACATGTTGTGCATCATTAACATATTTGGCATATGGGGGAAATGTGGCTTTTTTGCTGCATCACAGTGACCATGAGGATTTTTCCCTCAATATTTAGAAGTTTGTTGTCATTGACAGCACAAGTACCTCCCTTGGATAACCAAGGCTACATTTTAAGTGAGTAACCAAGGCCATTATTGTGACTGTTGTAATATAACACAAGGGTCGCATGAATGCAATCCTGAAACTGCAGCCTTTGTGTCTGCAGATACATTTAAACTGGATGTGTAATTTGTAAAGAAGTGTAAAGCTTTTGATCAAAACATTGATATTTTTCACCAGCAATACAGCAATGGTATTGCACAATTAAGAGTAACACTTTTTGCTGTATTAGTATTTTGTCCCTCTCTTAATTATATGAATCATTGAGCAGTTGTGTATTTTTGTCTTGTTTTTTGGTCTTGAATTATGAGTTGTTTTATCAATCATCATACAGTTTGACATGCAAGTTCTGATCCTGCTGTCAACATTAGGGTCAGGTTACCCAGCTGTCATCAGTCCATCTGCAGCAGTTTGTAGTTTTAGGGGTGACTGACAGGACCTCCCACATTGACAGGGTGAAAGCACTTAAATACTGCAGCAAAGTGATCCAAAACTAGTGATGTTTTCTTAGCAGGAAATAGTTGTTTTGATGCAATCCACGATATTTTTATTGACTTTGAAGGTTAAGCTTTTTGAATTTAGTTTTTTTTTCCCTCCTGAATGAGATCACTTGTGGTCTTTTGATGTAAGGTGGAAAGTTATGCTAGCCCCCTGATAGTTAACATGAAAGATTTTGGAAAGAAAAACAAAATTCTGTTTTTGAAAAATGTAGATATGAGAGGGTTTCTTGATCAGTTTATCAAAAAGAGGTCTTACATTTTTTTTTCTTTTATTGGGTGGGACTACAATGGAATTTCTGGGCTGTCCAAATGTATTGATCTGTTGGAAGTTGTGCCAGTTGATTTTTTTTCACCAAATCCTTAGTTGCCCCTTAACCCAGAAGCCAGCCCTGCAGTGAAACTATCCCCAGCTCAGATTTTCCTATGGTTACACTTGGTTAATTAGTCAACCATGGTTAGCTGTTGCCATAGTTATGTAATTCTTATGGCACTAGTCATCCTGGACTAGTCTCGGCATGTCTGTGTGATTAAATCAGCTGGTACAGTCAGTATGAGCCTTACATGCCTAAACTTACATGCTGTCTGCTGCTGACTCAGCCTGAGTGTCCCTGTTAGGCCCTGATAGGCCCCTGTCAGGCTAACCCAGGCCATTTCCACTGGTCTAGTCCTGACATGTCTGAGCAGCACTATAAGAGGCTGGAGCTTCCCTCTGCTACTCTCTGACTGCACTTTACCTGCTTTTTCTTGCACAGGATGGATTACTGAGACAGTGAACTCCAAATATATATATTTATACAGGTAAGAACCTTTTGAATATTGTATTTAACACTAACATTTACAAACAATGCTACTTTTAAGAGACTGTGTTAATATTATAAAAACTGATGTTTAACTCCTGTAACTGTGACAAAAATAAAAGTATGATCATTCAGCTAAAATTAATTCTTTTACAAATGTGTGGTACCTTCAAAAACACAATAAAATACTTGCAAAATATGGGGTTGAAGTACATAATGTTTTTTACATAGTATTCAGAGCACTGTTCATTACTCTGAACATTTCACCACATATGTTTTGAATTAACCAACACTTGTATGTCATAACTTACTTGAGAAGAGACTTGTGTGTATGTTGTTGTTGTTGTTGTTGTTATAGATCAGAAGTTATTTTCTCTGCAAACTGTTGAGGGTCTGATTAGATGCTCTAAATTTGTTATAAATATCTCATTCTGCAAATTAATGCGATCTGACACATCAGTCTGGCAGGCAATACATTAAATAGTTGGAATTAAGTTTGATAGTTTGATCCAAAGCCTATGCATAAGGATACTTTTATACTCATAAAAACTGATTACTTGTGTTTTCTTCTCACTGCTGCAGCTGTTACTAAACAGCATCAGATGCAGTTAATGAATATTGTTATAGTTAGGATTATGAACATTAAACAGGCCCATTAAAAAAACATGTTCCTTTAATACAAAAAAGGGTCTAAGCATCTGTTGGTTGTCAGTCTATTGACATGATGGTATAATGTAAACTTTGCACAGTCTAAATAAATGTTCTAGAGTAGCCCAACCCAACTGAGCAGAACATTTTGTGCAGACTAGTTGTGTAAGAGGGAAATATACTGTAACGTCATTAAGATTTGTTATGGTTGGATCAGAGAAAAAAGACTGACCCTGTGGGGGTGTGCAGCAGCTGTTTGCACTGACGTTTTAATTTCCTCAGGGGAACCTTTCCAAAAGTATAAATAAAGTTGTATCTAATCTAATCAAAAAAAGTACAGGGTGTTAAAGAACACAAGGGAACTTTTCTTGGAAATTACATGTTGGATGGCATTTTGAATTTCCACTAAGAGTGCCTGAAGTCAGAGGCTTTACAGCACCAATGTCACAGTTTTGTTCCAGCAAAGGAAATTAAATGCAGAATAGAAGTTGCAGTTTTGCACACTTATCTCAGATTGTTTATGTTTTTTTTGGCCCAGTGTTTGGCCACTTAGTTCAAGTGAGTCTCTTAACTTTCACCAGGGGAGTTTCTAGCAACAGCAGCCAAATGTCCCAGCAATAAAAGAACAATTAAACAGCCTTAAGCTTCCTGTTTACGCTCAAACTGCTGGTGACAAACAATCAGATGCTTGAGAGCAATATAGATTTCTCAGTAGGGATAGACTGTGCTATTGGCATACAGCATAAAAAGTTGATTATCTGCATCAGTTGACATGAATATTTCTGCAGATTTACTTATTCAAAAGGCGATGCATGAAATATTCAAACACAATGAAAGCCTGCACATGTTGGTTGCATAGAGGTGTTTGGGAGTGTTGGAAACAGTTGACACATCACTGAATGTCTTCAGTAAAAAAATACATTTATCATCAAAATTAAAATTCTGTTAGCCTTGTTTTATGTCTGCTTCTGAAACAGCAAGACCATAGAGAGTAAAAGGTAAACTCTATTACTCTAAAATGTTTCAACACTATCATATATTTGCAAAAATCCAATAGCATTCATTTGTATTTCTTAAGAATTTAACAGAGTACTGGGAAAAAAAAGGTTATCTTTCATGAGATGCAGATACTTCACATATCCAGGGATATGACTTAAATGTTTCTTTGTATAGGCTGGATGTTAAATAGAGGACTGTTCGTCAAGCAGTGACTTATCTAACAAGCTATTGAAATATTTATAGAAAAAACAAAGTGTTACAGAAGTGTTACAGATAACGGAGAGAGAGGTACTCTTTTACTCTCAAGAGCCACCAGACCCCAGGAGCCCAGAAGACTTGTCTCAAATCTCAAAAAGTCTGAAATCTAAATTTCAAACTGAACCTGTGGGGTGCACATTATCCCCTCTGAGTGTCTCAGCTGAAAGTCACACTTTTGCACCTCAGCGTCAGGCGGGGTCAGAGTGTAATGGTCAGGGTCAGCTGTAGAGTCAGCATGAGCAGTATGTCGTCCAGGGTAAGATTACATCTGTACGCAGACCTTTTGCTTGTGGAGCAGTTGCACCACAGCAACAGTGTGTTATTAGACAAAAAAGTCACTTAATTATTTTATTCCAATAATTGTGTAAAACTCGTAGATTTAAAGAACTAAAACCTGGCAAACAAACCAAACCATCTGCTCAAATCAAACATTTTGCTGAGGGATGAAAACGTTGGTATTTAACTTAGTCGGCACTGAAATGTTGCCAAAAATGACCTTTTTTTCTGTTGAAGATTTAACCTTCATTAGTTTCATTTTCTCTATTTCTACTATGTGTGGAAGGAAGCCTTGAAATTGAATCCCTGGTTCAACCTGTTTGTGTGTTCTTGTTTCCAGGAACCCTCAGCTTCATCATGTCAGCTGACAGCGAGCTCAACGCCAACACTGCTGATGACAACAAACTGGTGAGAGCAGCTCCTAACTGGATTCTTTACTGGCTGGTTGTCCCACTGGTGTATACACTGACTGTGTGACTGTTTTGACTGACTGTCTTTCTGTCTCTGTGTGCTCAGGTCAGACCAAAGGTAGAGTTTCAAACTTTGCTGCAACATGCAGGAGCTACTAAAGATGTTTTCACCATGAAGGAGGTACAGCATCTTCCTTTGACTTTCAAGGGACCAGACGGTTTAAAATAATACATTTTCAGCAACATGTGCTTACATTTCCTATACCTTTTTTATTGCCACGTTCAACCTGGCTTCATTCTGTTTTCATGATATAAATCATCTTTTTTCCCCTTTTTTGGTGCAGAGTGTGAGAAACATCTAAATTTAGTTTAGATGTGCTGTTTCACTTCCCCTAGTTTTCACATACTTTATCTTCCCTGTAGGTGATGTTCTACCTCGGTCAATACATCATCCAGAAGCAACTGTACGACCAGAAACAGCAGCACATTGTTCACTGCTCCCAGGATGCTCTGGGGCAGGTGCTTGGGGTCGACAGCTTCTCTGTCAAAGAAACCCGGTGAGTACCTCTGTAGTATCCCTGTGACTGCTCTGTAGAACAACAGAAACATTATTTAAAGGAAGTTCCCATAGCAACAGTAAAGTCATGTGAGGAACTTTCTGCCTGTGTTGATCCTTTTTATGTTTGCTGTTTCCATCTCGTCCTCATGGGAGTGGTGTGAATTGACCAAAAAAATCTCCTTCCGTTGATTTTTTTTCTCAGGAAGTTTAACAATCACTTTGAATATTTGCAGTTTTTCCTGCATACCCACCCCCTCAAAGCAGTTACAGGCATTCGAAATTTCAATGTAGAAATAGTAATCTGTTTCATAACCCATCAAAACTCTACACAGGAGCTTTAAAGATGCAATTCTATAGGTTACAGGTGAAATGAGCAAAGATTATAATCTTTTGTTATATTTGGAGAGAAAACTGTTTCAGCAGCTTAAAGGCAGAAATAAGAACAGATAAAATGACTAAAGATGCAGTCCTAGGCAACGACTGCTTCAGTTATCCTGTATTCTGTATAAACAGGAAAGTATTACACCAGGATGAGTCATGACTCCTAAATATTTAAGTGATCACAGTTTTCTAATAAAATCCAAAAGTCCATGTGACTATTATGACATTTTAAAAATATACCACTATTTTAGTACATCTGACAGCTGTTTTCCAAGCTCCAAATAATAAAAAGACAGTCAGAGAGCAGTAATGACAGGCACTGGTTAAAAAAAAAAGATGTAGTTCTGTGAAATTTGGAAGTAGAGAGAAAAAATGCTAAGACCTCTTCAGCTGTCACGAGGAACTTGTTTGGAAAAACAGCCAAGAGTAGGGTCAAGTAAAACTTAAACATACCATAGTTGTTGTTAATAATGTACATTCAAGACTTAACTTAAAGATGCATAATAAATAGCCTATTTAATAAGGTCTATGATGAATAAAGTGTGACAAAATGTGTTTGCTATTGTTGGTGCTTATTTCAAAAATGTGTATTTTTCAGAGTTTTGTTTGCTATGATCACCAAGAACCTGGTGGCCGTCAAGAACCAAGGTATGAAAATGTCTTTTGCTGCTCTTATCTAATCCACAAGCTTTTAATTTTAACTTTATTATCCTAAAAGTCACCTCTGTTGTTGGCACCTGCTTTCAGTAATTTCCCCCCTTTTTAAGACCGTTTTGGGGCAGTAGTTAGTCCACTTTTAAGAACTCTGTGGTGCAGTGAACATCTTTTCCTTAACCAGCCCCTTTACTTTCTCCTTCATTTTTTCTCTGAACTTGGCTGTTGTCTTCTTTCTTGTGTTTTAAGCTCTTGTCTTTATTTTCTGTCTTGCTTCTGGGCTTAAACTTGACTGTCATTTTCTCTCAGAGTCAACACAAAGCTTGAGTGAATCGCAAAGTAACAGCCAGACAGAAAGAGGTACAGAGGTAAGCCTAACCTGGAGTAACTTGTTTCTGTTAAAAGCGCACACTCCAAGCTCAACTTATAGAATATAGGAAAATACATATAAATCACAGCTGAAAAAAATTAGGCATAAATGTATACAAAGTGCCCCACTGTGCACAAAAATTGACATCAAAAGGCAAGAAAAATGTCCAGATTTATTTTACAACAATTTCAATTTTATATTTTTGCTTTCAGGAGGTAGATTCAGAAAGCCGTTCTTCATCGCCGGAGAGAAGGAGACGAAGGCGAAGAAGGCGGAGTCGCAGGAGCAGTGACCCTGGTGAGTTTTTCGGCCTCATTAAAGCTTTCTAATAAACGAATCTGTGATACCCATGAGACTTAAACTCCGCCCACCTGCTCTCCTCAGGCCCCTCCCAAAGTATAGATGATGAAGCTGAGGAAGACTCAGAAGAGGATGAGGAGGACGGAGGTAGGAAGAGGAGGCGGTCTGATAGCTACTCCCTGACCTTTGATGAGAGCCTCTCCTGGTGTGTGATTGGAGGACTGGCGAGTGTGCGGGACAGACACAGCAGCCAATCATCTGACACACACAGTTCGGTGAGTTTCATATGCGACAAATGAAGGAAAACTAGTAAACACTTAATGAGAAAAACCTTCTTTCTGTGGCTTTCACTTCATCGCTCTGGGATGCAGTGTTTGGTGTCAGGTCTGAACAAAATATTTTTGCGTTTTGTAAAAAGTTTTTTGTAATCATCGAAAGTTTGTGCAGTTGTCCACTAGGTACTGATGTCTTGATTTATCTTTGTCCCTGAACTGAACACTTTGCGTTCTGTCTCACGTGGTGCTCTGCAGGCGTGGTTGTAATGTGTGCTGTGTATGTGTGTGTGCGTTTTTAGTCGGTGCGGTCAGAGATCATGGTTGCAGCCTCAGACTCAGACAGTGATAACTTCAGTGTGGAGTTCGAGGTGGAGTCTGTTGACTCTGATGACTATAATGAAGATGATGCTTCTCTGTCCGCAGATGACCAGGTAAGAACAGACACAAATCTACAATGAACATGTTTCACTGACACACCTGCAGCATCACTCAGCCCCTCTTCTCACCTGTCTGTGCACAGGTGTACGAGGTCACGATCTTTGAGGAAGAAGAAGAAGACTCCTTCGATGAAGACACGGAAATCACTGAAGCTGTGAGTTTGCCAGCAAACATTTAATACAAAATAAAAATACAAACTGATGATGAAAATCTGACTGACTGTGTGTTTGTTTGTTTTCAGGATTACTGGCGTTGTGCGGAGTGCGAGGAGCTTAACCCTCCTCTGCCCAGACACTGTCTCCGCTGCTGGACGCTACAACAAGACTGGCTGCCTAAGGACACGTTAAAGTCTGCCTGCTCCAGTCCTAAAGCCCTCCCCCCAAAGCCAAGCAACCAGTCAGCCAAAGAAGCACCAGGTGAATTGACTTGATTCATCTTCATTTCATCAGGTCCATTTCAGTGACAGGTTTGATTCTGCATTTATGTGGCTGCTGGTTATCATGGTTTTTGTAGTCCATCTGTCGTCAGTTGTAGTTCTTTTGTAACATCTGTGACATCTACCTCGTGTAATTCCAGTCAGATTGTCTTATCCTAACAGTGTCCTTTTCCTAACTCCTTTATCTTGACCCGTTGATGCTTTGTTCCTCCTTCCTTGAAACTCTGACTTTAACACTCATCTGTCTCCTTCAGGTTCTGATGCTGAAGATAATGAAGGAGTCGATGTCCCAGACGGAAAAAGATCAAAATCTCCTCCCATCCCATTGCAGTGCTTGTCTGACTCCGCCTCCTCTGCCCCCAACTCCCAGGATCTCCTCTCCTCCTCCCAGCCTTCCTCCTCCTTCTCGTCCTCTCAGCCGAAGATCTGGACTCCTGACTCCCAGCCCTCCTCCTCCATCGACTCCCAGGAGCTCCTCCCATCTTCCCCGTCCTCTCTCCCTCCTCCTCAACCTCCGCCTGCAGTCCCTGAACTGGACCGCAGTGTTTCGGCAGAGTGGCGTCTGCCAGACTCGTGCCTGGACCCGTGTGTCATCTGTCAGTCACGGCCGAAGAACGGCTGCATTGTGCACGGGCGGACTGGGCATCTCATGTCTTGCTATGTCTGCGCAAGGAAGCTGAAGAAGAGGAACAAGCTGTGTCCGGTCTGCAGGCTGCCCATCCAGTCAGTCATCCTCACCTACATCAGCTGAGGGACACCATCCATGCCCCCACTCTACCTGTGCTCACCTACCTCAGCTGAGATGGCAGTCTTCCCTCATCTTCACAATGCCTAACCCTTTTTCTGATTTTCTGAATCTAAAACCTTTATTTGGCCCTTTTTAACAATCTTTTTTTTTTTTAAATCAAAAGATTATTTGCATTTATGATTCTCCATTTGTATCGTAAATGATACATCAGGCATTACATGCAGTTCTGGCGATACAACAAAAACATCAGCCCTTTAGTTTTTCTAACTGCTATTTACATTTTCTTTTGTTATACCACGTGGTCAGCATGAAAACATTAAACGACCAAAACCAACAATCTCACAAGACTTTAAGATTTAAGAAAAGACATTAATTTTTCAAAAGAGACTAAATAGCTTTATAGTTTGATAAGAAATAGATGAAAATTTGCAATTTACTGAGGAAATAACCCGTTATTCAGGTAAAATACAAGTTTTCCCGCTGTTTCGAAATGGAAGTCACACCACAGTCATTGTTGGTTTGGAAGTTTTTAACAGGGTTATTTGGCAGAAACAAAAATAAGGAACATCAGTCTAATCCTTATAATAACTCCTACAGCTCAGTGTGATCGAATTTTCTTCAGTCCCTTCCTTTGCTCTTTCCTTATTCTCTATTTTTATCGCTTAAGACACTCACACTTAAAAGGAACAATCCCAAAAATCACACTTAAGATCAGTTTTATTTCTCTGTGACCTGCACTAGGGGATGCTTTGTGCAAATAAATTACTCTATAGCGATGTTGTTGGAACAAGTTATCCTGTGCCCACATTCTTATCTGGTGGGAATAAGTTAATTATCTTATACACATAATTTAATCATCAACATCTGTCTCTGCCCCCAAAAGGTAATTTCAATGTGCACTCGAAATAATATCTCAAGTGCACATGATATCAACTTGTAAGCGTTAGATTTTCGTGTATTTACAAAACTATTTACTTGCTCCTGGAAGATAGTAACTTGATAGCATATCATAATCATCTTGAGTGCACAATTAAAAAAAAAATCACTTTTGGGGACTTAAGTAGCTTTGTAGATTTTTAACTTCTCTCATCTGAATTGAGTTAAAAAAATGCTGGATTGTTCCTTTAAGCCTTATTACATCATTCAGTAACGCTTGTTTTGGAGACGTTTTATTTTATGGGTCTTTTTAACTAATTAAATCTCCTGGAAAGAACTATGTTGCTGTTTTTAGGAAAGACGAATATCCTCAAAGTTGAAACATTAGTGTGCAGTGGTTGAGTATGATACTAACTTTTACTGATAGAGGAAATACAGAAAATCTTAAAGGTCGGCTGCAACTTCTTTTCTTGAGACTCCTTGTTGATAATGAGGAGAATATTTAAGATTAAAGACCCTTAAAATAAAGCTTTATCCGTCTTAAATTTATAGGTCTGTTATTTCCTTATCCCTTCACCAAGAGTTCCCTTGGAAAGAAATGTGCAATTTCAGAGGAAATATTGTGAGAACAGAAGAAAGAATTTAATTGATTAAAATGTTATTTAAAACTTTATTTGAGAAACAAATTGTACAAAGTCAACTTTTCTTTACCTTTACCTTTCTTTCCAAGAAACTGTGAAGAAAAGAGTGCGATTATAGAAGGAAACAGCCTATAAACGTCAGTGTTACTTGATGTCTTTATAGAGATATTTATTAAGTTTATTTAAGATGCTCCAGTTTATTTAATAGACTTTTATATGAGCTCTTTGAATAATAAGATGAATATGAGACCTCTAATTTCTAATGTTTCTGTTGAGCATTTTCTGTGAACTGAATTAAAATTTATCTTGTGTTAACATACGGCCTGTTGGGTTTTATTTTCCTGTTGCATAACTTTTTTTCATCACCAATACATTTCTGCACCCATATATAAAGTATATTAGTGATGGCACGGCAGTTCTTTGAGATGTACTGTGTCACTTGAATCAGTTCACTAAAAGATTTGTTCACTAAATCACCAAATCATGTAGCGCTTGTCGGGAAATGCCTGCGACTCCGATTTCCTGAACTGATACACAGCTGATCGTTTCAGGATTCAGTTCAAGTCATAGCTTCTGGGCCTGGGAGACAAGAGTGTTTGGCTGTGTGGCTTTGGCAAACAGGTTTGTAAAAATTAACTTGTTTATAAGTCATGATGTTCTAAGTGTACTGTCCTATGGTATGCTATTCATCAGGTCTGCTCAGTAAATTGGGCTCTGTGAGTGATTCATTCACTAAACATTTCGAAGAGTTCAAACTGAACATGGACTGTTCCCTCGCAAACCGCTGCAATGATAGGATGCTGCGGGTTTTATGCACTACTCGTAACATGCTGTGTCCTATTGTATGCAAGCTGTTGTGGTGGCAACTTAGCAGTAAAAAAAAGGTAGTTTTGTCAGAAAAAAAATGATTCCAGAGAGTGTAGTTCAATGCGTGATTCGTTCACCAAGTGATTCAGGTATCGGCTGCTCGACTGGCAATGCTGTTCCTCACTTCAGCTCAACTGAAATGAGAAACAAACGAATCACTCGAGGAAGCGATTCGGTCACGTTCTTTTGAACGAATCGTTCGCAAACAACACAACGCTGCAATATATAAAGAGGAGGCTGACACTTTATTGACCCCTGTGCATAACCAAAATATACACTCTAGTCCAAACTGTTTGTTTTCACGTGAAGGCAACCATATTTCATTCATTATGAAATTACAGTTGTATCAATGTCAGTATCTTAAGAGCTTTATCATCTCTATACAAGTAGAAAATGTATACAAAGCTGAAGGGTGCATTTGGACCCCTTGAGCTTTTCCCAGAAATTAGGAACCTTTTGAAGAACTCTGTGTTTCGACCAACGGAACCAGGATTAGGGGGATTAAAATAAATTACCCTGTGGACACAAGAAAAAAATGGGGGAAAATGGGATATTTTGTAATAAGGCATCTTTTTTGCAGTTTGAGATTGTATAGTGCACACAATATAAAATACCTTTTGAAAACTAGTTAGTCGTGAGGTTGGAATTTGGCGCATGGAAGTTATTTTGTGCACATCATATACTAACAATACCATATACATAATTATATCAATATTAACGTTGTGGGTAAAAGTGTATCTTAAAATTACTTTTGCACATGGCCTACATGCAAAACGTAAAATTGTTTAACTCAATATGTTTGCAGGAGCTCTGTACATGCACATCTTTTTATGTTTGACTATTTATTAGTGTAAAAACAGTACTAAAAATTTTACCTCCTTTTTTCTGCCTTTGCAAATTGTTTTCAACTCCAGAAACTAACGTTTGATGAATAGCAGCCCGAATCACTGCCTGTCAATGTGGCACATTTAAAACGCACGTAACAGATATTTATGAAAGAGTCCACTCATTAACTATTTCTTTAAGTTGCTGGTCAAGACACTTGTATCGAAGAAGTAAAAATCACCCGAAAATATATCCGTGACTACTAATAATATGCCACTTTCAATAAGGCATATTTTGTGGGGCCGATAATTCAGGGTCCTGATCCTGTTCACACGGAAACCAGAGCTAATGACCGATGTTTGTTATGCTACAAATAGCAGGTAAACTAATTCAGTTTACTTTGACTTCGCCTTTTAATGAGAAGTTTTAGAATAAGATTTGAGGTCAATTTTATATTTCACTCATACTACGACTGCTTTTTGTCACCTAACGCTTTGAAAGCATGTATATTTGTAAGTGTCAGTACGTAAGCTCGGCTAACCGCGCTAGCTGTGCTAACGCTAATTGTATTTATTTAAATGAAGGTGTTTACAGCCTTTAATTGTTACAGAGACAAATAATGGTCTGTGTTTATTAATGCTGGGCTAAAATGTTATATTTTGGCATATTTGTATCATATCTAAGGGCTTTTGTCTTGGTGTGTAGCAGAGAGGAGGCTAACGGCAGCTGCTGCGTGGGTGTGCAGTCAGACTCCAAACGGTGAAATATTGGGTTGGAAAATTAACTTTAAGCTAGATTTGATCTTTTATAAATGTACTCAAGTCTTTTCTTGTCTTTGCTGATGAAATTGCATTTACAGACAATATTGCATATGATATAGTTTACAAAAAGCACAAGTGTATGTTCAAGAAAAGAAGGAAAAGTGAAAGACAGACAAACTGGACTAATGTCAGTTTTATCAAAACAACAACAATAATAATAATAAGAATGAAAATAAAACTGATAATAATAATAATAATAATAATAATAATAATAATAATAATAATAAATGTTATCCTTTACATGTCTTAAGTTAATTTTCCTTTTATGGTATTATTGTGCCCAAATGTAGGACAGGCACTTGTAGATTTCACTTTGATGAAATAAAAACAGTGATCCTCATTAAGTCACTCTTTTATTGGTCATGACAATCCAGTGGAAAGAACATGTTTTTCCCTACCGTCTCTGTTTACCAAAGCTTGTCAGTCTTATCAGATGATATAATAAGAAATAAAAAGTCACACGAACCACGACTGAAAGAGACACTATTCCTCTATCCTTTGATTTTTTTATTTATTTTATTTTTTTTTGTTTATTTTTTTCGAACATAAAAATTAAACCTGAAAACAAACAAACAAAACCAGTGAGAATATTCAGAACAACAGTAACAATAATCAAAGCAAAAAAGGAAAAAAAATATATATATATGTACGACTAATAATAATGCAACCCCAACATGTCCGAAAAGGAGTAGGATGAAACTTTGTACCTTTTTTTTTTTTTTAAACCTATCCCTTTCTCCTATTCCTAATTAAACAGAACTTTTAAGGGCTGTACATTGTATCACAAATCACAGATATAACAAATCATTCAGTCCTCAAAGCTTTTATACAACATTGAGACTTGGGCTTGTCTTCTGTAATGATTCAGATTGATGTCTTTCTGGACTTAAAAGGTGGCTTGCCCTCCCTGCTCTCCTCTCTCCACCTGTTGCTGCTTGTGATTATGAAACGGCCAAAGAGGCTTTCAGAACAGATATTTTATAATACAATTTTTACGTGAAGTTTTTTTTTTTTGCTTTCTCAAAGATAGTGTATTAAAGGTGTCAATGACTTAAAGGGATATTCCGGCGTAAAATTAATTTGGGGTCAAACACACTGTAACACAAAGTTACAACTCTAGAGATTACAACATAATCTCTAGAGGGGGTGTCTAACTCTGAGTTACAGTGTGTGTGTGACCCTAAATGAATTTTACGCCGAAATATCCCTATAAGGGAAAATATATGGCGGATAATTTTGTTGTTTATCCAAAATTCTTCTTCTGTCTCTCCACAGTATGCCTGCTGAACGCAAGCGCTCAATAAACATGGACGAGAAAGACGTTTGCTCCTTCAGTAACAAGGATAAAGAAAAAGACAGAGACGGCGACAGGAGACCAGGATCTGCCCGAGACAAAGTGAAAGACGAGGCCAAAATGAGCGGCAAGAAAGACGGTGGAAAGGAGGAGAAAAGAAAACGCCTCGAGGAGGAAAAGAAGAAGAAAGAGGAAAAGGATCGCAAAAAGAAGGAGGAGGAGAAACAGAAAGCAGAAGAGGAGCTGAAGAAGAAAGAGGAGGAGGAGAAGAAACAGCAAGAGGAGCAGGAGAAGAAAATTCAAGAGGAGGAGGCGAAAAGACAGAGAGAAGAGGAGGCGGCTCTCCTGAAGTAAGTCATGTTTGACCTTAAAGTCCTCCCCACAGTCTGTCTTTTTAAATAATGTGAGAGTCATTCTGATCTGTACAGTAGATAAACATCCTAAAACCAGCCTCACAATAGCAGAAAAATACTTGTATTGACTGTAAATAAAGACAAAAACTATAGTGTTCAAAGTTAAACTATTGTTTATTCTGTGCCAAAAAAACTTGTAGATGTGCATGTACGGCTTGAAACATGGTTACTGTCTTTTTCACCACACTCTTTCTTTTGTACCTTCACTGTTTGACCTCACCTCGGCAGAGAAAAAGAGGAGGGGCATCAGCTGCACCAGGAGGCATGGGAGCGCCATCACTGCAGGAAGGAGCTCCGCAGCAAGAACCAGAACGCCCAGGAGGGTCGACCTGAAGAAGCCTTCTTCAGCCGCTTGGACTCCAGCCTGAAGAAGAACACTGCCTTCGTCAAGAAGCTGCGCACACTCACAGAACAGCAGAGAGACTCGCTCTCTAACGACTTCAATTCTCTGAACCTCAGCAAATACATCGGTGAGGCTGTGAGCTCCGTTGTGGAGGCCAAGCTGAAGATTTCCGACGTGGGCTGTGCTGTCCACCTTTGCTCTCTCTTCCACCAACGCTACACTGAGTTCGCTCCGTTACTCTTACAAGCCTGGAAGAAGCACTTTGAGGCGAGGAAGGAGGACAAGGCGCCCAACGTGAGCAAGCTCCGCACAGACCTGCGCTTCATCGCGGAGCTCACCATCGTCGGCCTCTTCACAGACAAAGAGGGACTTTCCCTCATCTACGAGCAGCTGAAGAACATCATCAGCACCGACCGTGAGACGCACACCCACGTGTCAGTGGTCATCAGCTTCTGTAAGCACTGCGGGGACGACATCGCAGGTCTAATCCCTCGTAAGGTGAAGCTGGCTGCTGAGAAGTTCGGCCTGACTTTTCCTCCAAGCGAGATCATCAGCGCGGAGAAGCAGCAGCCTTTCCAGAACCTTCTGCGGGAGTACTTCACTTCACTCACCAAACACTTGAAGAAAGACCACAGGGAGCTGCAGAACACAGAGAGACAGAACAGGTGAGAAACCGACCTGCTGTTACTCTTATGTAGTGCCTTTGAAAGCCTGTATTTGATCAAAAACCATGCAAAGACAACATATCAACTGTTGAACTGACAATTTTATTGTTTTATGCAAAATAAAGGCTCATTTTATTTATAGAGTTGTTAGACCATAGGAAAGTTTTCTATCTTAAGTTGACCCAAGCCTCGGAAAGTCACTGGCATTTCTAGATCTTGTCCATTTATGGTGTCCTCTTTGCATGGTACAGTTTTAACCTGGACCATGCAGTGATTACCACTACAGAGCCATGTCTGTCTCAATGCAGTGCTGCCATCATGTTTTGGTTTCAGTCTTTGTCTCTTTTGTCCAACGACTTCTCCAGATTCTCTGAATCTTTGGTTGCTAAAATTTACTGGATATGATGAAATCCACTCATTCTTTAACATTTAAACTCAAGAAATTTCCAGTCATGTCATTGTCAATGTCAGCTTTATTTATATAGCACATTTAAAAACAGCCAGTGGCCTACCAAAGAACTTTACAGTAAAATAGCCAAAGACAGTAGAAACAATAAAAAACTATAAAAACAATAAAAGCATAAAACATAAAAAACAATATAGATAAACACAGCAAATAAATAAAATACCCAATAAAAGCAACTATACTTCCCCAAAAGCTAAAGTGAACAGGTGCGTCTTCAGAAGTGTTTTAAAAGTGGAAAGGCTGTACGCAGTGCGCGCTGTCAAGGGATAAAGCGTTCCACAAAGTGGGAGCCACGACAGAAAATGTTTGATCTTCTCTAGATTTTAAAAAGGATCAAGGAACGTCTCAAACCACCTGATTAGCTGACGTGAGGGCTCTGCAGGGCTGGCGCAGTTTAAGAAGGTCAGAGAGATATTTCCGGGCCTTAAAAACAAATAAAAGAATCTTAAAATCGATCCTGTACCTAACGGGGAGCCAGTGAAGAGAGGAAAGCACAGGAGTTATGTGCTCCCGTTTCTTGGTCCCAGTTCAGCATTCTGATCTAAACTAATCTAAACGAGATGTGATAAAAGCATGGATAACTTAGTCATGTTACTAACCTGTTGTAAATAAACCTCATTAGTTGAGAGATGATCCTCCAGTTGTTTTTTTTAACATCACACAATTTTTCTGTGTGATCAAAATTCTTCTAAATGCCTTGCTTGCATCAGATTTAAGATGAGCATATATTTCAGTGGAATCAGGATTGTAATTTGTTCTATTATCTTTAAATATTGTGGGTGTCACTGACATCAAAGATTTTGTATGTATCAGTGCTTTTGTGTATTAAGTTGTTCTTGGGATAACTACCCCTGATCAACATGAATCCATTTAATCGTTTCAGGATAAGCTGGATAGGTCAGAACTCTAAGTCTCTCTTATTCCTCTTTAGGCGTATCCTGCACTCCAAAGGGGAGCTGAGTGAGGATCGACACAAGCAGTATGAAGAGTTTGCCACCTCCTACCAGAAGCTGCTGGCGAACACTCAGTCTCTGGCTGATCTGCTGGATGAGAACATGCCAGAGCTGCCTCAGGACAAGACTGTGCAAGAGGGTAGGTGACCTCTCTTCTGCAGAATCACAATGTTTTGTTCAATCCATTTCCTACATTAAGTTTTCTCCTCTTCTCTTTTCAAGACCACGGCCCTGGTATTGATATTTTCACCCCTGGTAAGCCTGGAGAGTACGACCTGGAGGGAGGCATCTGGGAAGACGAAGACGCTCGTAACTTCTACGAGAACCTTGTGGACCTGAAGGCCTTCGTCCCGGCTATCCTCTTCAAGGACAACGAGAAGAGCAGCCAAGGCAAAGACAAGGATGATGCTAAAGGTATGTTTAGATAAATCCAGCAAAAGAGGAAGGAAGGAAATCACGGAAGTTTCTGTTCTGACCTTGTGTCTGTCTAATTCAGATGGCAGAGACGGGAAGGACTCAGCCAGCACCACAGAGGAGCTGGAACTGGAGTTGGAGGCTCTGGACATCACAGATGAACCCCTGGAGCTGGAGGGGCCGGACGAGGCAGAAAACGAAGAGCTGGCCAAAAAGCTGCTGGATGAGCAAGGTACAAAGAAAATAAATCCAACTCCTTTGCCGTCTTTAGAAATGCAATTTGAATTTGAAAATGCCCGTTTTTCATACATCAAGTCTGTTTATTTATTTATTTATTTTTTACTCTGAATCCCATTGTTAAACTATGAGTATTGCCCTGAAACCAAACTATCCAGCGATTGTTTGGTCTTTGGTGTGCAAATTAGATTTTTTTTTACGGCTTTCTTTTTCGTGCGTTTAGAACAAGAGGATGAAGAGGCCAACACAGGGTCTCACCTAAAGCTCATTGTGGACGCCTTCATCCAGCAGCTCCCAAACTGTGTCAACAGAGACCTCATAGACAAGGTGAGGAGAACAGAAACAGTTTTAAATCCACATCTAAAATTTTACTTTGTTTCGGGGTCACATCAAGGTTTGGCGATTCTCTCTAGATTATCCAGGTAATTTAAATCAGAGGTGAAAATTATTTACACTTGATATTTCTAAACAGCTAATTTTCTTTTCAGGCTGCTATGGACTTCTGCATGAACATGAACACCAAGTCCAACAGGAGGAAGCTCGTCCGGGCCCTCTTTACTGTCCCCCGGCAGAGGTGAAGCTGCAAAAACCTAGATGTGTGAAATATTAAAAGCAGCCTCCAAAGCCTTCAATGACCACTAGGGGGAGCCATCAGCAAAGTTTCTGACTGACTCCCTCTCCTCTTCTCCTCCTGCAGGTTGGATCTGTTGCCCTTTTACTCCCGCCTGGTGGCCACTCTTCACCCCTGCATGTCTGACGTAGCAGAGGACCTCTGCTCCATGCTGAAGGGAGACTTCAGGTTTCATGTAAGTCCACTCATATTACCATTACTGATTTATGTTACCTTACATATTAAAGAGTGTTTGTGGGTCACTAATCTAGTCATTTTTTGTTGTCTCAGATTCGGAAGAAGGACCAGATCAACATCGAGACAAAGAATAAAACAGTCAGATTCATTGGAGAGCTCTCCAAGTTCAAGATGTTCTCAAAAACTGACACGCTTCACTGTCTCAAGGTGGGTGAGAAACCTGAGATCTGAGGCTATGTTGTCTCCGAGTTTTGTTGTGTGTTTTAAAAGATGAAAAAGGAGAACTTGACTTGTGTTTTTGTGATGACAGATGCTGCTGTCAGATTTCACCCATCACCACATTGAGATGGCCTGCACTCTGCTGGAGACCTGCGGACGCTTCCTCTTCAGATCCCCCGACTCTCACCTGCGTACCAGCGTCTTACTGGTCAGTAGACACCAAAGAACTGGGATAAAGCTTTAAAGAAGAAAAACTAATCAGAGAAAACAGTGAATTGAAGACTTGTTTAATCTGCTGTCTTAATATAATCAGCTGATGTTTTTACCGTCTGTATTTCAGGAGCAAATGATGCGCAAGAAGCAGGCGCAGCATCTGGATGCCCGCTACGTCACCATGGTTGAGAATGCCTACTACTACTGTAACCCTCCACCTGTAGAGAAGACGGTGAAGAAGAAGAGGCCTCCGCTGCAGGAGTACATCCGTAAACTGCTCTACAAAGACTTGTCCAAGGTGACCACCGAGAAGGTGCTGAGGCAGATGAGGAAGTTGCCGTGGCAGGACCCCGAGGTGAAGAGCTACCTCATCTGCTGCATGGTCAATATCTGGAACGTCAAGTACAACAGCATCCACTGCGTCGCCAACCTGCTGGCTGGCCTCGTGGCCTACCAGGAGGACGTGGGCATCCATGTGGTGGATGGAGTGCTGGAGGACATCCGACTGGGCATGGAGGTAAGAAGTGCTCTCATAACAGCACTTGTGTAACATCCTGAAAGACTCTGAGGTTAGTGAGAGGACAGAGAGATGAGCTAAACCAGCAGTTAATCTTCTCTGACACGTCTGACAGCCAACTGACTGACATGTTGTTACTGTCACTAATGTGGAGAACACTGTAACACACTGCAGGACACGTGAAAACGTCGCCTGGCGTCATACTGAGCTGAAGCCTTTGCACGACACTCATAACTCTTCTACATGATTGAATCTGCAAATCAGACTGTCAACAGTGCTGACAAAGTGTCATTACGGTTGCTGTAATGACTTCCCTTCAATAAACTGATCCAAAAAAAACAGTCTGACAATCCAGGACAAAACCAGCAGCTTTAAGGCTGTCAAAGTTTTTAATACTTTTTAATATTATGTGCTTAAAAACAAACAAATATCCTTTAAATAAATGTTTGATTGTGCCAAGATTGACAAACCCTGTGCAAACATACAAGGGTGCCAGATATGATTTGTTTGCACGCTTAATTTGTTGTTTAAGTACATTGATTCACAAAGGTATAAATTCTCCTCTGGTTTAAGACTCTGAATGTTAGTGCAAAATTAAGTTTATTTTGCTCAACCTAGTATGATGCAGCTGTAACTGAAAAAAAAAGAACTTGAACCGTGTAAAATATGTCAAAAAAGCTCCACCAGCTACATTATACAGAGTCGTTCCCTCCAACTAAATAAGATCTTGAACACTAAAAGTGCCCAAAATCCCAAGGTTGATTGAATGTACTCATAAAAGAACTTTTTCACTGCTAAGTTTCATGATCTCTATGTCAAAAGAAGGTGTCTCAATGTATTTTCTTGTATTTTCGCAGGTAAATCAGCCAAAGTTCAACCAGCGGAGGATCAGCAGCGCTAAATTTCTGGGTGAGCTCTACAACTACCGCATGGTGGAGTCGGCCGTCATCTTCCGCACCCTCTTCTCCTTCATCTCTTTTGGGATCAATCAGGACGGCACCGCGAGCCCGCTAGACCCTCCTGAACACCTGTTCCGCATCCGCCTGGTCTGCACCCTGCTGGACACCTGCGGGCAGTACTTCGACCGCGGGTCCAGCAAGAGGAAGCTCGACTGTTTCCTCATCTACTTCCAGGCATGTCAGGAAGTTTGGTGTCTGCCTAATAACATGCATCCCACAGTTCAAAAGGACTTTAGTTTTTAAGTTTTAGTTTGACTTGTTTTGAAGGCGTTAAGTTGGGCACAATTACGCATATCATATGGTCAAATTGAAGCCCACATCAATCAACAATTCTTTGTGGTTTTGCAGAGGTACATCTGGTGGAAGAAGAGCCTCGATGTCTGGACCAAAGACCATCCGTTCCCCATTGATATCGACTACATGATCAGTGACACCCTGGAGCTCCTGCGACCCAAGATGAGGCTCAGCTGCTCCTTGGACGAGGCCACCAAACAGGTCACCGAGCTGGAGAGGGAGGTGCTCGTCAAACTAGGTAGGAGCACCTCTGAGACTGATGTCTGTATCCGGCCTGTCATTTACTGTGAAGGATGTGATCGTAGAAACCGGTCTCACAGCTTGAGCCGCTCTCTGTTACCCCAGCTGAGCAGCATTCCTGGTTGTGTAGGAGGAGGAACGTGCTCATTGAAAGACACACATACTCGATGTGTACAGTCATCCAAAGAGCCCCATTAGAAAGTCAAAAGTGTTTTTAAGGATTATTACAGATCAAAAAGAGTGACGTCCACTGCTGAGTTTCTTCAAGAGGCTGACCCAAACAGTCCCCACCAAAAATGTGCAACATACTCTCTCTGTGCTGTTCTGAGTAAATAATACATTCAGTGTTTCCTGAAATGACTTCCATCATTATTATATCACATAAATTGTTCGTCAGTGCAAAGACAACGAACATCCCCTGGTTCAGCCTCTCAAATGTGACAATTAGCATAAATTTTATTCCGACAAAACTACACCCAAGCACCTCTCCATACAAAACAAAGCAAAAAAACTCACTGATCTTCTCAGAAATTAAAGCTGAATTGTGTAAAATCCAACATAAAATCTGGAATTTACCCCATAAGTATCTGAGACAGTCTGTTTTTGGAGATCTGAAGGTTTAACCTGTGTTGCTGTCTGATGACTTTTGTTGCATTCAGCAATGTGCAGTTTGTATGCAGCCGTGCAGCTCTTTTTAGAACCACCTACTTCCCTTGAAACCTATTTAGCAGAAAACGTTGAACTACTATGTTTTGGTTCTTGTTTTACAAGGAAACAATGATCTGGGCAGCTGCAATCACAAACTTTTTAAACTAGGTTGTAATGAAAACGCCACCCCCTCTGTCGCTGTGCAAACTGGAGATCTGCAGATCAGATAAAAACAGGGATGTTCCAGACTCATTTGTTCACACATAATGAGTCTCTGTAAACAATGTTTTCTTAAGAGGTGTATCTTTCCGGCGTTACACTGACTGCTGACTGTTGGTCTGACACGCATCTCCAGTGTTTTCAGTTGTTTTTTTCCGATCATTGTGTACATGATTCATTTTTGAAAAACAAAGCATGGACTTTTCCATTTTTAATGGGCCCTTCCTGTCAAGACAAGATCTTAGTGTCCAGCAAGGCTAGAAAAATGGATGAACTTTTATTTGAGAGAACCATTTCAACCAAGCACTAATGTGCCTACAATAGAAGCACATATATGAGCTCTGCTGCTGAGTACAGTAGGAGCTATCTGGACAAAAGGACATGATTGTTGATCTCACGCTGCTGTCCAACAGCAGAGCAGGAACATCGGCTTTGTTTTACAGTTTCAAGGTGTTGACTTGGAATGTGCAGAAAAATGTAAACAGCTGCTCCACCCACAGAGAGAGAGAGAGAGAGAAACACCAACTTTGAGACTGAGTGTGTCAGTAAAAGATGGAAGGAAGTGCTCTGCTGTGTTTGTACGTCTGGCTTTTTATGCATGTGGTTACATTTGCGTTTGAGAGAAAGTGATTGATATGAGCGATGGAGGCTTGTCTCCAGTCAAACAGAGCAGCCATTGTTGAAGTGATCATACTTAGACCAGGATCAGGCATTCCTCCATCCTTGAGTCACAAAGACCGGATCTTCAGCTTCAGCCACCTGCTTGACTTCATTTCTTCACCTTAACACAACAGTTACACAATTAAAGCGTTGTCATTAGCTGCAGCTATTGTTGTAAAAGTTTGGAGACAATAATGAGGCAATTAGTCCCTCCTAAGTATTTACTCTATTTTTATTCTGGGTTTGGCTCTGGTGACCTCATGATCTGGTCCATCATAATGGTTTTGTTTTTTTTAAGGCCTTGCGATGGAGAAAGACGGCCGTTCCAGCGCCATGAGTGAAGGCGAAGGCCTCGACGAAGAAGACGACGACGGAGATGACGATGAAGAGGGTGGTGCAGAGACCGAGGAGCAGTCGGGCAACGAGAGCGAAATGAATGAACCAGAAGAGGACGTGAGTCATGTTGTTGACGATGACCTGTCTTTACATAACGTCATCCTGTTTGTCCTCCGTCCACTCGTCACTGACATGATTACTATACAATCACAATGACTCGACAGCTGAGTGTTTACCTTAATCACTGTCCATCCCTGATGTTCTGTACAAAGTGGACAAGCCTCTCAAATCTATTTAGAGCATCAGGTGTCACAATGTGCATCACATATGATTGATTGGGATGAGATTTTCCCCCTAATATAATGAACTTAAAACTGTTTCTCCTTTAATTTACGCCACCTGTTGTCAAAGCAGATCAGAGACAAGCTGGATAACTTTATATTATTATTTAAATGAAGTGGCAGAGTTGATCATCCTGAAATGTTTGTTGAAATTGTGCTTGCAGTTCAAAAATTCAGCAGGGTTAAACCCTCAAGCATATCTTCATCCACCTCAAAGCTAAATCTAAGCTGTGCCATTTGTCTGGTTTCCCAGGAAGCATCTGAGAATGAAGAGGAAGAGAGGGAGGAGGAAGAAGAGGAGAACACCGACTACCTGACCGACTCCAACAAAGAAAATGAAACCGATGAAGAAAACAATGTAAGATTAAACATGATAGAGAGATGGAATTATAAACCTTTAAATCTGTTTTAAAGAATCCTCTTAATGTGTGATTGTGGCAGCAGCAAGAGTGAGTGAACTGAGCAAAGAGCAGAAAGATTTCAGTTGAACAGTCTTTGCTTACATAACGCCAAACCACATCAGATGTTATCCTGACCGTTAATTTGTACTCAGGAGGTCACTATCAGGGGTGGGGGACTGAAACACGTTGCCTGTGCTGAGGACGAGGATTTCATTCAGGCTCTGGACAAGATGATGCTGGAGAACCTGCAGGTAAGCTCACCTTCAGAGGATGTGATTCAAGTGTTAGTGAGGTAAATAATTTGCCTGTCCGGTAAGTTTCAACCAAACTCAGTTAAGCTTTATCTGAAGCTAAGTTGTGTAACTTACTTTAATCAAGGAGATGTATGAAAAAGAAATAGCCTTTAGTTTTAGCGAAGTGTACCAAATAAATAATCTTGGTTACACAAAGTTTAATCATCATCAAGCCTTTTAGGGAACTACACAAGGGTTTCAGTACCAGAAATATACAGCCCTCTTACCTCTAGTTCACCCTTTTTTTCCCTCACTTTGAAAACGATGCTGTGTTTTGTCTCTGCAGCAGCGCAGCGGTGAGACGGTGAAGGTGCACCAGCTGGACGTGGCGATCCCGCTGCAGCTGAAGAGTCAGCTGAAGAAGGGGGGCTCCGAAAAGACGTGCATCGGGGAGGCAGACGCCGACATCTCTGACACCATGCAGTTTGTCATGCTGACACGCAAAGGCAACAAACAGCAGGTAACTACACTGAGGATGTAGACAAGATCAAACATTGGTGTGGGAGCAAACATCTTTTCTTTTATAATATTCGTTGGTAGAAGAGATATCCAAATACATTTCTTGAAAACAGGAGGCAGTACTTAACAACAAAAAGTCTGGTTCCTGAGCACTAAAACTGCAAATTTTCCACTTTTTTGGCCTTTATCTGAGAGCATTAAGCGCTTTTGTCACATCACACATCAGGAACTTTCCTCTTGTAGATTAGAGACTTCAATCTCAGGAGAATGTCAATTTTTTTGTTCTGGTAGATTAAAAAATCTTTTGGCAAAGCATTTAGAAATGCAGCTGCTTCTCAGAGAATAAAAACAGGAACAGGACCAGAGAAGCTGTGGTTTTCTTTTTCAGACTTTTATAAAGAGCGTACAGACGAGTGAAGAGCTGAGAGCAAACAGACGCGAGATGTGATTTGACGCTTTCTCTGTCTCGTACAGAAACCCTCACACGCTCACCTCAGTCTGACTGAGCGCAGGAAAAATATTGACTCTGGAGTTGTAGCTGTGCAAGTGTGTGTGTGTGTGTGCGTGTGTGTGTGTGTGTGGAATGTGTGGTTTGAGGTTTTGAGGGCAGAGTCTGGTTCTTGGAGCATCGGGTGTGTCCGGCTTTTTCTGCCAGTTTTCTCTGAGGTTTAATGGAGCCTTCAGTCCACACGGCTTCGCTCTGTTTAAAGGACAGCTGCCAAACACACTCACTCACTCACTCACACTCACTCTCTCTCACACATACAAGCAACAAAATAAATAAAAAATGAAATCAGAACAGAGAATAACTTTGTGGGTTTGTCAGAGAGGCGCGTGTACAGGAAATGACATTTCACCCTCTGTAAACACACAGCGTCACCAGGTGAATGAAAGCAGCCTGTGTGTTTGAAGGCTGTCCCTGCTACGCCTACATATATAAGGCTGACATACTGCAAAGATACTTATAAATAGTTCGCCTGTCCATGAGACCTCTAATAGATGATATGCTCTATTTCTTCTGATAAAAAACATGTTACTCATCAAGGTCAGCAGATTTCACTGAATCATATTATTTCCATGAAGTCATTATTTGGTTGATTATCATCTTTTTAATACATGGAGAGTGACTCAGAAAAAAAATTGGCAAAGATCATTTTTGATTTGACTCAATAAACTCCTCCTGAAATCAAGACGAGCTCCTTGATAGAAGTTTTCAAAAGAGGTGTAAAAAGTGGTCGCTGAGTCTCCTCATGCAGCTCCTTGAAGAGCCTCGAGGCTTTGGCAGTCAGCGCTCTGTCACCTCTAGTTTTCAGCCAAGCTTTAGGACACATTTAGAACTCTAACCAAGGATCCAAGGCTGGTTAATTTTTCCATTTACAGCCCATATCAGCTCTCAGTAACCCCAATCAGTTCAACTAAGCAGATACTTTGATTTTTTGTGTGGGAGGTAGAGCATACAGCTGTGCGCTCTACCTCCCTTTTGTTTGTTTGTTTCTTTCTTTTTTTGGCCCATGACTCTTATTTTGTCCCTCTAATGTACATTTTCGTTTATGATCAACAGTATAAGATCTTGAACGTGCCGCTGTCATCTCACCTGGCTGCGAACCACTTCAACCAGCAGCAGGCCGAGCAGGAGGAACGTATGAGGATGAAGAAACTCACTCTGGACATCAATGAGAGGCAGGAGCAGGAGGACTACCAGGGTACGAAATTTATGTGTCCATTTGTCTTCATACTAAAGTTCATGTTTGAAGCTCTCTGCTTCATATGGTTTGTGTGATTCAAAAAAATATCTTCCACCAGTTTATGGTTTGAATTAAAGTTATAATTGACCAACTTTTTGTGTGTTTGTGTCACAGAGATGATGCAGTCTCTCGCTCAGCGTCCTGCTCCAGCCAACACCAACCGTGAGCGTCGGCCTCGTTACCAGCACCCGAAAGGCGCTCCCAACGCTGACCTCATCTTCAAGACCGGAGGAAGGTGAGACAAGAGCCGTGAAGCACTCAAACACACAAAAAGAGCAGATTGCTTAAGCTCCAGGCAGGTTGTTTTTATTTCTCTGTGTTGACTCCACTTCAATCAATGTCTTTTTTTTAAACAGCCTGAAAAGAGCCAGAAATGAAAGGCATGAGAGGAGAGACAGGCAGGAGAGACAGGCCAGGACAGTCAAGCAGGAGAGAAACCAAAGCTCTACCAGCGAGTAGATACATAAACATTTTGATAAGATATGAAGGTGCAGAGAAGTTAGCCAGAGAGTTTTCATTTACAATTGCAGTTTTTGACAACTGACTCAGATTTAAGGTAATAAGAGCTTATCATTTATGATTTATTTTCTGTATAAAGCATGTGAATAAGGATAACTGAACATTTATTCTGTGTTAACATCAAAGATACCTTGTGTTTTTTTTCTTGGCTTTATATGATATACAGTTTATATACGGCACATATGAGGAACAGGTTTGATCTCCCAAAGCATGTTGAGAAATAAAACCAAAATACAATCCAATCAGCTGCAAGTCCTAGAGTTTCCACACTAGCGACTGGCTGCAGAAGCCAAGAAACCCCTGTCAGGTCCCATTTCAAGATATCCACAAGGAGTAAAGGAAACCGAAGAAACCTGTTGAGCTGGAGCTGAACCCTGCTCTACTGTAAGTAGAGCTTACAGTGATAGGCTGTACACTCTACCTCCCCCTTCTTCACTACTGTGATGAGATAAGAGAGGAGGTAAGGAGATGTTAGAAAGAGGAGAGGGAAGGCAGGGCCAGGACAAGTCCAACCCAGGAGAGGCAGAGCATCCAGTGTTAGACTGTACGCTCTACCTCCCCCTACTTCACTACTGTTATTTAATAAGAGAGGAGGTAAGGAGATGTTAGATAGAGGAGAGGGAAGGCAGGGCCAGGACAAGTCCAACCCAGGAGAGGTAGAGCATCCAGCGTCAGACTGTACGCTCTACCTCCCCCTACTTCACTACTGTGATATAATAAGAGAGGAGGTAAGGAGATGTTAGATAGAGGAGAGGGAAGGCAGGGCCAGGACGAGTCTAACCCAGGAGAGGTAGAGCATCCAGCGTTAGACTGCACGCTCTACTTCCCCCTACTTCACTACTGTGATAAGATAAGAGAGGAGGTAAGGAGACGTTAGATACAGGAGAGGGAAGGCAGGGCCAGGACAAGTCCAACCCAGGGGAGGTAGAGCATCCAGTGTTAGACTGTACGCTCTACCTCCCCCTACCTTCCGTGTACATAAGGAAAAGGGGCAGGAGGTTAAAGGCCATGTCATTGTCAAAAACCCCATCCCTCTTTGGCTGAGGCTACTTTCAGGACTTGGTTGTTACTCAGCTCGTCTGCAGTAAATGCCTGCTCTGTCCTCCAGGAGACGCTGATTGGAGTCTGGGCCCAGGCTGAACGAGCGAGCGAGCAAGAGAGCGAATGATCGAGCAAAAGAGAGAGAGAGAAAGAAGATCGGAGGGGAAACCGGTCGAAACAGGGAACGAGTCCTCCAGACGCCAGCTGACGCCGGCACAGACCAAAACCCGCTGACCTGAACACACACTCTTACGAGGTTGAGGGGTCCCAAATCCAAAGGACACAGTGGAGAGGCTGAACCGGGAGCTGGAGGTCAGAGGTCGGGGTCACACACGATGGCTCTCTTTCTGTTTTTGTCTGTTGCCTGAGATGACAGAAAATACAAACCGTCTGGACCAGAGAACGAACTACAAACACAGATGACTGAACTCCTGAACGGTCGACTGACGGCGTGACAGACGGGAGGGCAGGATGAACAGATCGCCTCCTGCTGGTGAAAACACTGACTCATATTTCGGAGTTAAAAACCTGGGAGTGGACATCATTTAAACAAGACTAGCAAGGATTTATTTTTTTGTTGTTTTTTGGACTTATGAAATAAAACTGGGAACATGTTTGTTTGGCCGTTAAGGCGGCGTTGAGATTAGGACTGTGGGAAGTGTGGTTAAGTTTCACTTTGTTCAAAGTTCTAAGAAATATTTCTGTAAACAATTATGTGATTGAAAACTTGTCTGATGATTTGATAGTCTTGTGCTGGAGGCATGTGTTTCATCAAAGTGGTGTGTCAAATTCACGCTAGCCCAGCAAAAACCACTGACTCTAAAGAGGGGGCTGGTAACTGTGGCATTTTGAATCGGAGATTGCACCAAAGGGATTGGCGTCCCAACACTTCCTCTTACCAACTAACACACATTATATTGGTTTGAAGCGGACACTCATATCTACCAAAAACTGAATGACTCTTCTATCAGTGTTTGTAATGTTTCCTCTGTCTTCAAAGAGATGCTACCGTGTTCTTTAAACATGTTGAAGTGTTAGATGACAACACCAAAAGGAAGTTAAGTCTCAGATTAGGAGGTCAATTTGTGTAGGAGTAACTCCAGAATATGACTAAGTGGAGGAATGGATAAACCATTGCGAAATTTGATGAAATCATGACATCACAGCTCGGTAAATCTTCTTACAAAGGGGCAAAATGAACAAAACTTCTACCTGCTCTTTGTTGCTGGGAATTTTTTGTTCCCTTTCCCAACCTGATCAGATTTGGGGTCCAAATCACATGGCAAGATTGAATAATTATGCGTCTCAAATAGTGAAACACTGGTCAACTTCACGATGGTGACTTTCTAGCTTAGCAACAGTGGAGGAGACTTCAAGAGAGCTGGCATATTGGAAGAAAGTGGCCTTTTAGGGACGGGTCTTACAGAGATAGAAGCTGAAACAAGGGTTGTAAGCTGTAAATCAGAGCTGCTAAAGAAAATGACAAAGTGCATATGATGTTTTGGCTTCACTGTAGGGGGTCGTGTGGTCCATCTTTTTATACTGTAAATGGTAGAGGCAAGAGAGGCTCCATTTTCTGTAAAACATCAGGCTCAATTGATACAAACGTTAAAAACTAGTTATCAGCTGAGTGATAAGTCTGCTGTCATGTAAAATGTAAACTGCTAAGCTTGAAAAGTGCAGGTTGGTGTATTTCTGCACTTTCAGCAGGACTAGGCTAGTTCCATCTCTATTTCCACTCTTTTTACTAAGCTAGACCAACCAGCTGCTGGCTGTAGCTTCAGATTTAGAGGTATAAATCCCTCCTCTTAGAGCTCCTACAGAAAACAAGTGGACCATGATGAATATACTGTACAGTGACACACACCACTTAGTTTGCACATGTACCTCCAAAATAAGAGTCTCATACCATCAGATAACTTCCAGTTAAGTGACTTGATGACTAAGGAACACCTAAGTGTACATAAGTCAATGTTTTTCCAACTCCTATCCTGATAGATTTTGTAATCAGGAGCATCCAATCATTAGTTTTGAGGATTTTCGGCGTGCTTTGATTTGGACTTATGAAGTGTAACATGATAAAAGCTTTTGACAATTAGTTAACCGTGTGCCTGAGAGACTTTATATTTGATTTGATTTTAGAGTAAACTTAATCGTCAAGCTTGTTAAATGGATAAATATATAACAAAACTATGTGATCTGTTGCATGGGCCTTTTTCTGCACCGCCTTGTGTTGTAGTGAAGTGTCCAGTTGTTGCTCTGTGTCTACATTCGAAACTGTTGTTCAGAAGGAAAAATACCAGCTCACAGCATTGTGTCTCTGCTCATGACAGGCAAAAATGATCACAATAAAAGCATAAAATTTATCACCATAAATATGGATGTGGCACATTTGTGGGTTTTGCATGTTTTGAGAGGGTGCGTCTGTTTGTTGAGGTCTAATTACATGGCGGCTAACGGAAGTATTTCCTCATTTCCTGCCCAGTCACTCCCTTAAACACTTCATATGTTCAGCACTGTAAATATGCCCGATTAGTCTTTAAGTGAAGGCAAGGGCAGGGGGTGTTGACTATTTACTTTTTTCTTCATGCCCTTTTTAAAGGAACCCCGCTACCTCTGAGTTTAGTTTTTTACTTGATAAGTGGTTCATATTGCCTTTGTCCCATTTGAGTATAGTCTACTCTGCATACACATACATATGTAAATAAAAAGTTCCATGTTCTTAAAAAAACATGAATTGTAGTGTAGAATTACCTGTCCTTGTTGTTTCACATCCTCACATGTGAACTACCCACGTCATGGACACGTATGATCCCCACACCATCAGGGATGCTGGCTTTAAACTGTAAGCTGATAACAAGACAGGTGGTCATTGTACTAGTATGGTGGAGGGTGTGGCATCCATGACCATCAAAACAAATGTCAAATTTCAAGATGTCAGATCCTTCGACAATCTTTCACCAAGTCCATCCGGAAAAGTTGTTGGCATTTCTTGATCATCTGTAAATATGATTCCCTTTTTACATAGTAGTTTTGACTTGGCCCATGCAGTGGTTTCTACGACAGAGTCATGTCTGTTTTTAATGCAGTGCCTCTGGAGGGCTGTGATCATCCCTATACTATCAAGGAGGCTGACTATGAGCTGTGTGTTGATAAAAAAAACTGGGTGGTCCCTCTCCTTTTTTGAGTGGAGGAGGCAGATACTAGAGAGACAGAGATCTTTTAGATTAAGTCTTCTTATTTTACTCAGAGCAACATTTTCTAAAAAATTTTCACCTATTTGCTTATGCATCTTCTTACGTGATGAACTCCTACTTTCTGACTTCTGAGAGACTACCTCTTTTGAAAGTCCTTTTTATACCCAGTCATGTTACAAACTTGTTATAAATCAACCTCATTAGTTGTAAAATGTTACTCCAGGTGTTATGGCAAAGCTCTGAATTCATTTGTTCATTTGGGGAATGTTAAGTAAACTACTGTATAAAAACATTAGATTAGTCCTTTAAGCCCTTCATCACCTCAAACCATCCTGTAGTTTTCCACTCAGGTAAGATATTGCACAGACCTGGTCATTCATTTAACTTCACCTTTTCATTCTTGACATACCAGAGTAAACGAAAGAAAAACAATTAGAACAAAAGTTATGTAACTCTCTTTAATGATTCACAAGGTACATACAATATATCAAGTAGAGTATATACACTTTAAAGTAAAGCTATTTAAAAGGTCAGAAAGTCAAACAGGCTGTTGTTTTATAGCAGCACTTTTCACATGGCCACTAAAAATCCCATTTACCACACACAGACGCACTTTTTAACATTTTCCTGTGCAGCTCTGCACACTTTGCAGATGCATTTCTTTATAAGACAGCTGTGCCAAACCGAATGTTGTTATAAACTGTATATATGCACCATTAGATACTTCAAAAATGACTGTAGCTGAACTACAGAGAACCGGAGTCTGTAAACAAATTCATTAAAATCTTCAAACAGGAGAAGAACCTCTACCTGCATGAAATAGTATCCTTCAAAATTGTCTGTAGGTGAACTACAGAAGCCGGAGTCTGGGTTAAACATAGTAAACATACACACATCGACACATACATAAACACACATACATGCTAATGCTACTAAACAGTTAAATAACACACACATAGGACAGTAAGCAACAACAGCTCTGCAAGAATTAAAACACAGAAGTACCCCAGGATGTATTTCTAGACTCTGCGGTTTTAGTGCTTGTGTTTTCTACAATACCATAAGCTCGCCCATCCCTAAAGAGCAGCTTTTAAGTATTCCTTCTGCCTCATAAAAAGTACAAGTCCTGCCTTCAAACCCCATTCCACAGTCTGTGGTTTGGTGTGGGAGGTTTGTCCATGGAGTAAAAATATCCTCCAGCCCAGTTCAGATGTACGATTTTTTAAGAAACTCTGGGCTCTTTTCGTTCAAACATCTGCATCAGAGTTATTCCAGGACAGCAGATTTAATGGAAACAATGGACATGTTAAACCTCAAATAATTAAAACAGGCCATGAGGGTGACTCTGCTTCACTTTAAAGCCAATACAAGCCACTTAAAAAACTTTTCACAAAAAGGTTACGTAGTTTCGTAAGACATATAACTGCTTTACAGAAAAGTACTCTAACTTTGTTCTTGCTCCAAAAGTGCTCAGAGTAAAAAACAAACACCACTGATAAATGCCCAAAGTCGGTAAACAGACCAGTGAAAAAAAAAGATATTCCCATGAGAAAGACTTCACAGCCTGTGATTAAACAGTAATTTCACTTTCTGACAGCCGTTTAGAGAGAAACTGACACAGTAAACAAAATATATAAGTTAAAGTGGATAAATTAGCATAATTAAAGTTGGTGTATATTGGTATATATTTTTTGCTTTTGTTTTGCTTTTTTTAATACAATACACAGTTTTGAACTTCAAACACTGCAGAGATTGCCACTTAATATCTTTTTGTCTAAAAATAAAAATAAAAATAAAAGTTAAGGCTTTTAGAGTAAGGCCACAAAAATTTTGACATTAGATCAATTCTATTACATCAAATTTCTAATTGATTAATTTTTCCATTCTCATTAATTTCTATCAAATCCCACATGGCTTGGTCCCAATATTGGGAGTGCTTACCTAATGCCAGGAGTAAAGTTTACCATTGACTCCTTTTTGAGTAATGTTTGATAAAACCTACAATGTCCTAGTAACTGACAAAGTAGTGAAATATCCAAGTATAAAGACATCAATTTTACAAATTGGTTTTGTTCTTCTTTTGAAGTTTGCTCATGTTAAAAAATTTGCATAAAGTAACTCTTGCTGTAATTACTGCCGTTAGATTACGCTGATAGTCAGAGCTCCTTTCTGCAGCATTTGTTTTGTTCATTTTATCTTCTTGGAGGTATACAGTGTCTTGGATTGGAAGCAAAACAAAGCAGGTAATCTGTCAAGAATTTTTTCTACCAAACAATGTCGAAACTGCACCACGTCCGACTTGTTTTTCAGTTTTTCATGGCCAGGAAGCAAGAACTGGCTGTGCAGGTCTACTGTAGGCTCAATTCCACTGCAAAAGTAGTCCACCCTTCAACCACTCAACTGACATAAATGTAGAAACCTCTAGTATACCACTTTCACCAGAAGGTAGGCACAAGAAATTCAGGCTCTACAGGCAGAGACTGAAGATGAGTTCCCAGAGTCTATCATGAGTCTTTCAGCAGTCCCAATTTCCTCAGCGCATCCCTTCGGGATTCATCTGTTGCCCCCTTTCCAGAAAACTGCACAGTGATGCTTTGAGGTCGAAACATGCTGGATCTTTGTGCTGGTTTGTGGGGAGTTCCAATACCATGATAAGAATGCCGAGGAGGTTTTGGAGCAGGGGTTGGGGCAGGAACTTTGACACTCCTTGCTGTGATTTCTGGTGGGCCATTTATTCCAACAGAGGGGTTGATGATTCGACTCTTCCCTCCATAACTGTTGAGCTCAGTAGGTGAAAACTCTGGTTTGGATGGTAAGCTTCGAGTCTTGTCTATATGGGAGCTGAGAATATCTGGAAGGTCACTTCTGGGCATGGGTACGGGAGCAGTGTTAATGACTTTGGTCTTTCCTCCATAGTTGTTGAACTCAGATGGGTTTGTCAGGGCAGGTGGTAGGCCTTTGGGTTCAGGGCTAGTTGGAGAGATTGACGGCTCACTCCTGGGGGTCACAGTGGGATTGATCATAATAGATTTCCCTCCATATCTGTTAAATTCTGGTGTGGTTACCTCAAGTGGAGGGGAGACGGGTGCTTTGGTTTCCACGGGAGGTGGTGCATAGTTGCTCATTCCTGAGTGGGCTTTGATTTCCAAAGGAGGTGGTGGATAGTTGCTGACTCCTGAAGGGGCTTTGATTTCCACAGGAGGTGGTGGATAGTTGCTGACTCCTGAAGGGGCTTTGATTTCCACAGGAGGTGGTGGATAGTTGCTCATTTCTGAGGGGGCTTTGATTTCCGAAGGAGGCGGTGGATAGTTTCTTATTTCTGAGACTGGTGGAGGAGGAGGAAACGGCTCAAGGGATTTGTTCTCGTGGCTATCTACAGAATCTCTCCGCACTATCTCTGGTTTTCTTTCAACCTGAATCTGGCTGTGATGTGGTAGGGAAACATTGGCTTCTTGTACCTTGCTGCTGGTATCTGTTGTTGGGGGTACATGGGTTTCCACAGCTATGGCGCTTGCATCTAAATTAGTGGGAGGATTTAGAGAGCCATTGTCAGGGGGAACAAGAAGCGACATACCCCCAGACAAGGCTCTACCCCTGTTCAAGCCCAGCTTAGACAGGGCCTCCATCCTGGATTTGTCTGGTGAGGGGTCCTTGAAGGAAATGCTGCGAGCTGGGGTATTTCGAGCTGTCTGCTCCAAGGTTTGTTGAGGGTCTTCCTGCAGGAGAGGATGTGCGGTTCCTACCAAGTTTGCTAGCATCTGTGCTCGTCTCTCATTGATGTTCACGTTAGGTAGTGACTGGCTTTGGTACTCCTTGCTGCCATGGACCAGGCTGATGTTAGCTGGAAGGCGAGAGGGCTTAGCAGAGGTGGGAGGACCCTGTTTGACAGTTGGGTCTCCGCTATAGCTTGCTGGTTTTTCACACTCCGAGCTCAAACGTCGGAGAAGTGATGAAGGAGTTATGTTAGTGGTTCCACCTCCCTGGTTCTCTGCAATCTTTGTGGCAATTAAAACCGGGGTGGGGATACAGCCTGGAGGGTGGTATGCGGAGTTGCTGTCTGTTGACCCGTAGCTGCCACTGGGTAAGGGAGGGTTGTACTCAGAGGGCAAGGCGTCTGTGGGATCACGCCTTGGCTTGATCTCAAAGTGGCTTTCAGGAGTCTGCATCATATTGTGAAAATCTGTGAAGAACAAATCACAGAGTTAAAATAGAGACTGATGACAGGAATCTACGCTTTCCAGCCATCACTGAACCTTGAATATAGCCCTACAAACAAGACAAACTTCTTTACCTGGATTGGTGGGACTGAAGATTGGCTCCCTGGTCTGAACCAAGTCTGGATCCGGGCGAACTAGGTCGATAATATCCTGGTCTTTGGGGCCGGGATGTCTGGCCAAGAGTGAAGATACAATGGCCCCTGTGTTTGTACTTGTGGTTGGAGGTCCATCAACTGCACTGGTTCTTGAGAGGGGCCTCATCTGCCTTTGCCTTCGTTCGTTGTCCTCCAGACCCTCTTCCAAAGAGTCAATGGTCTTCTCAAAGAACTGAAGGCACTCCTGCTCCTCCCGGCTTAGAAACTTAAGCGTATCGTCTCCCTGTGAAAACAAAGGGACCGTAGGAAATTAGGCTTTGTAGAATAGTCATTAAAGAGAAATTATTACTTAAGATGGGAATCTAATTTAACTGTATTGACAATATAAAACAGAGTATCTTTCTTCCCATTTAGATGGCAGTTTTTTCAGTTTGGGGAAATTTTCAAGAGTTTAGTTATCAGGGCTTAAGACAGCATATTCTGAAGTCTAAACTGCCCTAAATCCAATACATTTCAGCTGCTAAATGTAACCTGCACTCTGATGGTTCCATTCAAGCACTGAATTTACTTTTTTCTTCATCACTGAAAAATATGCAGCAAACTCTGACTCTGCAGCACAGTGGTCATGTGTACAGGGTGAACACAGGCCTATTTGTTCCTGTATCCCAACCCTTCAAGCTTCTTTCCCACCCTAAACCTAGCTCAAATACCCCTCTCTTCTGTTGGGAATCTGCCCCTCCCCATCTTTTCTTCACCTCTGTAGCTACCTGTCCTGCTTCAAACAGTGCTGCCTCTGAAAAACAACACAATGGGTGATCCTGTATCAGTTCTTGGTGGCTATTGATTGGGCTGCTTCACTTTCAAGGCCTTTTTCAGTCCTGGTAGTGAACAAGTGCACCTATTTAAACCACAACACATGGCTTCAGGGGACAGGTAACCTCCTCTAACAATGTTAAACTGGGGGAAAGAAGTAGTAAAGGTAGTAGTAGAAGAAGGTAAAAAGTGCTGTTTCTACTATCTATGATAAGCTGAGCCAGCCATGTCGGGACTCCACTTTTTGTGTGATTTGAATATCAGTTATATTACAAATCTGGTTGTAATATAGATTAGAGTAGAGGCGATGTTAGAAATTAAACTCAGCATAAAAAAACAGTTACTGCACTGCTCTGTTCCTGCTTCCCACCTTTTGACATGGATTAAAAATTTCAAAGGTAAGGTTGTGTCATATGTCTTATATAAATGGACATTGCAGCGTTGGATGTTGTGTTGTGATCACAGGCTGTGTTTAACTGTAATTACAGCCGTTAGGTGAAGCTGCTTATTTGAGCTGTTTCAAGGAGATGACCTTCAGCTCGAGGTTGATGAGGCAAACAGGGTTTATTGCTTACATCAGTGTTATGAAAAGTCCCACAACAAGGTTGTTCAGAGGTTTGTTTTGCTTCACAGACACACACACACATACAAAGACACCTACAGAAGCAACACCCAACTGAAACCAATCAGAGATAAACGCTAATGTTCTGGTTTCAGCGACAGTGAATTATGTCTATTGTAGTGAAGCAGCTCAGGACCTAGAAAACTGCAGCTGAACCGGTTTGGTTGTGTTGTGTGTTGATAATGGATGTCATCCCCAAGGCATGCAAAGGGATTAAGTTGTTGAGCAGGTGTAATTTCTCAGAGTGTGTGATGACTGGGTGCTTTGTGTAAACACAGTACAGAGCCTCAGCCAGGGTGAAGGACTGTGCAGTTTAGATAATCAGCTGTTCATCTGATACCCTCAGTGTTTACTGTGTATGAGAAGACAATAGACAAGCCTGCTTCTGACTCTGCTTGACTGAGCAGATCTTTATCACATACCAACACGTATCTTCTGGATAACACTCGTTTAACCAGTAGGTCCTCAATAACTGTAGAGTTGGATGATTTTATTTTCCTGGTCTAGTTGGAGGTAATCTGTTAGGAGTTTTGGAAAAAGGTTTAAATTTTTGACAAAGTGATTATTAACTTTACTAGAAAAATCCAGAATAAATTGTACTTATTGCACTAGGATCCTTTTTACTCATGAGAAACTCAGGCCGTAGTATTTAGCTTTTAATGTCTTGAGATAGGATGTTATATATCTGGACAAGTCAGGTTAAATTTGTTTAAAGTATGAGTAAGGAAATGTGTTGACTAAACGTCATACAAAACCTTTAGTCAATTCTGAGGTCAAAACCTAGTCATGTAACGTTGTGTGGTGTAACAGCTACTAGTATGACTTCAAATAGCATAACATCAAGTAGAGTAGGATCGAGTAGTGTAAAGTCAAGTGGTGAAATGTTGAGCGGCATAACTCTTGTGGCATAACTTATAACTTCAAGTGGCACAACATAAGCAGTGACAAGCTGTGCAAGGTCAGGTAGCATAACATCACGTAGGACAACGTCAAGTAGCGCAAGACCAAGCAGTGTAACGTCAAGCGTAACGTCAAGTAGTGCAACATCTGGGAGTAAAATGTCAAATCCTGTTACATTTAGTAGTGCAATGTCAAATAGCATGACAAATAGCATTGTATTAAGTAGTGTCTTGTCGAGAATAGCTTAATGTCAAGCAAGCAAAAAGGAAAAACAAGAAAAAATCAAAAATCCTAGACCAATTCAACTTCAGTGTTTTCAGAATATTTACCACTGGTCTGGAGCTTCGAGCAGCGCCCCCGTTTACCCCATAGTGGAGCTGAGGGTTTGCTTGTAGACGCAGGTCCATGGTGCGAGGGTCAGAGGTCATTTGGACTTCTCATGGAGGCTCAGGTGTTCCTGGGACTAAGCAAGAACTACATCAAGAACCCCCTTCTTCTTTTTAGAGTCTGGGAACACAGAGGGGGGAGAAGAAGAGGTCAGTCATTATCAAACTTAAGAAAAAGAAGCTGTGGTTTTTTAAATTGTGCAGAGTAATACTCCTCTGGCCTCAAACAGTAATCCAAATTAAGCATAGTGTGAAGAACCAAGAAGGAACACCTTTTTTTAAACTGAAAAGTCACAACTAAATGTACCCATTTACTTCCCGCTTCTACTCTGAGTCTACAGCTTAGCATCCCTGCAGAGAGAGACACCTGATGGACCAGTTAACCTGGAAAATGAAGCTGCAGAACAGGCTCCTGCCAACGAAACCATTTTTAGCTCTAACACATTCCTCTGTAATGTCCTCTGATGACAGACCTCAGGAGAGGAGAAAAGTCCACAGTGAGGTTTGAAGCTCAAAGATGAAAACTGAACCGACAAGAGGAATGGATGAAAGACAACAACAGATTGAAAGTTTTATGGGGTGATAATTGTAGGTTTAGGTTTTGCACCAATGAACCACTGGGCTTTTGTTATTTTAATCTTTTTTGGATTTTGTGATTTTAATCAGGTGTTATCATCTTTATGATCATAAATCTGCCTTAATTTTTTAAATGTATTCACATATATATGGCTAATTTACCAATTGATTGTATTGTCTTTTTAATTCAACAAAAATATAACACATAAGAGCCATTTTAATACAAAAAACCTGATCCTAAAATTTCTAAATAATCATTTAATCATCATTTGGAAATCAGAGATCATGCAATTCTTACATTTGGAGAAACTTGTGTCAAGAACTGCATATTTTCATCCAAACGAGGAACTATTTTAAAATTTTAAAATGTTCTGACACATGTTTTTAAACTTGGATGCAGGTCAGCAAAACTGAAAGTTAGTCCATGAATTTGTTTTTTGTTTTTTTACCTTTATGATGGTACTAAATGAACCTCAATTTGTTTATTTAGTCAGGCCTGAAAAATACATGTAAGCTGGATAATTGAGTCACATTTATTGCTCGTATCATAACTGCAGGACCTTATATCCTGCATAAGCGTCTTATTAGACTGTACATCTGGAAAAACATGCAAAACATATACAAGCAAAATCCTCCTTACCTAAAAACCGCACATCTTAATCATGGTTCAGTTAAAGACATCTCAGCGTTTCTCTCTTGCTCTGCCGTGAGTCAAACTCTTCTTAAATCCCGCTCCTCGTGCGCTCCTGGACAGCCCTGTATGCGTAATGACACCACAGCGGCGCATTACGCGCTGGTTAAATTGTCAGAGAAGCTCCGCCCACACCGTTCAGAGGTGTGTATTTTCGTGTTTGTGTTGTCAATCAAGGTGTGTGAAAATATGACCGTAGTGACACAGAGGAAAGTCATCCCACTCACACCCGCCTGAGAGTTTCACCGGGATGAGTTTAGGAACAACGGGACATATCAGCTTCTACCTGTTTGACCGACTGGCCAAAGAGACTGAAACGTCGTGTGGCCCTGATACTACAATGTCACCGGTGCCACCAAAACATTCACTCCTTATATTCTAGAGACACTTTAAAAATTTAAAGAATTAACATTGAGATAGAGTTTATTATTGCAGGGAACAAGAAAACGTCAAGAATGTGCTGAAGTATTTGACAAGAAGTATGAATGACATAAAGTTAATACACTACTAGTTTTTATATTGACTATATGTTTGTTGTGGACGCCCCCTGCTGGCTGCAGCTTGGTAGTCACTCTTATGCCTCTGTATAAATCCTCCACTATGTTGATTTAGGGTCTAATGAAGGAATTAAAATCCTGTTTAAATCAGTTTAAAAGTAAATGTCAAGAGAATTAAAATTTATTTTTAACAATAAAACAGCATCTGACAAAATGGTTTTCAGTCTTTTATTAGACATTGTTTGATACTATTAACAAAAGAGAGATTAAGTGTTATTGCATTTTGTCAGTGATAAATATGTAATACATATGAGCTCAGCACTGTCTGTATGCATGATTTTTCCAAAATTAAAGGGAGTATTTTTTTAAATCCTCCTTTATCCTTGATATCTGGCTGGTCGTGAACTTGTCGCTCATAACAAGCCATTTTGTACCTGCTTTCTCTAGAGCAGAGGACAAAAGAATGTCACATTAAACCACAGGACAGTTTTACATGTACCCAAGTCTGACTGAAAATGCTGCATTTGTGGATGTATTCACAGACAGTGGCTTTTGGAAGAGATTTTGATCCAATGTGGTGACTTCCACTACAGAGGCATGTCAGTATTTTATGTGGTGCTGCTTTAGGGCCCAAGGATTAAGGCCATCCAGTGTAAGTCTTATTGTACTTTGGTCTGCACATCTTTCATGTGTGCAGTGTTCCCTTCTTGCACAGAGGTTTCTCTGTATTTTCTGAGTTTATGATGATTCCATGTAGGGGAGAGTGGGGTAAGTTGAGCCAGAGGGTAAGTTGAGCCACCCCCTGTTTCTTGGAAATGGGCAAAGAAATTGATCATGTGACCAAATATTTAGGAGATGGGCATCAATTCATGGGGTCTGTGAAGGTTAGAAGCACATGGGTGAAGGGGTTAGACATTTATTTCCAAAAAAAAAAAAAACATTTGTCACTCTTGAAAGTGAATTTAGTCTGTCATAAGTTTTATTAGAATTATGTTCAGACCAAAAAAGATCATTTTAAAATTTTTTACATCAATTGTGGTATCTATGAGCTACAACAGTAGGGATATGGCTCAATTTACCCCACTCCTATGGTCAACTTACCCCATACACGGGGGAAGTTGACCTTAGGAGATCACTTTTATGTCATGTTTTATTATCAAGACAGTTATGTTTACACTCAGTCTGTTGGTTTGCAGGGATGCACAACATCTTGAAATATATGCAGATACACTAGTTAGGGACAAAACTATGATTGCCTTGATGTAGTGATCCGAAACATGAAAAATGGCTTACCCCACTCTCCCTTACTGTAGATAATAAAATTCTCAAATTCTTTGCAATCTTGTTTAATAATTCCCTCTAAAATTGTGAGACTTTTTGATCACACACTCTCTCACAGAGTAGTGAAGCCCTTCTTATACTCCTTACTCCCAAAACACACAGTATGAATGCATTAATTAAGGTACAATGCTGCATACTTAATAATTATAGGCCTACTTGTGTCCAATCTGCTGAGCATTACAACACCTGAAACTTCCACGCTTTCCAGTTGTCCCTGAATGCACCTTACGTCAGTTGGAGTAACCTGCCCCGGTCTGCGTCAACAGCCGCTCCGGTGTGTCGGTTTGTTTGTTTGACGGTTTGGCTCGGTGTGTTACCGGGGGGGAAACCTGCACAAATATTCGGTGAGTCCACAATTGAATTTTTGGTGATGCACATTCTGGTATTTTTCATGGATATGAACGAGAAGCTGAACTTGCACAGTCTGACAGTTAGCTTAGCGTTTAGCTTCACGTAAACGCAGCACCTAGTGAGATGGTCCCATTATCGGACACTAAGCCGTCTGTCGCACTATTTCTCCATTTTTCTTGCAAATGAACGACCACACACTTTAACTGACAGCGGTTAAATGTATTTTTAGTCTTAAAGTCTTTTTTTATATTTTATACATCCTATAATATGTTGCAGTATTCGTAAAAATAAGCCATGGCTGAGCTGTGTGCGGTGGCCGATAATTGAAGCAGGGTTTCCCCCTCATCACTAATCCTCCGGAACGGGAATAACGGAGAAATACTCTTGTTATAGAAGAAAGACACGGTGAATTTATTCCGAAATGATCATTTAGTTACAATTCGATTCACATCTATTGACAAAATTGCTGCTAAATTGTCGCCGTTGAATGAACGTGATGTTACTTACTAGCCCTATCCTATCGTAACGTTAGCTCGTTTTAGCGGCGAAACACAAGCTGACACCGAGAAGACTGGAGCTTTCATGCATCTTTCATGTGAGCAGTGTCAGATAGCAACCATTAGCCTCCAAAACCGCCTGCCTGTCTGTTAAATACTACTTAGCATATTAGCCTCTGATAACGCTTCATGCATACTTGCTGCAGCTAACCCAGTGCTAACAGTTTGTCACTGCGTCCTGAAACAGGTGGATCGAAATCACTGCTTATCTGTAATATTTCATTTATTTTTGAATAGAAGTATGTGTCAAGATTTGCTTTCAGTCTGGTGGCATGATGATAGCGTCTGTTGAAGCTGCACCGGGCTGTGTTTTCAGCACAAATCATGTGAACGAACAGAGAGGCTCTTGTCAGTAAACTCAGTTAGTATTTGTTGCATTCCCTGCAGTTATGGTGCAAAGTCTTAGTGTCTGGTTTGACTGAATACACGACTTAAAACTCCCAGAGAAAGGGCCGGGTGATGTTTACAAATAATTATCACGATATACACACTTATCACTGAAAATATCGCGATATATCCAGTGTAACGTCTGCCAGTTAACTATTATCATCACAATATGCATACTTGCCACTTAAAATGTTGCGATATATCCAGTGTAATGTCTGCCAGTTAACTAGTATCATCATCACGATATGCATGCTTACCACTTAGAGTATCACGATACATGTACATAAATGTTGGACTGCAGTGTTACATAATCAAACTAGGTAATTGGATAAATTGCTTAAGTAATCTAATAAAATGCAGCTGTAAACAGATGAGTCTGTAACCTGGGGTTTCAGTGGACCTGAAACTCTCAGTGAGCTTGTTCCAGATATTTAGATCAACAAACTTGAACACTGCATCTTCATGTTTTTTTCTGTTTCTGGGTACCTGACGCCAAATTATTCTAGACAGCCTGAGTGGTCTGGATGGTTCCCACTGCATGAGTGCTTTATTCTAGGGCTGCTCGATTATGCCATAAACTCACGATCACAATTATCAGGCATGCACAGATGCGCACACCTGTCATCTCCTTCCCCATCTCCCTTCTCTCCTCTCTCTACCTGTGGCTGCCTGATAATTTGTGCTGTTGAAGCACAATACAGTGCCTTGATAAAGTATTCATACCCCTTGAACATTTTCACATTGTCACTCTACAGCCTCAAACTTAAGTATTTTACTAAGATTTTTTGTCATAGACCAACACAAAATAGCACATAATTGTGAAGTAGAATGAAAATGATACATAGTTTTCAAAAAATTTAAACAAAAATCTGAAGTGTGGTGTGCATTTGTATTCAGCCCCCCTGTGTCAATACTTTGTAGAGCCACCTTTCGCTGCAATTACAGCTTCAAGTCTTTTGGGGTATGTCTCTACAAGCTAGTGATTTATAGTTATCAGATTCCAGATTATAACACTCCCTTGCTCACCCCTTCCATTGGTGAAGTGATGGTGGCCTTTGAGGATCAAATAGTCTATCATAATGAATTATTTTTGGCACAAAAAAGCCTCTTAACAAAAATGTGATTGCCTCTATTTTGTCCTCTCTGTACTACTGTAGAAACATGGCAGCTTGCAGCCTCTGTAGAAGGGGACCCACTCCTTTGTAGATTTAAAAGCCAGATTTTTACTTTCAGGTAAAACACCTACTTAAACAGACTTGCATTGCTTTATCAAAATGTCAGTCACATACAGCAGCTCATCATAACAAGTTTTCTCTTCCACTTTCGTACCCCCCTCCCTGACAGTTGGCTCTCAGTGTTTTCGATCATGTCAAATCGAGTTTAAACCCTGTAAACAGACGGGACGGGCCTTTAAGAGCGAGCTGAGTAACTGTATCCATTACCCAGCATCCCCTAGGGTGTCAGGTTACTACAGGACCTCCAGAACTGGTCTCCATGGAGACTGGGGAGAGAGGAGGGATTGGCTGGTTGGTGTGAGGCGGGTGGGGTTTCACCTGGGTTTGATGGGCAGGTGCAGTGCTGTCATCTGTGAATGTGGTTGTCTTCCTGGATGTGGTGGTGCACTGCTCCATATCACACTTACCTGTGTGAGCACGCTGTGTTGGCCTCTCCTGAGACATGAACTGTTTCAGAATTGCTTTATTTATCCACTTTACTGTCTCTGCAGAGTACACTGGACATGGTCACTCTGTACTTTGTAGCTACAGACTGAAATGTGTCTGCTTATTGCTGACAGTGATTTCACACAAACTATGCTGTTCTTCTTGGCATATTTGCTTTCCTTAACCATTATCAGGTTCATATACTTCCCTAATGAATGTCGAGGTAAGAAAGGTTCCTGATATTTATTACTGTAGGAGTCGACTCTTTCATCTATTGTCTACTCCCCTTCACATTTGACCCTTAAAATAAATGTGTGAAGCTTTTTGTCTCAAAGTCTCACTCAAGAATTTAAAAACACAAAGCACATTAAGACTTTTTCAAGTCATGTATGTGGATGTGGTTGAAGCCAGTACAAAGCATGTATGAAAACGACACTTAAAGGATATTCCCAGCAATTCCATGTTTCAGAACAGAAAAGAGTACTTTCTGTGCATGAAAAGTGAAATTTCACCCCATTCTTGCCTGATACAGGATTTAAGCCACCGAACAATACGTCTCATGATGCTCCAAATTATTTCAGTGGGTGACAAGTCAAGTCTGCATGCACTCCTGTGTAGCACCAGGACTCTTCTACTACTGTGCCATGCTTTTGTAATTCATGCAGAATGTGATTTGACATTGACTCATTGAAATATGATGATCTTACAGAAAAAGTTGGCTCCAAAACTTGTTGATCAGCATTAATGAACCCTCCAAGATGTGTAAGCTACCAATGCCATGGACACTTATGATCCCCAAACCACCAGAAATGCTGGTTTATGAGCCTTGTGCTGATAACAAGTCAGATGGTTCCTCTCTTTTTGAGAGCAGAGGACACACAGCATCCATGATTTCCAAAACAATGTCAAATTTTGATTTATCAGACCACAGGACAGTTTCCCTCTTAATCTCAGTCATTCTTAAATGGACTTTGGCCCGGAGAACTTCCTGGTTTGTGGGGTGTGGATTTGCATGGTACAGTTTCAGCCTGAATTTGTAGATGCAGTATATAACTGTGTTAACAGACAATTGTTTTGGAAGTGAGTTTATGTGAGTGTATGCAGTGATTTCCACTACAGAGTCATGAGTGTTTTTAAAGCACTGCTTCTCGATCTAACAGCTATTCCGTATTGGTTTTTGGTTTTGTCTCTTTTGTACAGAGATTAGTTCAGATTCTCAGAGTCTTTTCATACGTTCTCCTGTACACATGAATACCTTATGTACATAAAAACTATGTGCTTGATTAAATATAGGGTTTAAATGATTTGCAAACATAAAATAAATATTAACATTTTACACCATGTCCCAACTGTTTTGGCAGTGGATTTATATAATTTTAATGCAGACACCCAAATACGATTTTTAAAAACAGATAACCTTGAAAAACCCTCAGTACTGAGTGTTGGAGTTCTGTAAAATAGTGTGATTTCTGTTCTTGATCTCTTTTTCTCACACTGTTAAAAAATTTAAAACGTCTCTCACACATTTGCAATCTTGTCAACAAATGTCAGATGTTAGATTTTCTCCAAATGCACCAGTAGTACAACCTAAAGAGTAAAACTATAACCAAAAAAAGAGACGATATTGTTTGTTATGACAGCTTCAGTATCTCAAACATGCGTCGGGTTTTAATATTGTTTTCAAAGCACAATGACGTGTGACTGTCAATGAATGGAGGAGGTTTTCAAGTTCTTCATTTCTAAAACTCGTCTGCAGACATTTTTTCTTCTGACATAATGATACCGATTTAAAGACACACTTTGTTCTTAAACTGGATCTTTAAATAACCTGGAGAAGGGATGTGAAGTTTTCTGTGAGTCACACCACCTTTATTTGTCTTCTTGAGCGAGTTGCTGAAAGTAGTCTTTGTGTATATGCTCGCTCAGCGGGGAACACACCCACTTAACACACACACACACGAATACACACCAGGCAGAGCAGGTGGGACCGGTGTGCTGTTAAAACACTTGGCTGAGCTGACAGAGGCAAAACAAAAGGAAAGGTAGGTTGACATCAGGAACACAGTGGAGCAAGAAATGTGGAACAAAATAATGATGAGGAGGAGAATAAAGACATAAAAATCTCTGGTATGAAGATGAACTTGACGCTCAGTTTTTGTTTGGCTCTAAACAAGAGGAGTCGTGGGGACGCTCCTGTAAACTTCCTGTTTCTGTCAGTTGGAGTTTGACCTAGAAATGAAAGTCCTGTCAGCCTTTTGATAATACACTTGATTTCCTTTTAGATGTTATCTGTGATCAACTTTAAACAAAGGGACATTAAGATAGTGCTTGACACTGTTTAATCCAGAGGTACTCCACTTTAATGTTTCTTAATTTGTTAGTTTTTATATTTGACTGTTCAGTTATTCATCACTGACTTTTTCAAGAGGAACGATAGGACAATACAGTGCTAATGTAGATAATATTGTAAACAGAGATATGTCATTTCGGGTTATCAGCTGCTGTTATGATGGAGTTTAATTAATTTAATGACCAAACGTCAGAGACATGTAGTTTGTGAGACATTTTAGAGTCACATTTGATAACAACATACAGCTATCAGCAGTTTAAATACATCACATCTCCTAGATCATTAAAAAGCACAAATAATTACAAAGAAACAGTGCAAAAAAGTATCGTATCAGAATCATCTTAGATTTCCACAATCACTGGGTCTCTTATAAAGAAACCGCAAACAAAAAATCCCAAAATAAATTATAATAATGAAAAAAAAACAAGTAAAAAAATGGGTGGCGGAGCTGATATGGCTCTTAGATATCTGGATTAGGACAAAATTGGAGAGACTTTTGCAGGTGCAGGACGACTGTGGTGAAGAAAGAGACAAAATTAGAGGTGAAGTTTCTCAGGTAAAACCTGTACATCATGAGTCTATGACAACTATGTAGAGAGATCAAGAAACCCAGCAGAGGGTTGGGAGGCTGAGAAGTATCCAGTAGTAGTATTTTGGATAGTAATGTGGTCATCCCTACTCTGAAAATACAGTCTAGAAATAAAATCAGCTGATCCTCTCTCTCTCTTTCTCTCTCAGGTTGAGGACGTTTTGCACCTGCTGGCCTGTCTCACCTGCAGATCCTTCTGTTCTTCAACGACTGTAGCACCCAACAAACCCACCCTCCTACCATCTCCATCCACTGCAGCACCATGGTACAACAAAACATTTATTTTTTCATTGTAATCATATAAAAACCCGACCTATTGTAAGATTTGAGTCCAGTGCAGCCTGTGCTGCTTCAACAATAAGAACACTCGACACTAAAATATTTGATGTGCATATTAAATAAGAATGAAAAACAATCGAAATTTGGAAAAATAACATTTTAGAGCTTCTTTTCTGTTGACCTCTTTGGCTGAAGCAGGATCACAAAGAGCTCTAAGCCCCTTGGAGGTTGTAATGTGTTCAGTAAAGAAACACTAAAAGCTTTTTGTGTGTTTGTGTTTGTGTTTGCAGAGTGTATGATGTCTGAGAGCAGCTGCTATGGCCTGCAGCAGCGGTCAGAACAATGCAGAGACTCTGGAGGGGTTCCATGAGGTGAACTTGGCCTCGCCCACCACACCTGACCTGCAGGTAGGTTCACACACTTCATTATCACAGCAGGTGGAAATCCATTTTCTTTCTCACCTTTAACTGCTGTAGATCACCATCGTCTCCACTGCACTGAGTTTATTTACTCTGCGTGTTTGTGTTTTCCTGCAGAACCAAGCAGAGCAGAGACCCCCTGTCCGTCACAGCACCCCTCCCACTTCTCTGTACCGCACACACTCTCTGGGGGCGCCCCCTGCTGGCATCCCTACTTCACTACGGGCGGACCAGCTGCCCACACAGCCAGTTTACTCCACGCCCCGGCACAGCCACAATGGAAGGTAAAGACAGCACTGAAGCCGGCTCTAAAAGTCACTGACATCTAAAGACGCTACAAGATTTAGTTTGAAGCAACGCTGAAGTTCAATTTTCTATTAGCCAGACTGCGTTCTAAGTTTGGCGATACCCAGCTAACATGGTTACCCGTCTCAGTGTGCCAGGTCAGGAGGCAGAAGGGGTCGACGGGAGCTTCTTATCCGGAGAGGACGGGGAGGAGTGCAGCGCCCTGAGCGACAGCCTGTCGAGGCTACGCAGCCCGTCGGTGATGGAGGTCAGAGAGAAAGGGTACGAGAGGCTGAAAGAGGAGCTCGCCAAGGCCCAGAGGGTAGGACACATGTACACACACTCACACACACACCAAAGAAAGGCACAAAGACTGTTGAGTTAGAAGTTGACTGTGCAGTTTGAGTGTGTTTGTGTGTAAGATTCGACTACATCTCATCACACTGCTCATGATTTTATTTGTTTTCAAAAGTATGTTTAATTATTTCTTTGTTTTTAAGATTGAAATCATTGTTTAAAACCCAAAATTAATGTAAGTTTCTCATCTGTTACGCTTTAATTTGACTCCCATGGGTTTATTTTGCCATTGTTTTTTTTTGTTTTTTTGTACTTGTGTTGTTTTTTCGTTGTGTGTGTATGTGTGCGTGTGTGTAAGGAGCTGCTGTTGAAGGATGAGGAGTGTGAGAGGTTGTCTAAAGTCAGAGATCAGCTCGGCCAGGAGCTGGAGGAACTCACCGCCAGTCTCTTCCAGGTCGGTTGGTCCCCCTCAGTGTATCTGTCCAACTCCTTTACTCCTTTACTCCTCCATCCTTTCACGGCAGATGCCTGACAAAAAAAAAAAAAACCTTGATCAGCTGATTCAGCTCCGGATATTTTCTTTCTGCTCTTTGAAAGCTGCTCCGACTTTTTACCATGTCTGTGTGGAGTACTCCTAATGTTTTTTCCTCTTCTCATTCTTCCTCCTTGTTCAGTCAGTCCTGCTTTGGTGCTGGTACTCTAATCTGTGTTTGTCTTGTGTTATCCTTCACTTATATGTATCGGTACCATCAGCTGTGGTGGGACTCTGCTCCTTTAATCAAGCCTGCATAGATTCTCCTTCACTCCCAGAATGAAAACAAGACACAGATATCATTAATCGAGAACATTTCCTGAAAAGTTAAAGTGTGTGTGTTTGTTTGTTTGTGTTTCCAGGAAGCCCATAAAATGGTCAGAGAAGCGAATGTCAAACAGGCGAATGCTGAGAAGCAGCTGAAAGAAGCTCTGGGCAAGGTGACGACACTGACACACTGATACTGACCTCATAGTTTGTTCCACTTTATGGTGTGTTTTATCAGGAATCTCACGGTCAGTCTGTTGAGTAAAGCAGTGCTTCATGATGACTGCTGAAGGGATTTTTAGGGAAGATATAATGAAGGCACTTAGAAAAATGAGTCCATGTTATTATTAGTTTCAATCTGGAGCTCTGACAGCAGCTGTTTAAAAGGTCCAGTGTGTAAAATAAGGATATTTAGGGATAGCACTTCCTTACTACTTTCAGACCTTGTTTTGAGCCTACAAAACATTTATAAATGAGACCCCAGGACGTTATTTTAAACATAATGAAGTAAAAGGATAGTTTCTGAATTTACAGTGATTAAAAAAAAAAAAAAAAAAACATGGATAAAAGCCAACACAAGGGGGCGATAGAGCAATGAAATACATCAGCAAAGAGAGTGAATGAGCTGCATTTAGAGCCAAGACTCACACTGCTGTTTGCTGTCCTAACTCAGCTAGATTTTAACACACAGACATGAAAAACTCTCAGTGTTATATCCACTTTGAGATCATGTCATTATCTCTGATTTGCTGTGAGAGAAACATCCTAAATGTGCTTTGAAATATATAAAAAAAAACACTTTAGGACCTGCTTTGTTTCATCACAATCTCAAATGTCTTGAGTTTTTAAATATTTTCATGATACCTGTCTGTACGTCAGTTTGTATGCTGAAAAAAGGAGCTACAGCATGCTAATTTTGCAAATTTTTACTAGCTGTAATTTGCCTAAATTGCGTAGCATAAGCCAAAAAAGTTCTGTTTGCATGTGTTTAATATCAAATTCATATCAAATTTGTGCTAACATTCAAACTTTTTTCTCCTCCTCCTCCTCAGATCGATGTGCTCCAGGCAGAGGTCCAGGCCTTGAAAACGCTCGTTCTTTCCTCCCCCACGTCCCCCGTAGGCGATCTCCCCTCTGTAGGAGGAGGAGGAGTGAAGACCCCGTTCAGGAAGGGTCACAGCAGGAACAAGAGCACCTCCTCGGCCATGTTGGGCACGCAGCCCGACCCATCAGCGACACAGCCCATCGTACGGGAGTGCAGAGAGGTACAAGCCTGCAGAACTTTACATAAAACTGTTAAAAACACTCACTGTGATCCTAAAACCCGTGTTGTTGGACCTGCAGGTGGACAGTCAGCTGTTTAGTGATTTCAAGGCATGGAAGGAGGAGCCAACGCTGGACCGAGAGTGCAGCTTCCTGCAGAGAATTTACCGTGAGGACATTTACCCGTGTCTCACCTTCAGCAAGAGTGAGGTATGAACCACACTTTCATTTATTCATTACAAAGTCACAGCAGCAACAGAAAATATCAGTCCTGCCTCTTTGAAACGCTTCTCTCTCCCGTCCTTCAGCTTGGGTCGGCCATCTTGGAAGCAGTGGAGCAGAACACGTTGAGCGTGGAGCCGGTCGGTTTCCAGCCGCTGCCTGTGGTCAAAGCCTCGGCAGTAGAGTGTGGAGGACCAAAGTGAGACACTAAACACAGACACACACAGACACAAACACACACTCTTTCTCCTCTTCATCACAGCTCTCACTCTTTCATCATCATCTCTCCATCTTCCCTTAATTTCCTGCTCTAGTGGGCGAAGGGCTGAGCTCGTCACGTAAGTCTGACTCTCTCTTTTTCTCTCTCGCTCTCTTTCTCTCGCTCTCATCAGCATCTTTTAATCTCTCCTCATTTTTCCCTCCGACCCTCGTCCGGCCCTTCCAAACCCTCGGCTTAGCTCCTAACGTCCCCGTCATTAACCCTTCCCTCTGTGCAGGTTTATTAATCTGATCCTGCTGAGATGAACCTTGATAGACGCCTAACAGTCAGCCCTCTCTCCTCACCTCTTTTCCTGCCTTATTGAGCCCTAGTCCTAGTCCCCTTCAGTTTGTTTTATTTCCAGATTTCTTCTTGTTGAAGCTCAGCACAAAGCCTGTAAACGTCTCTCTGTGTTTGTGTCTCTCTGATAGAAAATGTGCCCTGAGCGGTCAAACCAAAACCTGTAAGCACAGAATCAAGTTTGGAGATTCGTCCAACTATTACTACGTGTCTCCTTACTGTAGATATAGAGTAAGTACTGCTGCACACACACAAACACACACACAAAATAGCATTTAAGAATACATTTTTACAAGTTTTCTTTTCAGGACTTATATTTACACTTTGAACACCCGCTGAGACTTGGTGTAAATTAAAAAACCTTCCTGAGGAGTTTTCTTAAATGTTACAGCAATTTCTTTTCTCTCAGATCACAGCCGTGTGTAATTTCTTCACCTACATTCGCTACATCCACCAAGGGCTGGTCAAGCAGCAGGATGGTGAGACACCTTTTATGAGCTCAATTTTTATTCTGTCATCAGTGAACAGGAGACTTAGGGAGCTTTGTAAATAGTCCTGGTTTCATTTAAATTCAGGAAATACAAATAACTTGACCATTTTTTGAAATCTAATTCTTTTATTCTCTGCCATGTTGATTATTTTTTTATTATCACATCTTTACTTGATGTGGAACTACCTGAGATTTTAATATATTTACCAGGGAGACCTGACCAACAGAGCAAAACATCAACACTTTGAAATAAAGTCAACCTCACAATCAAAATAATTGATGAAGCTAAAAAAGATAGTTGCATTTGTCTGAAACATGACTGTGAATGGGACTTAAAATGGTTAAATATGAATATTTCACCATCATTTTTTGTGTTCTAGTCTCTGTTGGGTCCTTGAGTTCCTGGGAATAGTAACTCTGATGTTAAAAGTTCCTGGAACTTCCTGTTTTTGTTGAAATAAAATGTAGCAGCTGGAATATTAGGATGCTAGGATTGATCAGAATTTAATTTGTATTACATACGTGGTTCCCTGCAATCATGATAAATAAGACTGCCGCTTGGTAAATAAAAGACACGCTCCCTCTCTGCAGTTAAATTAGAGTGTGCGCTCAGCCTCTCGTCTCAAACAGCTCTCACTTTTACTTCATCGCAACCGCAGATGACATTACATGATGACAGTTACACAATCTGATTTATTTGGCACAGCCTTTAGCTTTTGGATACATTAGGATAAATAAAAGTTCAGAAAAAAAGCTGTTATTCTTCTGAGTTTTAGTCAATTTAAGATTTGGAGGTGTTTAAAAATAAGCAGATCACGCAAACTTAAATGTCATTGTCCTGTTTGATTACCATGATGATACTTTGTGACTGTGAGTGTTTCTCTCTGCTGTTTTTTAGCCGAGCAGATGTTCTGGGAGGTGATGCAGCTCCGCAGAGAAATGTCTGTCGCCAAGCTGGGCTACTACAAAGACCAGCTGTGACTGACTGACTGACAGACACTCCCACCCTCCAATCACAGCAGACCCACCCCCCCTCCTGGTTCTGGTTTCCCTCCTCTCCCCTCCATCCTCCCTTCTCCTCTGTGTGAGTGTGTTTTTGTGAGTATGAGAGATTGCCTGTGGTTGTTTTCAATCATCGTGAAAAGGACTGAAGAGCAGTGATGCTTGAGTCGTTGCTGATGGGGAAGTTTTCTGGGTTTCTCTTGAGAGTTTGAATCCAAAGTTTGAGATTTATTTACTGAGAATCGCATAAGACTACCTTGTGTGAAGAAAGGTGATGTGAAATGTAAATATAGTGACATTTAAACTGATCAGAGGAGCTTTGACCTTTTTTTTTCTCTAATCCAAAGTCAAATTATTTAGTTTCACAGAGAAACAATCTAGTGGGCTGATGACCAAGAATAAGGACCGCTGTTAGGGGAAACGATATGCTGTTGGGACATTAATCTGTCGCCTCACCACTTTCAACTTCAAGTAAAAATCCATTCTTTTTTCTTAAGAAGTAACTCGTTTTTTCAAACTTGTTTTTTTTTCACAAAGTTGTGATTTTGTACTTCAAAAAACCTCTGTAAATTGTGTCTTTTTCCTAACAGTGGCCCTTTTATGCCTTTACAATGACTTAATTTACACGAATCTGTGACTTTGCTGCTAAATTCCTCAGTTAAAAATGATCCATCACTAACAGTAGTCGAGGATGTTGTGTTGTTTTTAGCAAATAAGACGCCCACCAGGCAAAAATGAAGACCAAACAATCAAATGTATCGTTTACTGAAACTGTTAATAATCTTATATTTAATTTTAGTTGGTTGGAAATGAAGAAGGCAGTCTAGGGACGTTGATTTCTGTTATTTAATGAAGTACAGTAAGATGCAAAGATAATCAGAGGACTGTGAGTATTAACCTGACTCTAAAGCCCCTTTCAGATCAGATTATTCCCTTTTGGAGTCTTCAAATTATCTTATTTTGGCGATGAATCTGAGGCTTTACAGAAAACTATCACCGGATTACTGTAAAACTGAAGAAACTGAAGTTTCTCAGGCGAATTGTAGCTTTTTTCCAAGGTAAAATATCCAAACATCACATTAAACTACCGTCCCAAGAGGCTAATCCTGTTTGAATGGGGCTCAAAATATCCTGTAAAGGTGAAAAAGCTTGTTTGTGTATGCAGGATACATTCTGTTTCTACATTACTGAGATTTTCTGTTATTTTTTTGTTGCCAGGGTGGTTCCAGATGTTCATGAAGCTACTGAAAAGAGATATTAAACACTCCATTTTCATTATTGCTGTCAAACACTACATGATGTTCTGGCATGTTTTTGACCAACACAATTATAGGGAATTGTCCTTTAACAGCTCCCTGTGTGTTTAGCCAGCTGTATTTAATCAATGAGAATACGTGTTGATGGTGTGCGTGTGTGTGTGTGAATGGAAAGTGTGTATGAACGCCAGGTGTTGTGTATACTTTATAAATGTTAATTTAAACCTGAAGTCACTCCTCTGGATCTCTCTCTCTCTCATTCAAAGTCAATGTCACTCTCCCAGTTTGGTTTAGTGCCTTTTCTCAGACACTCTGAAATAAAAACAGGAATACCTCTGGAAACCTGCTGCGTCTGTGCACTCTGTTCACCAACAACATTCATTTAATCCTTTATCATAGATTTTATGTCTGTATGTATTTATGTTTGCATAACTATGTATGTTTGGCTGTAGGTTCAGAATGAATGAATGTATGTATGAAAACAATTTTTGTTAGTCTGAATGCATGTACAAATGTATGATTGTATTAATGTATGCATGTAAAACTAAATTAATTTTTGAATGCTTGAATGAATTATTTTTTTGCATGTCAATAAGTCATTCATACAGTACACCAGAAAAAATATAGTAGTAGTATAGTATGTTTGAATATGTCATAGTATAATTTGATTTAAATTTTTATTATTAAAGATGTCATAGTACTGTATGATAAAAACGTCATAGTATAGTATGTTAAAAAATGTCATCTTACAGTATGATAAAATTGTCCAAATTTAATATTGAAAAAATGACAGTATAAAATGTTAAAAAAATGTCATAGTATAGTATGTTAAAAATGTCATTATATAGTATAAAAATTTCCAAATTTAATATAAAAAAAGTCATAGTACAGTATAATAAGAAAGTGTCATAGTATAGTATGTTAAAAAATGTCATCGTATAGTATAACAAAAATTTCCGAATTAAATATGAAAAAATGTCCTAGTGTAGCATGTTAAAAGTGTCATAGTATAGTATGACAAAAATTTCAACTTATAATGAAAAAAAATTTCCAAGCATAGTATGTTAAAAATATGTCACAGCATAGTATGATGAAAATTTCGAATTTGATTACGTTAGAAATAACATAGCGTGATAAAAAAATTTCATAGTATATTATTATGAAAAATGTCATAAAAAATTGAAATTTTAGTATGAAAGAAATTCATAGAATAGTATGCTAAAATGTAATAGTATAGTATGTGAAAGATTTCCAATAGTAAAATAAAAAAAAATGTAATAGTATAGTATATTAAAGATTTTTATAGAATAGGATGATAAAAATCTTATAGTAAAGAACGATAAAAATTTTAAATTAAAAGAAAGTCATATAATAGTATGTAAAAAAATGTTATAGTATGATAAAAAATTTTGAATTTTGTTACGTGAGAAATAACAGCAAGATAAATAAAAACGTCATAGTATATAATAATGAAAATGTCATTAAAAACTGAAATTTTAGTATAAGAATTTTACATAAAAATTTTAAATTAAAAGAAAGTCATATAATAGTATGTTAAAAAATGTTTAAGTATGATAAAAAAAAATTGTCATAGTATGGCATAGTATAGTATAAAAAATTTAAAAGTATAGTTTATTTAAAAAATGTCTTGGTATAACATTAAAAATTCAAATTTTTTGTATGAAAAAAATTCATAGTAAAGAAGGTAAAAAAGGGCATGCTATAGTGTGTGAAAAATGTCATAGTTTAGTATTTTAAAAAATGTCAGTATAGTATGATATAAATTTCAAATTGTTTTGTGATAAAAATGTCATAGTGTGGGAAAGAAAGTTCATAGTATAGAATGTTTAAAAAAATAACATAAAATGATAAAAATTTCAAATTTTAGTATGAAAAAAGGTCATAGTATAGTATGTTAAAAATGTCAAGGGATACTATGATAAAAATTTCAAATTTTAGTATGAAAAAATTTCATAGTGAAATATGTTTTAAAAAATTCCATAGCATAGTATGTTACAAAAGTCATGGTTTAGTATGATAAAAAAAAAAGTCATAGTATAGTATGATAAAAATTTTAGATTTCAGTATGAAAAAAATTTCATTTTATAGTTTCATAAAATACATCATTGTATAGTATGTTCAAAAATATCATAGTATCATATGATATAAATTTCAAGTTTTAGTATGAAAAAAAAGTGTCATCGCAAAAAATGTTACAAAATGTCACAGTAAAGTGTGATAAAAAATTGCATATTTTAGTATGAAAAAAATGTCATAGTATAGTATGTCACAAAATATCATAGTATGGTATGATAAAAATTGTCATACTGTAGTATGTTAAATAATGTCACAGTATATAATAATAAAAAAACACATTTTAAAATTTAGTAATTTTACTTTATTTCATTTTGATTCATCTGAAACGTTAAGATCAAAGAACAAACAATAAAAACAACTAGAAACAAAAACACTGAACAAAAAAATACATATGTACACCGACTGTACATGTCAAAGATAAATTTAAACAACATGCTTGTGAAAATTAACAGTTTGAGAAGGAACAGAATTAAGCAAGCTTATAGTATATAAGGATAAAAAAGTATAGTATGTTATATTATGTCATAGTATAGTATGAAAAAATTCACATTTTGAAAAGAAAAAATGTCATGCTAAAAATAAAAAAGGCATTGTATTCTATGTTAAAATACATCACAGTTGTTATCACATTGTTAAAGTTACACATTTGATTGTGAAAAAAAATGTAATAGTATAGTATGATAAAAGTTTCAAATTTAAGTATAATAAATGTCATAGTATACTATGTTAAAAATGCCATAGTATAATGATATAAAAATTTCAAATTTTAGTATAAAAAAATGTCATAGTATAGTATGATAAAAAAATTTCAAATTTTAGTATGAAAAAAAATTTCATTGTTTAGTATGGTAAAAATTGTAATGGTTTAGTATGTCAAAAAACCCATAGTATAGAATGATAAAAATCTCAAATTTTAAAATGAAAAATATGTCATAGTATAGTATGTTACAAAATGTTATAATATAGTATGATAATAATGTCAACGTATGGATATGATAAAAATCTGATAGTATAGTATATTTAAAAAATCAAAGTATTAAGTATTATAATTAAAGTATTTTAAAATTATCAAAGAATAGAATGTTAAATATATCATAGTCTTGTGATGACCGTAAAGCCTAGTCAGGGTATGTTTCTACCTGTTTCTTTCCTGTTTCCTGTTTTGTTTTTTTTGTTTTTTTTTGTTTCTTTTGCAGGTTGTTGGTATGCAAGGTTTACACGCACCTGGGAGTTCCTGGCCAGTCTCCAGTGGTATAAAAGACCAGACTGTCGACCTGCTCTCTTACTCTCTCATCCTCCATCCTCAAAATGCTCCATGTGACAGCAGGGTTTCGTCGAAGTGGCTTCAGCCTCCTTTAGATTTAGTGTTGCACTTTGCAAAGTGCTGCACACACACAATTTTCACTCATCCAACAGCAGACACACTGACTAACTGACACACACACCTCATCCATTTTGTTGCTAAAACATTTATTTTGTAATAAACCATTAGAGTAAAAGTTGACTGTGTGATCCCCCTTTCTTTTGTCTGAACTGTGAGCCTGTTTGTAGCAGTAAAGTATAAAAAAATATATTACATTTATTAGTATGATAAGGAAAATCCTAGTTAAGCATTGTGAAGTATAGTATAGTATGTTAAAATATTGGTTTAGTATGATAAAAATAAAAATGTATAGTAGAATAAAAATGTCCTAATACAGTGTGTTAAAAAAATCCTAGTTAAGTATTATAAAATGTCAAAGTATGTTACAAATATCACAGGATAGTATGATAAAAATATCATAGTATTGTCTGTTAAAAAATGTCATGAAATTGATAACAAATTTCAAATTTTAATAGAAAAAATGCCAAAGTATAGTGTGTTAAAAATGTCAAAATACAGTATGATAAAAATTTCAAATTTTAGTATGAAAAAATGTCATTGTATAAAATATTAAAAATGTCATAGTATTGTTTGTTAAAAAAACAGTACAGTATGAAAAAAAAATCTAATTTTAGTATGAAAAAAATATCAAATTATAGTATGTTAAAAAATGTCATAGTATAGTATGATAAAAAAAAAAAAAATTTGGAATGAAAAAAATGTCATTGCAAAGTTTGTTAAAAAATGTCATAATGTAGTATCATATAAATTTGGAAATTTTATTATATGAAAAAAGATCATAGCATAGTATGATAAAAAAATGTCATAGGATGGTATTATAGAAACGTCATAGTATAGTATGACAAAAACTTCAGATTTTAAAATAAAAAACGGTCATTGGATAGTATGTTTAAAAGTGTCACAAGAGAGGATGATAAATAAATATCATACTATAGTTTGTTAAGTATGTCACAGTATAGTATGATAAAATTTTCAAATTATCAAAAAAAAAAAGTCATAGTTTAGTATGTTAAAAAATGTCATAGTTTGGTTTGTTTAAAATTTTGAATATTAAAATGAGAATTAATGTCAAAGCATTGTATGTTAACAAATGTAACCGCATAGTATGATCAAAATTTACTATTTTATTACAAAAAAATGTTTAGGATGATTATAAAAATGTTAAAGCATGGTTTGTAAAAAAAATGTCATGGTATAGTTTGATAAAAATGTGATGGTGTAGTGTAAAAAAGGCATAGTATAGTATGATATAAATTTCGAATTGTATTGTGTTAAAAATTTCATAGTATGATAGAAAAAATGTCATAGTATAGTATGTAAAAAAAAGTCATGGTATAGTTTGATAAAAATGTCAAATTTTAAAATAAAAAAAAATGTAATCTTATAGTATGTGACAAAATGTCAGTAAAGTATGATAAAAATATTAAATTCTAAAGTTCTAAAAAATATCATAGTTGAGTATTAAAAATGTAATAGTATAGTTTGTTAAATATTTCATAGTATATTAAAATGTCATAGTATAGTATGATATAAATTTGTATTGTGTCAAAAATGTCATAGTATGATAAAAAAAATTGTCATAGCACAATATGTTAAAAAAACAGTAAAGAATAAAAAAAAAATAATTTTAGTATTGAAAAAATGTCATTGTATGTTAAAAAAATGTCATAGTTTAGTATGATAAAGTTTTTAATTGTTGAAAATGAAAAAAGACATGGTAGAGTAAGTTAAAAAATCTCAGTATAGTTTGATAAAAAATTCAAATTTTAAAATGAAAAAAAAAGTTTAAGTATAAAATGTAAAATATGTCAAAGTATAGTATGTTAAAAAATGTTTGAAAAGGCATGGTGTAATATGATCAAAATTTTAAATGTTTGTTGAAAAAAATTTCATAGTATCTTATGAAAATTAATGCCTTTGCATAGTATGAGAAAAAATGTGAAATTGTTTTGTTAAAAATATCATAGTATGATAAAAAAAATGTCATAGTATAGTATGTTAAAAAATGTCAAAGTTTAGTATGATAAAAATTTCAAATTTTACTATAAAAAAATGTAATAGTATAGTTTGTAAAAAATGTCATGGTAATGTTTGATAATAATTTCAAATTTGAGTACGAAAAAAATATCAAAGTATCGTATATTAATAAAATGTCATAGTATATTATGTGAAAAAAAATTCATAGTATAGCATAATATAAATTGCAAATTGATTCCTGTTAAAACTACACATAGACACATAGACAAATGCCATTGTATAGTATGTTAAAAAATGTCATTGTATAGTATGATAAAAGTTTTAAATTTAATATGAAAAGAATGTCCCTGTTTAGTATGTCAAAAGGTGTCATAGTATGATATGTAAAAAAAAAATGTCATGGTATAATGTGATAAAAATTTCAAATAAATTTATAAATAATGTCATAGTAGAGTATAAATATAAATGTAATAGTATAGTGTGTTTAAAAATGTCATAGTATAGTTTGATAAAAATTTCAAATTGTTTTGTAAAAAATGTCATAGTAAAATTAAAAAGTGTCATAGTATAGTATGTTAAAAATATAATGGAAGAAATGATAAAGTTTTCAAAATAGTATTTAAATAATGTCATCATATAGTATGTGAAAAAAAATCAAAATTGAGTTTTATTAAGTTTTGTATGATAAAAATGTCACATATCGTGACATTGTATGATATTGTCACATATCATTTCAAGAAAATGTTTGATCATACCGTAAAAAACAATGTCATAGCATTGTGTGTTAAAATTATAGTCAATTATGATAAAAATTAAATTCATACCAATTTTTACAGGCATTAAAACATGTATGCAATCAAACACATCAATGTAAATAAAGATCAATAAGACATTGTATATTTTCATGTAATTTTCTGACTGATCGACACACATTAAAACACTGAGCACAGTTCAGTTCAGACATATGTACAGTTTATTGACACTTTAGAGGCAGTTCATGATGTACAGATGTTTTTAAATTAAACAGGTGCAATGAAGATACTGCTGAGCATGAGACTGCACATTTCTGAAATCTGCCTTTCTTCTATTCAACATAAACACTGAAACATCCAATGAAACCAGCACAGATTCAGTTAAATACCCAAGTTAAATAGACCTTTCTTTTATATGTGATATCATCATTACAGCTGTGAGAGTTACACTAAGTGTAAACCACTGATTGCAGCTGAAGCCTCAGAGCAGTTTCATCCTCTCTTTGCAAATTTGTTATTAAACTGTACTGACTACACATTTGATCTTGAGTTAATGAGCAGGGTTTGCAGAACAAGATCAGTTACATACTGAACCAAAGTGTTTCAGTAGTATTTCAGACATTATCTCGAAACCCAGCCAGTGTTTTAAAAGTAAAGCACAATATCTAAAGTTTAAAGTTTTAGATATTGTGGTGCTCTTTGAAGCACCAACCTTGAAGTACGCTCTAAGTGGATCATTTGGGTTTTAAATTACTTAGAAAGTGATCAAAATAACACAAGCAGGACTGTAAGTGCACAACTCTGCACTGACAAAATACAACACCAGAAGCCGAGACTAAAAAGACAATCAATAACTCTTCATTAGAGAATCATCAGGACATGCCAGAGCTCTGTGTTGGTCTCTGAACACTTTCTCCCTTATAGACCCTATCATCGCCCTCACAGTTTATTTTAAGGGGTCCCTCTTCAAATTACTTGTTGTGCAGTCAGCAAAAGCAACAATAGCAAACTCACAAGTGAATTAAAGTTGCTGCTCTTTATGTAAAAACCCTACATAAGGTTATTTTATCAACACTGAATCTGTCTTTTCTACTTATCTTAACCCTCCACCTGAACTTCTTCTCTTGAATATTTCTGTATATGAGGGTTTTTAGGGTTTAGGAGAAAAAACACACATCGTTTAAGGACACAAGTTTGAGGCTTCCAGTCCCAGATTAAAGCAGCTGTGGTGCCTAAATCATCTGTGTTTAAATCACCAGAACAGATTTATTAGAAAAATACTTGACATGAGAATGGAAGCCCATTTTGCCAGCCAAAAAAGAAAAAACACCACAGTTAGATGGGAAAAGAGTTTATGTTTAGGTATCATACATTTTCAATGTCATCATTATTTGTTCAAAAGTCTATTTCATGACATAAAAAGTCATAATTTGAGATAAATGGTCCTAGTTAGAGGGTAAAAAGTCAAAATTACAAGATAAATAAGTTGTGATTGTGAGGTAGGACAAAAACATTCAGATGTTCACTTTTAAATCATTATGTTGACTTTTATTTCTATGGACAGCTTTTTATAACTTTAAGATTTCATCTGATCATTACATGAAAAACAACATTTTGCATAATTTCCTTTTCAAGATTTCTCCCTTTCACCTATAATGAGGACTTTTAAAAATTTTTAAATCCAACATTTTACCACAAAAAGTGACATTTTATGTCTTATAAATCTGATTTTTGCCTCATAGTTGACTTTTCTTTAAAACCTTGACTTTTATGACATTACAAATGTAGCTTTATGTTGTATAGACGTGTGTTTTAACTGTTTGCCTCATAACTTGATTTATTTTAACTTTTTAATCTTGCATAATGACTTTTATCTGTGAAAACAGTTTCTCATTCATTTAAATCATAATCTCATAAATGTGTTTCTGCTCATAATAATGATTTATGACTTTTTTTCTGTGAACTTTAGTTGTTGATCAGATAAAAGTTATCTCTAAACTTTCACTTTTTTCTCCATGAAAAACTTCTCTCATAATTTCTTTATTTTTATCTTATAATTTAACAAAATATTGTACTTTTTACTCTATTTATGATATTTTATCTCGTAATTTTGACTTTAATGTCCGATTGCTTTGACTTTTGTCTCTTAAATTAAATTTGTAATTTCAAATTTCTGTTCATCTCATTTTTCTTTCATTGATTCAATATTTTTAATGTTCCTTTTCTTAATTATCCTGACAAAACTTTCATTTTATCTGTCAGAATTTTCAGACGACAGAATATGGCTGTCATACATGTTCCTCAAACCTACACAAATGTCTCATTTATAGTCTGTAACAAGGATACAGTATTTGTTTTACCAGGATGATAATTTCCATGAAATCTTTCTGCAGTCGTTTGTATGACAGAGCTGTTCTGATGTATAAAACTGTGTTTCTTTCTTAGAGCCACAGCTGTATTGTAAATGTACTGTGATGTTTCTTTCACCAAAACAACGAGCATGTTACCCAAATGATTCTTTTCCTGTCACTTCTTTGTTTTTGAGTCTATCTTGGCCACATCCCCCACGCCAGCCCGGGCAGGACGAGCGCGACGAGGACAGAGGAGAACAGATTGACGGCATTGTTGTCCAGGATTGGTTTCCCACAGATCCGCTGAGTCGTGGCCGACTCGTAACCCACCACCTTCCCGATACTTGAGTCAAAGCCTGAAGACAGATGGGGAGAGGAAAGTTCTGAACATTTACACTCTAAGATAAAAATCTCTTTGTTTTTCTCTTAAGTTAGATCGTCTAACATTAGAAAAGTGTCTTAAATGTTGAGGTGCTGAACAGGTAACAGAGCGGTGACTTTAGGTACTTGTCATAATACACCTAAGGTACATCTTTGACCAGAAGAGGGCAGTGCAGAGCTCCTTGTTTAGACTTAGTAACATAAGACATAAAATGTGGACTTTTCTGACTCTCCATTTTCACTGGGTCCTACCTGAATACTGCATGTGAGCGCCCAGGAAAGAGTCCAGCATGGATCCCAGCAGTCCAGCCATGCCTCCGTAAAACATAATTGGCCACTGTGGGTCAGCCAAGTGTAGGTCATTGAGGAACAGAAGCTGTGTCACAAAATAAGCCGCACCCACTGCAAGACCACCCAGGAAACTGGCGACCAGTCCGACGGTGGTTACTCCTCCGTTTGTCCCTGAAAGAGCACATAGCAAAGGAAAAATGACGGTAAAGAAATGCATCTTTATATGAATGAACAGTGTACAAGTGGAGTGTAACTTATCGGATTTAAGATAAAATAACGATAAAATGTTTGGTTTCATGCTTTTAGTATACAGCCTCATAAAGAGAAAGTCTCTTCAAGCTCATTCATGGTAAAATGACCTGATTTAAGTCCCGGTATATAAGTCGAAGTCAAAACAGAAAAAAAAAAAAACATGGATAAAAAAAGAAAAATAAAGAAACACAAAAATTAAAAAATTAAACAAACTTAAAAAAAAGAATGCAATCTAAAACGGGGTAAGTATGAATGAAGGAAAAACATGAAAGAAAAAAAAAAGGAAAGAAAGTATAAAACAAACGAAAGACAGAGGAGGTAAGAAAAAAGACAAAAAGAAAGAACAAACGAAAGAATAAAACAGAAAAAGAAAGAGATGAAAGAAAAAAGACTAAATTGTATTTCACACCATGCAAACGGGCGGGGACGAACAAGTGAAACGGTTATAGACAGTATTTTATCCCGTTGACACCATGGATGAGAAGATGCTGATTTTATAAGTCTAGAAGTAGATTTCCTCCTCTGGAAGGACACGATCTACTGCTTATATGGTTAGCCTATGTGGCCAAAGACAACTTGTTATCATGCGATTGCACGTGAATCTGCTGGTTCTTGTGAGTTTTGCGATTCCTGCTGTCCGTAATCCGCCACAAAATTCGCCTCACAAACGGATCGGATAGCGGCATTTTTTTTAATAGGATGGAAGAGGAAGGTCCCGCCCTCCTTCGCCTCTGATTGGCTAGAGCGCTGGGCTCTGATTGTTTATTACTTATGGCTGTGAAACGTCATTGTATGTCGGGTAAGGGTTAGGAGATTCAGAAGTGCGATAATGTTCTGTTCAATGTAAAGAGCCGACAGCCCGCGTTTGGCTTGAGCGCTAGATGAAGTTTCGAGCTTTGGCCAATCAGAGGCAAAGGAGGCGGGACTTCCCCCTACTATCCTACAAAGAAATATATCGGGATCCGATAGGAACTGGCATACGGCGAAAATCGCAGCCATTCCGGATCGGAGACATTCCAATTGCGGTAGGAATCCAAGAAATGAAAGAGAAAGAGAAAGAAAAGTAACAAAAGAAAAAAGGAATCATGATAAATTAGTGAAAAAGAAAGACAGACAGAATGAAAACAGAAAAAGAAAGGAGAGGAAAGATCTTAAATTCGAGGATGTGAGAGAAATGAAAGAGGGAAAGTCTGTTTCCTACCTGCTGGTACTTCCTCCCAGGTGGTGATGAGTCTGGGCTGTGATTGGCTGAGAACAGGCCCTACCTCTGACGCCCAGGTGTCCCCTGTGCTGCAGGCGAGTGCTCCCAGCAGAGACAGACACATCCAGGAGGCCGAGTACTGTTTACTGAAGTCTATGGGCATCTCACCTGGACCCACCTGGAAACACAAACACAGAAATCCTTTTTATTTGTTATATGTTCACCCTGATAAAAGTGTTAATGTGTGCGTGTGCGTGTGTGTGTGTGTGTTAACCTCAATCATGTACAGCAGGGCCAGCTCTGTAGGAACTCCTCCGTTACAGAAAACCTGAATCCAGTTCCTCTGGCCGCCTGCACACAAACACAAACATGAGTGCGCTTTTATTTTGAAGTAAATCATAACACACTTTTACCTCCCCTCACCTTCTTTATACTCTGCGTCTATCTTCTTCTTCTGTGCTCCTCCCCAGCGGGTAAGTCTGGAGGAGGTGATGAAGAAGGCCAGCAGGGAGGAGAAGAAGCTGAAGTTTGCCATCGTCAGCACGAACCCCACCAGGAGAGCTGAGAGGAAAAGTTTCAGGTCAGAGAGACGGTTTGAATCCTTCGCCATCATATAGCTTTTCTGAAGTGAGTGATTGAGGCAGCAGAATAAACACATGTGCAACAGTAAGATATCAATAAGTGTTTTGCTTTTTTTTGGTGGATTGATATGAATAAAACCTGTTGTTCTAAATCAGCATTGGCTTTTAACAAAGTCTCATTTCACCCATCTGCCCTTGACTGAATCAAATCAAAAAGGTTGAATCATGGGAAGCTTGTGATTGTACAGTTGTCCAAAAATCAATTTAATGATATCATGTGAAAAATGCAAAAATATCTTTGAACTTTGGTGGATCAATTTTATTGCAAAGTTTGTTTCAACTTCATAAATTTTGTTTCTTTCTCCAGGCTAGAAAAGTTGATCCAAACAACATTTATACATTGATTAGATTAAAAACATCCGTCCTTTATGAATGGATGCTGTTGCAGCTACACAGCTAATCTCTCTGTGCAAATCTGAGCACAACAAAAACAAAAGTAAATTCCTTCTCTGGGTTTAAACCTCCTCCAGAAAACTGCAGCTACATTTGACAGATTTAAGAGTTCTGCACCTGTTCATGCATCATGTACCGTAAACACAGGAATTCAACCCCATGCTGTTTTACTCTAACTTCCCTGTTTGTATTGTGTTAAAGTCGTATATTTTTGAATGTTTTTGTTTTATTTCTAAAAAATGTTTTCATTGTGTCACTTTCATAAAATAGACTTCTCGAAAATCTCGATGGCACCTGTAATAAATCAAACCAAAGAAAACGCTCATTTATGTTCTCACATCTCTTTGTCTGAGTGCACACTCAGCGGTCATGAGACACCGCCCGCTCTTTTAATAAGAGATTTTTTTTTGTGGGTATCCAACGGATTTCAAGGCGGGTTTGGCGGCAAAGATGACTCGATAAAAGGGTGAACTTGTTAATTTGAAAAGTGGTGAGCCCTTTTAGAGATATCATAAATTAAAGGTTTCTGGACCGGAAAGACGGACTATTGTAAGACTGTTTCATAGAAATCGCCTGAGTGTGACCATTACTCCCAATGGAACAGAAAATGATGCCATGAACTTTGTGGTTGTTGACTACGTCAACAGATTGATAATAATCAGGTCTGTAAAGGTCAGCTTAGATCTTCAATGGCGCAGCCCAGAGAAAGAAACAACATCCTACGATACTTGGTAACCATTTCAAAATAAGGGTATCACAAAAATGTCTTTTTATGTGTCGCTCGTGGCGTTTTTTCTGATAAACGAGCTAAATCAAAATCAATTTCTTTGTTTCCTACAATAAAGTGCTGAACTACTCAACACACCGCCTGTTTGACGTCAAGCAAATTTTATTGCCTTCAAATCAAACATGCAAACAAAATTCCAAAAGAGTTAGGGCGCTTATAAAATACAAAAACAGGTTATGTTGGATTGTAAATCCTTTACTTTCCGAGTACTTAAATGAAGGACATTTGAACAATACACAGCAAATGTTAAAACTTTTATTGGTCTATGAAAACTATACAATTCTCCGAACTCATGAGGTTCATTTCAAACATGACTTTAGTGACATGACTGAGTATAAGAAGGACATTGAGAGAGGATGTGTCTTAGAGGTAAAGATGGAAAGAGGTTTACCACTCTGTGAGAGAATGCGTGAGTAAAGAGTTCAACAGTTTCTTGTGAAATGACACATTTGAGGATTTTTTTTTACCCTTTGGGGACAAGGACCCAAACCGATACTGGATGAACCTGATCTTCAGGCCCTCAGGCAGCTTTTTTTTTAATGATACTTGAACAAAATACGCTCCTGCATGCGACCATAGCTAGCGAAGAAATAAGTCAATTGAATGGTTCAGGTCTGGCAACACCAGGATATACCAAAAGGGGTCAAAGTGGACCAAGGGTAGGGGTTAGCAAAGGGTCTATGATGCATGTGGGGAGAGAAGTTTGTGTGCTGGACAACCAAGTCAGATCCGGAGAGGCCCCACCTCACAATTTTCAGGACTTAAAGGACCTGCTGCTTATGTTTCAAGGGAGTCCATGAACCATCAGGTCAGGGGGTCTAAACAATATTGGGCAGGTGGTTTATTGTTATGAGAGATATAAATAAACCAAAACTCACAGCTTTACATGAACAGATAAAGACAAAGAAGACCTATCGTGTAGATATGTGTAGAGGACCTGTTTTGGGTCATTTTGCTGAACATGAGACAGTTTTTTTTTTTTGATATTTTGCTCCCAAGAGGAGTCAGAAATAATCAAATCTCTCGTGTGCTTGTTTTGTAGATAGAAATGATAAAACTGGATAAATAGAAACAAATAACTCATTTGAAAAGAGCAGGTGATGGCAGGGAAAGAAGAGGTTACACTCGGTATAAACCAAGCGTCTCAAAACCTTGAAAAAAGATTTTCTGGAACAAATTCACACCATAAAACCATCACCAAACCTTTGAAGTCAGCCTGAGACTGAACGAAACAGCGTGTAAAGACTCGACCAGCGAAGCCACAGCCTGAATGATCTCATGGAGTCAGTTTGACCACATATCGTGTTCTAAAAAGGGACTGTTTGAGTCATTTCTGTAGGACACTTTCATGTGGCTTTTCTTTGGAAGATGAGAGATTCAGGAGTGATGGTCAGTGACGTCTTCACTTTGGATTCATGTCTGGTGGCCAATAAGGATTTGACTTCATCAAAAGATCACTTTAAACTTTGAGCAACTGAATCGGAATAAATACGAATCTTTATATCCTGAACAGGGCAAACTGTATACGCTCAAACTTACTGCCTAGAATCAATTGCTTTAAATGTTTTGGAGAGTATAAATCTTCTTTTAACCTTTATTTACAGTCACAACTGATTTTGAATTGAATATGTATATGCTGAGATGAAATCGGGGACTTTTCCTGCTGCATGATTAATGTCAATTTTCTGAAAGGTTTCCTTTTGAGGTTAGTGACTGTTTTTCTTCACAGTTAAAGGTTAGCAGAAAAACAGTTACTCAACTAATAAATTTAAACCTGCTGACAAAAAGTTTTCATCAAAGAGCCTTTCCTGCTTGGGTTTACACTAAAATGTCTCTTATGTTTTCATGGTACTGGTTTCATACATCAACCTGATTGGTCCTTTTAAAAATGATTGTTATTATAATCCCAAAAAGCGGATCGTCGTGTGGGTGTTGGTAGTTTTTAAGGACCGAACGAACTCCAAAAGTGATGTGGCATCAGGGGGAATAAGGAGGAAGGAAAAATAAATCGTATCATCATCGCTACTACAAAAATAAATGACTGTGCAGACTCGCACTCACCTCCCAGAGCTCCTGATTTGTCCAGACTGCGACGCTTCAACGCTCTGAGCGTCAGCACCAGAGGAACTAAGATGGAGAACAGCCATCGCCATGGTGACACCGGCTGCAGAGTGCCTGAGAATGCATTTAGAAAGATTAATACCAGGTCAACACAGTTCTCTATTACTATAACAGAAAGGTAGCTACCTCTTTTTCAGTTTAAATATAAAAAAATCAAGGAAGATGGATGCTCCATATTCACTTTTTTAGACATGCTGTACTTGCACATAGCAAAAGCTGTTTTTACACATTGCACATGAGTTTAAGCTGCTGGTTTAGTCAGACGTGCTTGGGATTGTTAGGTTTAAATGAATGTTTACTTGGAAAATTAGCAATTCCTGACACCAGCCTCAAGTGGACACTAATGGAACTGCGGTTTTCTGCACTCCTGCTTTGGCTTCATCCCTCATCATCAGAGGTTGCTGTTTGGATGGTGCAACCTTTTAAAAGCTAGAAGGATGATCATGGACAGAAGATCGTCTCCAACAGAGATGATGTGGCGTAAGGTGGACCAGTGGTATAAAACTTGACAATAGAGGCACTCTGGCGCTAAGAAAAACTAACTTTATCTTAAAATTTGCAGTCAAAATTCAACTTTGAACTCATGATTCAGATAATTTTCTTCTTGTTTGTTGCCCTGAGAAAAGTCTTAAAGGGGGAAGTGCTGCGGAGAAAGCCATGTGATATAAATCTGAATGTCCCCTGTGTTCATAATCCTGTTTAAACCCTATTATCTGATTCTTTGGGGTAGTCAATAAAGGCATAATAAAAACAAAATGATAAAAAGGAAAACAGACACAAAGGTCCTTAAATTTGTTTGATTTTCATGAGATAAAAAAACCTCGAAGCTGTTGATTAATATCTAGGATGTAATACGCAAGACAACAGGAAACCCTTTTTGCAGACAAAGAATTTATTGTGGTCTAAAGCAAAGTGATTAGACCATGGTAAAAAAAAAAGAGCCAAAAATGACCCCAAACTTTAGAGGGGTACATAAGGTGATGACGCGTACAGAGAAAGTAATACTAACTGCTCATGAGTAGACAAGTGTGTTTGTTTAGCGCTTTTTCGCTTTTTGTCCATAAAGGAGGAAAAATAAGATTGAGGATTGAGAGAAGAGCACATGATTTTCTTTTTACCTCTGCCAAGGAGGTTATGTTTTCGGTAGCGTTGGTTTGTTTGTTTGTTTGTCTGTTAGCAACTTTACGGAGAAAGTTACAGACGGATTGACCTGAAATTTTCACCAGAGGTGCGTCTCAGCCCCAGGAGGATCCCATTAAATTTTGGTGGTGATCCGGATCGCCTTCTGGATCCAGGAATTTTTTGAAGGATTCTTTATCACTGTGAGATAGGGCAAATTTGGGAATTTTTGCATTTAACTCTATAAAAATGGCCAGAGTCTTTAGTAAAAAATTACACAAAGGGATCTCAATGAGTTTTATGAGGTGTCAAAGGTTGATCCTTTTCCGGACAAAATTCCGGATACTGTGATCCAGAACACACAAAAATAAGGATGTCGTTGGAATTTTCAATGCTGAAAGATAACCCATGGGCGGCACAGTGGTGTAGATAGGCAGCACAGTGGTGTAGTGGTTAGCACTGTTGCCTCACAGCAAGAAGGTCCTGGGTTCGAATCCCGGTCAGGGCATTTCTTGTTTTAGGAACATTATGAACAGTGAACATACCAGTTTAAACACAAATAAAAGTTAATAAAAGACACGTAACAGTAAAAGTTTAGGTGTGAATCACAATATAAGGGGGGACATGAGCTGCTTGGCGGAGGTCTGCGCTCTCCGAGTGCTTTTCTAGTTTTGTTATTTGTTTCATGCATCTGCACACAAGCATCCTGGAAAAAAACTTTGAAAAATTAAGTATTTAGTTTTAAAAAGGCAGGACACTAACCATAGTATGAACTGATGGTGAGGGAGAGGATCCAGAAGAAGAGGGAGAGAGCCAGAGTGGCACACAGCACGATCATGTCGGTCATCATCTTGACGTATTCCTTCATCAGTATTTCTTTCTCAGAGTCCATGCTGGCAGAAAAACGGGGCTGCAGGACACACGGTTAAAAATGTTTGTTTGAAACAAATAAACACTTAGACTTTGGAATCAGTTTTACTAACCATTTTATTAAGTGAACATAAATCCCATCACAGTGTGAACCCAACATGATTTTAAGGAAAAACCTTGCTTTGTTCAGATTTGCTTCCAGAGTGAACAAAAAACCCACAAATAAAGGAGAAGCGGTTTCAGACTTTGTAACCTTAAACAAAGCTCCAAACCAAGATGCCATTTGACAGTTTGGTGAACCAGTGTGGTTCTTTTGGTCTGATTACAACCTTGATATCTGGTCTGAAGTGTGCAAATTGGAATAACAGCTCAGGGCAAAATCACTGAAAATTACTACAAATACTGTCAGATTGACAACAAAGTTAAGGGCAATAAAAGCAGCACATCTGATGTTTGTTTAATGCAGGCGTCACTTAATATCAGAAAGATAACCATCCTAACACAAACTGTATTCCACAAGAGCTTGAACGCTCCATAAAGGATTAATACAAAAAGAATTAGAGAGTTTGCAATTAACAGTCCTTTTTTGGAAACCATGGACACTGCATCCCACAGACCACCCAGCTGGTTATCAGTTCACAGTTCAAATCCAGCATCACTGATGGTATGAGGATCATAAGTGTCCATGGCATGGGTAGGTAACTCATCTGTGAAGGCTCCATTAATACTGAACAATATATACAGGTCTCAGAATAAAATATGCTGCAATCTAGACAATTACCTTTTCAGAGAAGACCTTCATATTTCAGCGAGATGATGACAAACCAGATTCTGTATGAATTACAACTGCTTGTCTCTGTAGTAGAAGAGTCCTGCTGCTAAACTGACTTGCTTGCAGTCCTGACTTACCGACTAACATCATTGGAGCATCATGAAACAAAAGAGACCCTGAATTGTTGGGCTGAAATTATTTATCACGTCGCGACATTTCACTATCCAAACTCCAGAAACTGCTCCCCCCAGTTCTCAATAGTGTTGTGTCGTTCGCGAACGATTTGTTCAAAAGAACCGAATCTTTTAAGTGAACATACTGATCCGAATCACTTCCTCGAGTGATTCATTCGTTTCTCACTTCAGTTGAGCTGGAGTGAGAAACAGCATTACCAGGCCAGCAGCTGGCAAACGAGGGATGGACACCTGAATCACTTAGTGAACGAATCACGCATTGAACTACACTCTGGAATCATTTTTGTCGGACAAAACTAACTTTTTTTCACTGCTTAATTGCCACCACAACCACTTGCAGGACACAGCATGTAACAAGTAACACAAAACCCGCAGCATCCTTCATCATTTTAGCGGTTTGCGAGGGAACAGTGCGTGTTCAGTGTGAATTCTTCTAAACATTCAGTGAACGAATCACTCACTGACCCCAATTTACCGAGCAGACCTGATAAATAGCACAAGTGTACCATGTACACTTAAAAACATCATAACTTATGAACAAGTTCATTTTTACAAACCTGTCTGCCAAAGCAACACAGCCAAACACTCTCGTCTCCTGGTCCCAGAAGCTATGACTTGAACTGAATCCTGAACCGTTCAGCTGTGTATCAGTTCAGGAGGTCGGAATCGCAGGCTTCCCCCGCCAAGTGCTAAATGATTTGGTGATTTGGTGAACAAATCTTTTGAACGAATCCTTTTAGTGAACTGATTCTAGTGATTCAGTACATCTAAAAGAACTGCTGTGTCCATCACTAGTTCTCAGACGTTCACAGTGTTGTTCTATTTTCAAATCAATACTGGGTTTGAATGATTCAGACTTTATTAGAAACATTTTCATGAACAATAAGTCCAAACTTTTGGAGAATCGTGGTTGTAGTTTTTTTTATGTTGGAAAGGAATTTTTGATGCCAAAATTTCTCTTTTTTTTTTTCCGAAGTCATACTGAACATCCCTCAGCTGTCCCACCGTTATAAAGACCGTTCATTGTCTCGGCTGGAAACTCTTAGATGACCACAGTCATCCATAAAACCCCTACTTTCAGCTTTTTCCCTCAGGATCAAGGTAATAAACTCTCTTTATATATTAAAAAAAACCCTATTCACTCCAGTTTCATAATATCTCCTTAAGAATTGCACTTTAAAGTCCCTTTCTGACCTCATACTGCAAATTGCAATTGATACAGTTTTTTTTTTCAACAACAGGCTACTTTATGTCTTATTCTGAATATTTTGTGTCTCATTGTGAAACCAGTACTTTGAGGTTTTATGGCATGTATTTGCACACGCAGGTCAAAGATAAATTTCTGCAGTACAATTATCTTAATTAGAGAGATTGGCTTGTTTTGGAGCCAAACTCTCTGGGTTTTGCAGCATCCTAACCTCAAAGATTGTCAATCAGACTGTCAAAACGTCTGATCTGAACACCAACGACATCCTCATGAGGGAGGTAAGATGATCCAGTGCCAAAGGAAGCTATTCACTAAACTTAATAGCGGTCTGTTCTCTGTTTAGTCACGGTCATAACATATCATAGCAGTGGTTATCACTTCCCCAACCAAAAAAAGTACCCCATTTGTGCGTGGCGTTACACGACAGACTGGTAAAAATCTAACATGTTTGTACCAAGCCAAAAATATGAATCCCAGACTACTAAAGGGCTTCAGTGAGATTTCAGATTATTATTCCCCTTTAGGTATAAGATTTTCAGAACAGATTTTTCCCACAGTTTTCTACCATCTTCCTCTCTCTGCAGCTCAACAGTGAAAATAGTGTTAGAAGTCACACAAAGAGGTAATTTAAAAACCAGCTCAGAATACCAGCTGCCTAACATTTACACACAAAACTAGCTCTGTTTAATTTATCAAGCATTACTTAAGGGGACATTTTATCAGCAATAATCTTTGAATGGGGGTTTTGAACACAAAGACAGAATACAGCAAGGGAAGTCTGTTTTAGGAGCTCACATGGGGACCCTGCAGTTTGTGTCCTCATCTGCAGACTTCCAGCTTCATCGTGAAAAAGACACACAGGGATTCATGTTAAAGCTTAAAATCTATGGAATCAAAGTGTTTTTTTTTAATCAGAGCAACAAGAAGATGAGATAAGCTTAAAGGGTTATCTTTAAAGAGGCTAATGAAGCAGTTTTATCCGATAAAACACGACAAATGGAGACGATCATACAGCGATCTTAAATCTAGCCACAGACTCAGCCTGTAAACGTGCTTTTTATCCCCTTAAAAGCAACCGCATTACAAATTTATCTCTTTTTTTGACGAATTAACAGACAAAATGTGTCAAATTGAAGAGACTCACCAGTTATTTCCAGCGCCATCGTGGCTTACAGTTCCCTTTACCCTACTCTGACTGCTGTATCCTTGCGGAAGGTGTCCGAAAATGTATTTTAACTCCAACTATTACAAGAATTTAAAAGATATTAATGTATGCTGGAATCTTATGAAACAAAACCACCACTCAGTCGACTCTCAAGTATTAAACACATGATTAATACCGGAGGGGAAAGAGGGTAGGACCGGGACATTTGATTAACGGACCACTTCCGCAAACAAACCGTAGACAGTTCTTAAAGGGACAGTGTCCGCGTTTGGAGCAGAGGACAGGCGGTCCAGAAATAACGATTTACGACGACGACGACAATATAATGCACGATATTTCACGATAACGAGGTAATTTTTTGGTAATGAAAAAAATCTGCCGTGTTTTTCTAAATCGGGTAAATTTAATCTTGTAACACAGAGAAATAAAAAATAAGTTCTGAATTAAATAGATAATTATCTTGTTAATTTGAAGGATTTGTTATGTAAAAATTATAATAATTAGTTGAAACTTAAAAATTAAAAACTTAGAACATAAAAATAACTTAAAAATTAAAAAAATTATCATTACATTTTCTTGAGTGAAAACAGTGTGTTTCCAAATGAGTGACATTGATAAGATTATTTACAATAACTGTCAAATTTTATTTGTGTTAAGTTAAGAAAGTAGTAATCAGGGTACAGCATATGAAGGTAAACCCATGGGTATATCTTATTTTAATGTGAGAATATCAAGCCTCAGAAAACATTGTGCAGCAGTTTTATTTATCTGTTGAAATCATAGTCTGTATATAGAATGGACGCCGTCTGCCTCCTCGCTGGGTGAAGACACTCGGAGAACAGCACCCTCTGGTGACGGGCTGCAGTATAGGTCATAAATCCCAACTCCTCCTGCAAAACTTATGGAGCTGTGGACAAACTTTAGAAATTTATTTCACAAAATATACAGCCTATGGGCGTGCAAAGATTGCGCAGCTCAACCTGGCGATACGTTGTTTGAGCTGAGCGTCATCACAGAGACTCTTGGCGATTCTCCCACCAAATGCGCACCACGCTACTGCTCAATGTTGGTTTCAGGAAGCAGAGAAAAAAAAATGCAGAATTTCTGAGAATTTTTCGGCTTCAAATCCGTACACTGGTGGAAGGGGGAACCAAGTTGTCCATAGTATATACAGTCTATGGTTGAAATATTGACTTTAAAATGACACAAGAGTCAACTAAGTGGTTATATAAATCTTAAAAGTTTTACTCCTTAAGTACTTAAAAAGAAGATATTTGTCCAGTTGGCTCTAAGACAGAAAAATGAGTTTAACTGAAAGACAAAGAAAGCTACATGCCCAAATAGTTGACTTTACCTAAAGTCCCACTTCTGATCAGGCAAATAGCTAATCAAAGCTTAGGATCTTGGAATGGCACCTGGGATAGACAATCAGATTTCAAGGGGGCCACCCTGGCTACCTCTCTGAGCAAACTACTGCTCGTCTTACCTAACTAATTCTGGTGTTTTATTCACCTTTTAGCACTGAACAAGCATTTTACTATCTGATACAGCAAATTTTTGAATTTAAAATAAAAATTGAGAAAAGCATAGGCACAAAACCTGGCTGCTGATAGGTTTAAGTGGTGAGCAGTCTAAAGGCACATAAAAGAGAGGCAACAAAATTATTGCAAAAATAGCATTGATTTGTAGAGTGGGTATATGCAATGTAATGTAAAATCTTTTCTTCAGGCTCTCCTGACTCCAGGAAAAAGACTCCAACATTTCTCATTTCCAAGTAATATACATATCCAACAAGCCCGCAAGTCACGTATAGCTTGAAGTTTTGCAACAAACCTTTCCTTTAACTGTGATTACACAGCTGATCTGCAGAGCACAAAAAAGAGCTTTTTCTCGAAGTTTTAATACTTTTGACCTCAGCACATGAACACAAGTCAATTTCTCTTACTGTAAGGAAACTATAGAGAAAATCTCTGAGTGTCTGTGTCACAGTGTTTTTTTGATCAGGGTTATATATGAGAAAAGAAATTGAACTTAAATTGATTAGTTACACACTTAGCGATCAATTTTTCTTGGCTAGTTCATACTAGAAGTAATAATTTGGATATTTATGAGAAATGTCATGTTTTTTTTATATAAAACCATGAAATGTGCAACTTTTGTCTCTGTTAGGAACAGTATGGGCTTTAAAGTGAAATTGCAAAAACATCAGGTTTAGGAGTGTTAGGTGAACTGCATTTAGCTTAAATGTGTTTCATTGGCAAACCAAAACAAAGCAAACCAGAACATCAACTACAAGTTTGACTTAATATTTTTACAGTTTAAGAGTCTTTTTAGATCAATAAACACTTGATGTTTATGGTAAAAACATGATAACATGAATCACTTTTGAAGTATTTTTGTCTTTCCCATGAAACACAATGTGTCATCTGTATATTGGCAGATTTTTTCCTTGATATTCTGATATCTTGTTCATCAGTGTATGAAAATGTGCTTCTCAGAGTAAAGAAAGACAAAAATTAACCTTTTCTGATTTAAAATAGACCTGGTGGCCTGGACAAAATGTATTTGAAGAAGGTTTTCAAACTAACATATGTTTGTTTGTTTTTTTATCACTAAACAGTGCTGCATGTTGACTATCCTTGAATTTTTCCCCAGTATTTCATCATGTTTGATATCTGAAAAATATGATATGCTAGAATGACACTTAAGATGAAAAAAGACAATATTTCACTTGTTGAATAAAATAGAGCTGATTGTGGTAGAAAAAAAAAGTGAGTTTTTTTAATTCATTAATTTATTTTTTTTATCTTAACCCAAAATATGTTTTTGTTTTTTAGCTAGATAGCACTTGATTGCATATCTCTCGTTTCAAGCTACAAGTTTTAATTTGGCAAAAACAGAAAAACAAAACAACAAAAAAGTTTCAACAAATCTTTCTTCTAACAGCGCTGCATCGTCTGCACATTGACTGACTGTAAATCATTCCCTCTGCATCTCTAAATTTTAAATATTAACTGCAGCTGTGAGATATATCATACTGGATGTATGTATCTTTTATAACAAAATAACAGCTCATCGGCACATATAAGGCAGCACAGTCCATCTGTAATTAGTTTTTGGCTCAGGTAATGTGCATACATGCAATCAATATAAAATTGTTGCATCCCATCACATTAAAAAAATGAAAACACCAACATGGTATCAGGATTATATAGTACTATTAACTAACCTGATTTTTCACTATGGATATCTAGGTCAGCCATTGAAAATCAAGTCTGTTGACTTCTGTTTGAAAGTGCAAGGTTCCTCAAAAAGCATGACTAATAATGGGGTAATCTTGCATCCATGCCAAATATTCCTCAAACATGGACTATCATGGTGGAAGCCTCTTCTAAACCACTGCATCTGTCTTTATGGACTGTTTTCATGAGTTTTAAAAATTCCCCAAAGCAAACATGTCCAAGGCTTAGACAAACCAGTTTTTCAAAGTGATGAAGGATTTAAGAAAAATCTAACAGAGTAGAATGAAACTATCATGTGGTATCAGCAACCTTGAGTCTAGTATATCTAAAACTAATGGAATCAATTATATAAATGCCTCCCTTTGAGTGGTTTTTAGAAATATCAGTATCTTCATCTCCTGATATTAACAGACTGACATTTGTGGTTGTTTTGGTCAGACCCAGTCCCTCCACAAAAATTGTTTTGATTTCTCCCCATGTTTAAAGGGATGTTCATGGTGTTTAGAGTGTGAATCCTCTGACTTTTCATTTCTAAGGCTGATTTTAGTTTTGTAGTCTTCTTCATTTTTTATGACCCCATTCTGGTGATCCCATGACTTTTCATGTAGCGCCACCATCAGGTAAAAAAAATAACACTTCTAATACTTAGAACTGCAAATCCACTGACCTAAACTTAGTAGTGTATTACTTACAAATGCACACACGGGAACACTTTTAGCTAAGGTAAAGCTGCTAATCATATACCTGCTAGATATAATTTATATTATAATAAAAACACACTGGTGTCAGCATTGACCTTGAGGCACTACAGTGCAGTATGGTACAGCGTAACAGCAGCCTTGCCTCTGTAGGGGTTTTGTCTTGTTTCAATGGTTTTCCTGGAAAACATCTCCATCTTTTCACGGTCTTTTTTATAGGTCATGCAATACTTGGCCGCAATTTAATGTGTGACCAAAAGCATGACATTCTGTCTGACATTCTGGGAATTTGTGTACATAAAGGCAATTAATCAAGCAAAGTTAGTGTCACTGCTGTGACTTTACTTTACTGTTCAATAGCTTCAAGCTATCAGAGTACAGACAAGATGAACAGATCTTTTGTGCAAATGTGCACAGGACAGAGTTAAAGTCATAGTTTGAGCATTTTCTGCAGGAGTTTGATTATGTTTTTGAGGAGCAATAGATTCAAATCTAAGATTCAAACCTGCTTTCACTCCAAAAATGTAATAACATCACTACCTCAGACTGAGAGGATTTTTTTCAGGATAAGGTGAGTTAAGTAAAAAGGTTTCTCTCTGCAAAAATATCCTCAAAATTTAAATCAAATTGGAAATACCTTTGATTCACATTCAAAGGAAAATAAGGTTGCTTTTACAAAAATGTATTTTGCTTCCATTTTTGCACATTTTAATGACACTGTTTTCCTGAACAAAATTTTTAATTTCATTTGGATGGCTTAACTGGTAAAGTCACTTCAAACTCTCAAATCATAGCAGTCAAATTAGTCAGACTTAACTCAGTTTCATTTCAATACTGAATGGAGGCTTGAACATACAAGCATGCTTTCTTTTACTAACTTTAATTACACATTTATTTGTATTTTTGCTAGTTTCCTCTGATTTTAACTCGCTTTCTATTTTTTTTTAGCTGTTACTTACTTTAGTCTTATTTTCTTGCATAAATCAGTCTTAAACTAGGACAGATATTCCAGTCTAAATAAAAATACAAGCCTGTCATCATGATTATTCCTCTATAAAATTACAGGCTTCCTCTATAAAGACACAGTCATTATGAACATAAATCCCAGTTTGTTTACCTAAAAGTAAAACTTCTTAGAATGGAACTGGTGTTCAGTTCTAGTGTGAGACACACAGTGTGACTTAAACTATTGCTTAGGGGAACATAAGGCTTTAGACATGAATGATATTAAAACAAATTGCAGCATGTTCTAGTCTCCAGTAAGTCTGCGACATTTAGGGAAACTCACGCTATCTATGATTTTTTTAAAAGTGCGCAGGAGTGAGGATGATGTCACTTACCGAGCAGGGAGGATCAGAGGAGGATGAGGATAAATGCGATGTGTGAAGTTTTGAAGCTGATGACACTTTTTAGAGACAGTAGAGATCCACCCCTGAAGAGAGGGAGAGAAAGAGAGGAGAGAGAGAGAGAGTACATGAAAATAAACATGTTTCATGGACAGATGGGGAATGTAGTCACAAGGGTGCTACTGAGTCACTTTCTCATCTTGACCAGATGTTAGCGCTAGATGTAAAGTAAGAGGATACCAAAAGTTTTGCAACTTATCCGGCAAGAATTAATAATGTGTGAATTAAATATTCTTTTACAAAACAGAATTGAAATGCAAATATTCAGTTTGCATCACTTGACTGTACATTTAAGTGTAACATATATCATATCATTCCTGATCATATTGTATCATACTCCTTCGTTTTGGATCATATCCTATCATATCAAATTGTATCATCCTTAATGATACTGCATCATCTTATATCCTACTGTATTGTAATAAATTGTATGGTATTGTACCATATTGCGTTGTTTTGAATTATACTGTATCAAATCCTATTGTGTAATATCATATTGTGTTGTATTGTTGTATAATATATTTTTAATGCATCATATTTTATTGTATTGAAGCAAATTCCATCATTACATATGTCCATCACATCATTTGTGTTGTAGCACACAGTATTAAATTGTATTTTATCATATTACATTGTGTTATACTTCATCTTTTTATTATGCATTATATCGTATCATATCATGTTGTATCAAGATGTTTCATAAAAAATAAAACTGTATCAGATGTAACAAATCATGACATACTGTTCAGTATCAGCCTTTGGTATTGTATTGTATTGTATTGTATTGTATTGTACTGCATTATTAAGTATCAACTGCATTAAACTGTATCAAGTTGTAAAGCATTTGTTTTGGCGACAGGACGGCATTAGCTTAGAAGGAAGAGTAGTTGTCGAATAACTGGAAGGTTGGCGGTTTGATTCCCCCTATCCTTAGTCTGTCCCCTGTGTCCTTGGGCAAGACACTTAACCTACCTTGCTTCCAGCTTGTGTCCTCCACTGGTGTATGATTTGTATGTATGTCGCTTTGGATTAATGCGTCTGTTCAATGACATTGTAAAAATGACGTTTATCTAATTTTCTTACAATATTGTATTAGTGCATCAAAACTTGTTTCTGGTGTCATTTTGTTTTGTATCCTAGCATTAGGTATGACATATTTTGGTACTGTATCATAACAAATTGTATTGTATCCCTCTTATGGCTTGTTTCATGTTGTATGATGCGGTTACAAAAAATCACTCTGTATGCTTTTGTAGAGTATCATTTGTAATTTGTCGTTTTAGCAGTGATTCAAAACATATCTTATTGAATCAAAATTACTGCATCATTTTGTGAGGAATCTTTATTTATTGTATCATATAATTTCATTATGTATCATAATACGTAATTGTAAACCTAAACCCTGTTTTGCAATCCTGTTATACACCGTAAGTACACTGATAGAGGGGAAAAAAAACTCCTAAGAACTGAGCCCTAGGTCCCCCTAATCTGGACATACTTTGGCTGCTGGTTAATCCATCAACCCAAATGACCACCGAGTCTGTCAGTCTTTGCTGTGTGCCTCTGTAATCATTATTTCATTATTTCTTAGAAGATTTATATAACTTTTTGGAGAAAATGGAGATTAAGACCTGCGCGATTATATCCACATTTATAGTTCAGTCTCAATAAATGACTGATAACCTTTAATTTACTATCAAGGCTTGTTTCTGCAACATAAAATGAAATAAAGTTTGATAAATTGAGATATTATTTTCAACAGTATTCCAGTTAAGATGATGGAATAATATTTCTCAGAAACTCTCAAAAACAAGACCAACAGTGAGGCACTATAGGTTTCAGTGACAGTGGATCCCCAAAGCTGTGGACATGAAGTTAAAATTATTGTTGTTCTGGATCAAATTGGTGGAAAAACCAACAAACCACATTATCTATGACATCATAAAGGCCATCATTTTTCTGTTTTCACTAATCATTTTATAAGGATTTACGTTTTTACAATGACTTATTGACTGTACTCTCATGTGACAGAGGACGGCCAATGTGATTTTTCTATGAACTATCTATATTTGGAAGGTTTGAACTTTACAGAAGTCCCATCTCTTATTCAGTCTTTCAAATTTCTGTAGGCGAGGCTAAAACCTCAAATAATTGATTAAAGATAATGGCAAATACAAAGCCATGACCAAAAGATCAATAATGGTTTGCTGTTCAAAGACATGGTCATACGTCAGAAGATTTATCATTACCTATTATTCATCGTTAAACCCTAACCCTTAGGCCTAATGTGTGCAGAGAGTGTTGTAACTGCATTTGAAAAGATGTTTCTATGTCTCAAAGGAAGAAACAAAAACAAAAAAAATATTGTGTTAGCAAATACTCAGATATGTCATTATTCACAAAAATGTATATGTCATGATGGTATTTCTGAGTAGGCAAATCCTTAAAATATACACTGGGCTAAATGGGCACCCAATCTGGAAATGCAAAAAAAGCATACACTCTCCAGCACATATGGAGATTCATAAATGCACTTGAATTTGTAATGTCTGCTACTGCTTATCATTGTATTCACAAATCTGTTAATATGAACCAACTGTTTACATGTAAATTACAATACCTTTGTGGGTCAACTGCAAAAGCGTTCGTTGGTGACTTAAAGCATTTCACTAAATACATATTTTGTGAAATGGAAAAGGTGTTTTTATGTAACGCACACAAAAAATAATAGTATGTAAAAATATTCTACAAAATGAAATACTTAAAGAAAAGGCAAAAAACTCACAAAACACAGAAATGTTTTATAAATGCAAAATAAGTATACATTTTTTAAAAATCACAAAAAACAATCACTAAATTGAATGGCGCTCTTCATAACTGCGAGAAAATTTTGGTTTTCTGGAGGTACGCATGTATTTTGGTTCTTCTGACTTCCCGTAGTATTTACATGTAAGGTAGTCAACATGGCGTCGGCTGATTAGCCGGTTAGCTAAATACACATACGTTATTTAAAAAATTGCGGTTTCGAGGACAAATTGAAGACCTGTAGTGGTATATTTTAAATAACGAGGACTGACATTATGTCATACTATTTTTAAGGTGCCTGTGTTTTTGAGTTTTAATTGGTAAAATGGTCTTTCTCTTACCCAGAGTTTACACAGTCAGTTAGCTAGCACGGTTCTGTAGCCTTCAGCCGGTCTAAAGGGGGGCGTCCGGCGGTGTCATGACGGAGGTGGAGGAGCTGCGGCCGGTCCCCCGGGAGCGGGCCATCCTGGAGAGCTTCTTCACGCAGCTCGGCATGTTTTCTTTCGACCGGGCAAAGGACTACGTGGAGAAGGAGAAGGACAACAGCAAGAGCGCCGGGGCCATCTGGGCCGCTCTGCTGGCCGCTCTGGCTCACCTGGCTGCGGCGGAGAAAGCTTACCACAACATGACATTCCTGGGACAGAAGATGGGTAAATGTGATGGTCCTGAAGGGGTGGGGGTTGATGGAGCCCGGGATAAGCCAGACTCTTGAAATAGATGGTCCAAGAGAGATTACAGACTCCTTATAACACAGTTCTGGATTTTAAGGCGTTTTCACTTCTTTTTCTCTGTCTAGGGCACATCAGACTGTGGTCTCTTGAACACCCAAACTACAACAAGTCAAATTTGTTAAATGCTTGTTCTTATTCTGAAAATGCAAGAATGATATCACCTTTTTTCCACACATAAATCACTCTGGACCACATCCTTATCCTATGCTCCAATACTAAGACTTGTAAGATCTTGTCCAAACTATCCTTTAGAGCAGTGGTTCTCAACTGATCTCACTCTGGGACCCACATTTTACCATGGTCCTTAAGTCGCGACCCACTTTTATAAAATTCAAACCAAGCAAATTTATTAAAAAACCTTTGAAGACTCAAATCTTTAACATAAATACACCCATTTTATTGAGTAAATTGCATATCAGAGCACATGAACTGAGGAAGGCAACTACTGAAGTTGCTTGTACAGAAAATGTCAAATTGCACAAAAGAAAGGCCAAGAAAAAAACAAACATGTATTTTTACTGCATTCAAGCCACAATGATAAGAAACTAAAGGAGGACCACAACATAACGCGTGCCTTTCAAAATAAGCTATTTTTCAACATGAAAGACATGTCAAACATCAGATGTGCATCAAATATTTACTTTTTTGACCAGCTGTTCGCGACCCATCCAGAACGCGTCTGCGACCCACTTTTGGGTCGGGACCCACCAGTTGAGAACCACTGCTTTAGAGTGTATAAACGTTTTTAAAATACAGAGCCAGTTTTGATCCTTTCAACTAAGGATTTAGGTGATTTTACCAGAGATGGTCAGCATTATCAAGGGATGATTTAGGCCAAAAAAAGAGGAAAAAAGGTTTCATAGTTTAGATCTGGGAAGCTTAGTTATTGGGCTTTTAGATCAGTGCCTGTGCTACTATGGTTTAGGTAGAAGAAAAGACTGTGAAATTGCCCTTTCTTGCCTCCTCACACATAAATTAGAGGCCTGTGACTTGTCTCATACCTCTGAGAAATATAATGTACTTGAGTAAGAAAAGGCTCAAAGACAGCTATGCAAATTCAACACCAGATGGCGCTGCCTCACAAGAAGCCTCCAAAAAAGTCAACCATTTAATGCTCAGAGTATTTTATGTCTTTTAATTAAAACATGTGTTTCTCATACTCTCCCTCCGCAGGGGGTCAGTCCTTCTTCAGCCGCAAAGACTCCATCCGAACCATCTACACCTCCCTCTACAACGAGCTCAGGAAGGTGGTGTCCATGGGGCGTCACAGCCAGCCGGGCTCCGCCTACCTGGAGGACCTGCTGTCTCACCTTTCAGAGCAGCTCTGCCACTTCACGCAGGCGCGGATGGAGATGGCCGACCTGTACGAGAAGCTGCACTCACTGGGCACCCAAAAGAGCATCAACTCAGAGGAGCTGGTCACCACGCTGGAGGCCGTCCTGCACAAATACAGCACCAAGTGTGTAACTGTTTGGATCATTTAAGTATAGTCGAGGGTCCCATATTAAGGTGTTTGTTATCGCTTTCCCCACTGCTTCCTGCTTTAGTCTGATCCCTGAAGAGACAAAAGAAATTAGCTTGTTAAAAACATGAAGAACTTCTTTAGTTGAGAATGACATATTGGGGTTGGGAGAGGAAAACTTTCTGCTTAAACGGCAAACACTTTATTCTACCTTTCCCTGGGGGACATGTCAGCAAAAATGCATCCTGCAACTGTAGCAGGAACATAGTCACACGGTTGAGGTGTTGACAGAGCTGCAGCAGGTTGCAGTGTGACACACCGCACATTACTGAATCGACCGTGCACTGAGGGGTGAAGGTGATGTTCTCATCTGCAGACCTGGAGGAAGATATCGACCTTAAAACAAGCTGAGTTTGCTGTTAGGTTGAAGAATATCAAATATATATTTTTACCTGGGTGCTGTTTCTACTTCAGTTTGAAAGGACTTAGAGGTGAAAATGTTTTTCTTTGGGTTTAAAGCTCCCACTTAATTATTTTTTCTTTTATTCCAAGTGACTGGTCCAGATTGCAATTCTAAGAGTCTGACAACATTACTGAAAGGAAATCAATAGAGAAGGACCTTTTCTAAAGCTTCTGTGAAGAGTTTTCAGCGGTAATGACACAGACTAAAAAACTGTTTTCACAGCTTTGAAAACAAAGCTGCTCTCAGATTCTTACTAATCAAGGCAGCTGCTGTCTTCGCCTTTCTTTGTCTTTGCTTCCTAACTGCCTCTTCCTCGCTCCCTCAGGTTCCACCACCCGATCCTGGGCCGTGTGGAGGAAAGCTTCCAGACAGAGGTGGATGTGGTCACCCAGCTGCTGCGCTGCCAGGCTCAGATCTCAGAGTGGCATTTCCTGCCGTCTCTGCTCAGTCTTCACGGTGCCAACTCCAAGCTGACTGCCTGGGGTCAGCTGTTCCAGCGGCAGAAAGAAACCCGCAAACATCTCTTCGGAAGTCAGTCACAGAAAACTGTGCAGCCTCCACACCTCTACACTTGGCTGCAGCGCTTTCAGGCAATGCTCCTCGCCAAGTTCAGCTTCTACTTCCACGAAGCCCTGAGCAGGCAGACGGCACCCGCTGACATGAGAGCCCTAACTGCCCGCACCACGCCAGACTATCACGGCAAGATCAGCTCCTTCATCCGCAAACATGATGTCAGCAACGTGTCCCTGGTGTTTGACAACCGCGGGTTAGAAAGTTTCCAGGGACACGGGTACCACCACCCACACTCCTACAGAGAGGCACCGAAGGGCGTCGAGCAGTTCCCTGCAGTGGTGTCACTGCCATCAGGGGAGCGGCCCCTCACTCATTGGCCAAATGTCATCATGATGATGGGGGACCGCGCCGCCGAGCTCAACACCCTAGATAAAGTTGTCCACTTCTACGATGATAAAGTCCAGAGCACATACTACCTGACCAGACCTGAGCCACACTTCACTCTGGTGGTGATCTTTGATGGCAGGAAGTCAGAGAAAGAGCTGCACATCGCCGCCTTCCTGCAGGAAATCTCCAGCTCTTTGAGGAACTCTAAACCCTTCAGTACCCTCAAACCAGGCTCAAAGGGCTGACACATGGGCAAACCTGGTACTCTAATAGTCAATAATTCTCTTATAATTTCCTGCAGATACATAATCTGATCATGTTTGAGTTTTCTTCTAATCCCCCCTTTTTGTGGTCCAACTTTTTTTGTTACTTTGAATCTAAGTTTGCCAAAAACGTTCCCGACCAAAGACAAGCACAATTTCATTTCCTCTGTAAACCTGTTTGACTCTCTGAGTCCAAAGACAGACACAGACAGACAGACAGAATGCTGCTGGTGCTTCAAGCATTTCATTATTTAAAATTGATCTGGATTTTAACTTCTTCATTAATATTTTACAGTTTTTTTATTTTTAATCATAGCTAAAAATGACTGAGATACAATTTAAATAAAGCTTTGAGATGATTATACTTGTGTCCTTGTTTCCTTCATGACGGATGTTTTTACCTCTAAGAGAGGAGGACAGTCAAACTAGAAATGTATAATTGGTTTGACTGATATCTTATATTTTAATAATTTTAATCACTGAAATACTGTTTTAAAGCTTCTCTTTTCATTGTGGTGTATTCACTTATTCAGAGCCAGTCTGTACTGAAGACAGTCTTAGAGAAGATGTGTTTCCTTTGCTGGGTTCTAAAACATTTGTATTTGCATTTAAACAGTGATACCTTCACTTAACTTGGTTTCTACTTGAACAGAGATGTACTCACTGTAAGTAATATGCCTGAGTACCTTTTAACAATGATGCATTTACTGACTCGAGTAAATCCTACCGCAATGCGTGCAAATGACAAAGCATTTAATTACAGAATTATGATTGTATGCTCTTCACATACAATAAACCCTTCACAAAGTGGTGCATGCACTTGCTTAAAGCCAGTACCTGCTTAGGGTTATCTAGAAGGAGGTGCGTTCACTTGCTGAAATATAAAACATACTTTGTGATACATTGACTTATTAAACACACTTCAACCTTACTGTGATGTGTTCACTTACCTTAATTTAGCAACAAAACAAACTCCAAATGCCTTTTCACACTGATGCATTCACTGACTTATGTACAAGCTAGTTGCTATGCATGCTACTAATAATGTGTTTAATCACTGAGAAACCTATATTACAGTGTGAACTCTTCATGGTGATGCATTCACTTACTCAGGGCCAGTATGTGCTTGAGACTATCAGATCAGAGATGCATTCACTTGCTAACATACACCACTGTTTACTGCAGCACTGATGCTTTTAACAACTTATATAAAATCCTACTTACTGTTTACTTCAAACAGCTGCATTCACTCATGGGCGTACACAGAGTGCATTTAAACACAGACCGACAAAAATTTGCATCAATTAACAAACCAAAAAGTTTCGGAGGACATAAAAAACTTTGAGAAGCCGGTATTTTACAGAACACACCTGGAGGTTTATTGAGTGTTCAAACGAAACATTTAGCGACATTTCATTTAGAGAAAGGTTCCATCAGTTAATGACTTGGTTTCTAATTTATTCCGATTTATTTATTATATAAATACAACACATTGATACAATCCATTTGGCTATATGAGCTCGTCTTTAAGAAGCTCAGTTTTTCAAATACGGCAACACTAACGGACAAAAACCATTTCCTTTATTATGAAACACATTCAAAGAAACCTCCCTTTTTGAGTTAAAATGCACCAACATGTTATGATGCTACATGCCAAGTACACGATCCTATACATCAAAGTGCAATGTCACAATGGGTTAATGCTAGAATTCATAATTCAGTTAATCTACTAAACACTTTATGATTATTTCATTCAGAGTGCTGCTGCTCTTCGTTTCAGGACATGCGTGAGTGGATTCACAACTTCCCCCCCAAAAAAGACAAGGATTAAAAAAAAGGCACTTTCACATACACACACACACGCACAGACACAGATGTGCACCCGTCTCTGCACGTCAGCTCTCATTTGGATCACCACACTCACATCAGTTACCAGCCCGTTTGGAGGCCACATTCAGTGTGCTGTTCAAGTGTTTTTACTATTTTTTTTTTTGGGCGTTTACACACAAAGCCCCACCCTGTTAGCTTATTGTGAATTTAAGGTTAACTAGTGACTTCAGTGACTTCACAAGCAGGTAAACTATTATCCCAACACACACACACACACACACACACATTCACGCACATAGAAAGTGGCATGCTTTTTGCACTCGTTTGTCCCCCCAAACTTGCACTCACGTGTTCTGGCACTCAAGGCAGGCATGAATAATCTATCATCTATCACTATTCTAGTACTTCTGCACTTACAAGAGAGCAGAACAAGGGCAGGCAAGCAGGACACACACTCCTCTCTCTCTCTCAGACACACACACACACACACACACACACAGGAACAAAATCATACACCTACCATCCCAGAAAAAGTTCTGTCCAAGCCCTCTCTCCACCTCCTAACTCACCCTGTTTGAAGCTCCATCTGGGCGCAGGTTTTTTTTTTCTCCGATAAACACAAGAAAAGGCTGTTGTTAAAAAAGTTGAGCGAGCCGCCGAATGAGCAGCTGGCTGAACATTCAATAAGATGGCTGAACAGTCGTTGAAATACTGGAAACATTCAGGTTTAAATAATGTGAGTTTGGTGTCACTGACGACCTCAGGAGGCGTTTCGTGGTTTGAGGTGTACAAGTGAGCTTAGCAGCTGAAACATAATAGAAAAATAAATTATAATCAGTCACACAGATATTGTTGAGACGTTGTTTTTTTTGTGTCCTCTCTTCTTCATCGAGTCTCTCATCATAGATACAGCAGCCGATCGTGATAGTCTCTAAAAAACCCCTTCATCAACCTCTTCGTCTTCTTCTTCTTCTTCTTCTTCTTCTTCTTCTTCTACCGTCATGACAGTACAGCCAACATTCACGTCACTTAAAACTACATTTTTACTGGAGCTGAACTACACTCCCCACGTTTCTTTCTTCATATACAGGACAGGAAGCTCCGCTCACTCCGCCCACGCTCGCTCCTGTGTCTCTTTATCAGCAGTTCTTTTAGCTAACCTTTTGATAAATGCTTCGATACATGGAGAAAGTAAACTCCTACACACCAAGAGAGTACACACCAACCTGACGACACATAAATATCATGGCATATCATATCATAGGTCATGTCATATATTATAGTTATTACTACATTAAAACCCTTCTTGTCTTTCCTACCCTTTCTACCCTCATATGTTTTGATTATAAACACTAAGCAGTACCCTGATCTCCTCTTCTGGCCCATTTTTGGCCCGGGTAGGCCTGATTTGGCCTTTTACAATCGGCCTGGTTTGGCTCACATGGTGCAGGATTTGTCCAGCGGCGAAGGAAGAGGTGGGGTGCTGCTCTTGGGTGGGACCACGGGTTTGGGACGCAGAGCAGGAGGCCTCAAGGGAGCGCCGATTCGGGCAGCTGCGACGGGTTTAAAGGAACCCAGGGCATCAGGGGAAGGGTTGGTCGGCCTTGGAGGTCCAGGCGGAGGTCCAGGGAGTGGGCTGATGGGGCTCAGAGGACTCAGGGGGCTTGGGGTGCCTGGTGTACCAGGGGTGCCAGGAGTCCCAGGGGTGCCAGGTGTCCCAGGGGTCCCGGGTGTACTCGGGGTGCTGTGGGGGGAGGGAGACTCGGAGGAGCAGGTGGTGATGGGGCCGTTCTTCACCTGTTCCAGAGTGTCCAGCACCACGTCAGGAGCCGGCCGACAGCCCTGCCGCTCCAGCTGCCTGAGCTCCCCTAGAGCCACCGTCACCGTCTCCTCGATGTCCTGAGAGAGGAGTGAGGAAGAGGAGGAGTGAAGATGCAGCTTTTATGGACAAATGAAACAGAGGGGAGGTGTGTTCTGCCCGCCTGTGTGTTTACCTGTGCCAGTGTATCAGGATCCATCCCTCTAGATCGGAGGGAGTCGCTGAAACCGTGCTGCCCGCTGCTCGAGCGCCGGATGGGTGTGTCCTCCGGCCTCCTGAGTGAATCATGTCGACTCACCGTCATGGTCACGGCTGCAGCAGAGCGACGGCGGCGCTCCGGGCTGTCGAGGGGCGGAGTCATGCCCTGCCCACGCCCCAGCAGCAGCTCCCTGGGACTGAAGTGACCCGTCACTGGCGGGGAACTCCGCTCCATCACGCCTCCGTTACCATGGCAGTGACTGTCGTTGGAGCGACCGAGGGGGCGGCGGAATAAACCGTCAGTTCTCTTCCTCCTGTGACTGTTAAAAGAGAGGACAAACACACAGTCACTCAAGATAAGTCTGTTTTAGAGGCAAAAAGTTCAGACTCTCTGCAGGTTATGATGAATCCTTTTCATACTTGGAAAACTAAGCTCACCACTTTATTAAAATACGCACCACAAATCTCACAAACTTGCTGCCAAAGTAGACAAAGTGCAAGTTACAAAATCTGTCTTCAAACTGTTTCATGACCCAGTTTTAATACACAATAATTCCATTTTTATGTACATGGCGTGCAAAAGCGTCCAAAAGCGTGCAGACAGCGCCCTGGAGACATTAAAACAGCGGTATTCATCAGTTGGCTGGGAAGCTGAAAGAGCTTGAACAATAGAGGTTTATTTTTACTCCTCTCCCCACTTTGAAACATCTCCAGTCAACTCCTATCAAATACAGAAACTTTCAGAGGTTCTTAAATATGCAGCAGAGCTCCACATACATGATGGCATGCCAGCTCAGCGCTCAGTGTAGTGATGCAAAAAAGCTGCAGTCAGCTGGGGAGGTTTGCGGCTGCTTCTGAGAGCACAGAAACTGGCTTGAGCACGCGATGTGAGCAGAGATGAGGGTTTTTGGCTGGTTAAGCAGGCAAGTTTCTTTTTGGATTGCTTCAGCTGATAGAAGAAAAGTGATATTTCCAGCCTGGGTCCTACACTGGTGTCCAAATGTTGAACAGCTTGATAAAAGTTTGGGAACTACTCCAGGAGAGAGCTTCGGCCTGCAGCCATGAAGCGGGCTTAAACAGCTGCATATAATCCTAATATCTGTCTGGTAATGTAAATACTAGGGCCCGACCGGTATGGGTTTTTGGGGCCAATGCTAATACCGATTATTAGGGGGGAAAATTTTTTTTATTGCCGATCAATCGGCCGATTTTAAATTTTTTTTTATTAAGTTATAAAATATATATATATACTGTAGATATCTGTAGATGTCTACAGTACACCCCCCCGATCGGTGCCTCTGCATCTTAACTCGCGTTACTCATTTCTGGTCCAGTCTCATCTGGAGACATACAGCTGCCTCAGCAAGAAAGTAGCTCGATCATGTAATGTGTGCTGTTGTTTATTCTACCGTTACACGGCTAACAGTGTAGCAAGGCTAATGGCAGATGGCTAACTCTACCTTTAGCTTGCGTATTACGTGGTGCCTCACCGTTAACTCAGCGTGACTGAGACCGGCACACCGGGAAACATGGTGAAGTGGGTTGAACTGAAACTTGTTGACTTATTGTGTATCTCATGCGCCATCTACTGGATAAGTCGGGGGACTTTTCAAATGGCAGAATATTTTTGAAGTGAAATCGAATCATATTCTCTGCATTTTATTTCTAAAAAAATTTCGGTGAAAATCGGCAAGTTTTGGCCGATTACCAATTAGTCTCAAACGGGCTAAAACTGGCCAATTTAATCAGCTCGCAGATAAATCGGTCGGGCTCGAGTAAATAAATCCACATAAGTCTGAGTAGGAAGTTTAGGATCCTTTGGTCAGACCCAAAGTAGCCTGTACAACACTCCCTAATAACAAAAAGTAAATAAATTTAGAGTTTGGAGATCATAATAAAGCAGCAATACTGATGTGTAAGCCATTACAGCCTGTTTGTTTAACTTTCCATACTGTTTCTTTTTTCTTTTTAGTCATTCAGACTTTGTTAGTTTGTTTTTTTACAGAAGAGAGGCTGTTATAGCAGTTCCTCAACTATAACCATTAAAGTCTGTTTCCCTGCTGCAGGCTGAAGCAACCTCCAAAACATCACGTATTCATTCGCCATTAAACCTCTTATATAAAAAAGTCTGTATTATAAAGAATAGATTTTAAAATGTAGCAGCAAAAACTCTGTATTCGAATAATGTACTTACTCCAAAACTTTCCTACCTTTTAGTCAATTAGACACCAAAATACCTCAGTAATTGACTTTCATTTAATATTTTATGTGGCCTTATATGTAAGAAACTGTTTTTAAAGATATAAAGTGTGCCATCTATGCATTAGCTTTCTATACTTGGGTTTTGTGTGTCTGAAGAAGGAAATGAGTCACATGAGAAGCAGCTGTGATGACACTCCGATGACGTTCGCAGGTATTTTTAGAGGTGAGAGAACAAGCTGTAAAATGGTTTTTACATTTCGTGCAGCAGAAACAAACCCTCCCTTTTTCTGCCGTGCCTTACATGACAGACCTGTTATAGGTTTCTGGTGGTCTGATGTCGGTCGGGGAGCTCAGTTCACTCCTTGACCGCTTGTCATCAGTGCTGCTGCTTCCTCCATCGCTGTCTGCCTTGGTGCTGAGCGTGTCGGACATGGCGTCAGTCCTGAAGACAGACAGCACACACTCTCAATCAGGACAAATCAGCGTGAGAGCAGGAGAGCTGAACCAACACAACACACCAATCATCAATTAAGTGATCAATAGCATGTGGTTAGTGAGTGTCTCAGTCCATGAAGTCCGTTAATCAACAAGGTGTGCAGCGCAGTCGGCCACAAATCCACTCACATCCATCAGTGCGGCTCGTCAATGATTCAAATGAGCCACTAAAGTTAATGAGAACTTAAAGACAGCCTTTCAAGCTTTAACTCTGTTATCTATCATTATTTGTGGGTTTTTAAGAGCTTTATTTGCTTTAAAACAAAATCATTTAGATGGTTTAATGATCCAGTAACCATACATACTCTATTTGTTTAATTCAGCTTAACATTTACATATTGTAAACATGAAGATATTTATGAAGCTTTCCCTGGATTATAACCCCAAAAAAAGGGTGCATGATAAGATGCATTGTAAACAGCTTGAGGAAGATCAAACAGTCTTTGTAGATATGCAGTAATCTGTGGATCTTTTTGGATGTAATGTGTTTGGATTAGCTTTATAGAATAAGAAAAAGCCAAATCTGGTGGCATACTCAATGAAACACATACTCAGTCTATCTAAATTTTAACACTGGGTAAAAACATCAGCACCGTGAGTCTAAAAATACAGATATTAGTGTTTCAGGTTACTTCACAGTTTATGTAAATTAAGGTTGTCAGGATATCAGATTTTCACCACATGATTATTGATGCCATGAAATATCGCAGTAACAATATTACATTTCTATGGAAAATGAAAATGAAACAACACAATCAAAAAATTGAGGAAGGTAAACAAGGACGGAGCAACTCATTTCTTCATAAACTTTACTAATATATAAACTGAACTTACATGCTCTCATCCATTTCTAATAGTGCTCAAATTTATGATTTAGAGACACAACCAGCCCTGGGACTGAAACATCTCGAAAGAAGACATGGCTTCATAAAACAACTGTTTTTCATGCTTCTATTTTGACATAATTTCTGCAATCCTAATTTATGAAACTGAATGAAAGCAGTCAAAAGAGAAATTACAAATTCAATTAAAAAGTAACCTGAAGAGGCTCAAGCTCTTCTATTGTTTTTGGATCCACAAGAAATCTTTAAATATTGGTTATTAAAAGTGCTAAGCTGTCTCTAAAAGGTATGCTCTTGCTAGCTCACTTACAGCTGCAATTTCTTCTTTGTTTTATGTTGCTTAGCAGCTACTGTGAAGATGTCACTAGCATGATATCAATATTTATATTTCTAAAGACAGTTACTGCCAATACTGGTATATTGCGACAGTCTGAATGTAAATGTCGGTGCCCCGTGTGAACTAATGGTTCTGTTTGCTTTTGTAGGTCCTGATGAGGCCACAAAAATCAGAACCAGTTGAAATCTTCTCACAGGGCTTTCAATGAATCAGGTGTTAAGAATATAAAGATAAATTGTTAAATAGTCAATTTATCAGTTTAATTTAAGAATCCCCAAACTGAAACACCTTTATGTGTTTAAGAAACTCTCTACACTTGCCTGTCCTTCACCACGATGTACTGATGAGGGACCAGGCCATGGTTGCCGTTGAGCCGCCCCTCCCACCAGTCATGTGATGCCCGCTGGTAGAGCTGCAGGGACGCTCCCTTCTTGAAGGAGAGCTCGCGACCCGACCGGCCCACGTAGTCGAACCTTGCCACCGCCTCCACAGCCTCACCCTCTGCCAGAGAGAGAGGACGATAAAAGAGGGGGAGGAAGGTGAAGATAGGAGACGGAGATAAGAGCCAGACATGGAAATGGAGGTGAACATGAACCTGTCAATCAAATGTCTCTGTGGAGTTCCTCTCCAACCAATCAGAAAAGAGAATCAGAGGGAGGTTTTTCTATTAATTCCACTATAAAGAGGAAGGGTGTGGAGGAAGGAGGGTGAGGAGGGAGGGAGTGTGAGATGTCTCCATGGCTGCTGTTGCCGTAGCAACCTCTCTCCACCAGGAGACGGAGGGATAGGATTGTGGGGGCGATTGTGTGAAGGTCAGGGGTCAGGCGTACCCTCATCGCTGGTCTGGGTCTCGGTGCCGCCATCGGGCTCGGCCTCCTCCAGCGCCCCTGGCTCGCTGAATGGACTCTCGCTGCAGGGGGGAGGAAGAGGAAGAAGAAGAGAGCTGTGAGGCGCTGAAACTTGTACACACACACTGTCCATTCAGCAGAGGAACAAAGGGAGGAGGACGCATGCACAGATGGAGACAAGGCTGCTATTCAGAGAGTGAGGACGTTTATGCAACAATGCAGCTACAGCAGAGTGTCAGAGTTTGGTTTATGATCGAAGGAGAAGAAGAAGAAGAAGAAGAGCACAAACTGTACGCAGAAACAGACTGAGGGGAGGGGCTCTCTAGATGGAGAGATTTCAGTCTAAAACTGCAGGAAAAACTTGTTTCTAATTGGTTACCAGGAGTCTAATATGTTAGAAAAAATGGACACCTCAAACCCGCGTCTCCACAGGAATTCTGAAACTCTCCACCTCAACTCTTGACAGCGCTCTGGGGCATTATTAAACTTCGAGTTACAACTTGAACTGCAATATATGAGCCCGACTCAGTTAATACTTTGTAAATTGAAGATGTACCAAATTAGGTAAAAGTAGTTCATGCTTTCAGTGCATTCATAACAAACTATTGGAAGACTAAAAAACGACATAATTTGGGGCAAGTTTAGCAGTATTTTTTCAACAGTGTTTTCTACAGAAATATATTTATGTAGGGGAAAGTGGGGTAAGATGAGTCTTTTTTCATATTTCGAATCACTACATCGAGACAATCATAGTTTTGTCTCTAACTAGTGTATCTGTGTATATTTCAAAATGTTGAGCATCCCTGCAAACCAACAGAATGAGTGTAAACAGAACTGTCTGGATAATATAGCGTGCCAAAAAAAAAAGTGGTGAACTTACCCCGTGTATGGGGTAAGTTGACCATAGGAGCGGGGTAAGTTGAGCCTGAATTTTTGCCTCAAATTGGAAGAATGCAGTTCTTAGAAAGTATCTTGGACAGCGCTGCTTAAGAGCTGGCGCATTTGTGTTTTTGACTGACAGTTCAAGATACCAATAGCCAGTTTGGCTTTAAGTTACAGCTTCTGTAAATTTAAGCCAAACTAGATGATTTTAATATGTTCCTTGTTTGTTTTTAATGATCTATGTGAAGTTATTTTTAATTTCAAAGAAAATGTGCTATTTTTTAATTAAATCCACCTCTCACAGAATCTATGCTTCCTTTTCAGCTCTCTGGGCGAGGATTTGCCTCTCTCTTTTGTCTTTGTACTGCTTAATGTCCGTGTCTATTACAGATCATATCTTGTAATTTCCTGGAGGTTTAAATGTCACCCGGAACGAAAAGAGGAGCACACAGAATATTTTATCCCTAACGCCCCGGAACCAGCCAGCTTTGGGTTTAGGTACCTAACTTTAAATAAAAACCAGAGTCCAGGAGGTCGGTCTCAGCGAAAGGTGGCACAGATGAGTATTAACAGATTAGGGATATTGTAATGAGATCTGAAATCTGATCAGAAGTGACTGAATATAAATGAAGAGTTTAACTCGCTGACTCTCACCAGTACTGATCCCCGGTCATACACTTCTCGTAAACCGGTCCTGGCAGCTCCTTGGTGTCGGGGAAGATGTTGTCGTGGTTCAGGATGACCGTTTTGATGACCTCATTCACATGCGCCTGACAGGCCACCTGGTCCAGCGTCTCAGGTGTGGGTAAGAGGGTGGGGCCGAACACGATGGCCAAGTTCCCAGCATCCATCATGTTTTCATCGCTGTACTGGGACAGGCTGCAGGGAGGGGAGGGACAGATGCATGTTTGTAGTGTTTTCAGAGGAATTCATATTTTTACCCAAAACAAGACGATTTAAAGTTGAATGTGCATTTCACTGACTGATCAATACTTTTCACTTTAACTAAAAACACTTTATGACACCCAAAAACATTTCACTGAAAACAGTTCATTGACACACAGAATGTGAAAATGTGGAAAAATACAAAACTCAAAAGTGCTAAATAAAAAACTAAAATGTTTGAAAAAAGAGCATACACTTTTTTTTTAACACAAACACCTCAGGAAAAAAATACCAATGACTTAAACAATGCAAAAAACATTTTAAGGAATTAAAAAATACTTAATGGAAAACCATAAAACGCTATTCAAAGCAAAAAAAAAAAGATAATAAAATGCAAAAAAAAACCAACTAACAAAACACCAAAATAAGTTGAAAATTGAAAAAGAGCACACAAAAGCATGATTTTTTTTGATGTCTCAGCTTGTTTAAAATTTTCAGATCTGTTTAATATTTTTTTCATCAATCAATTGTCCTTTTCCCTAATGCTTTGTATTTCATTAAATATTTTTGTGTTTTGCGAATTGTCTTGTGCTTTATGAAATATGTTTTCTCATCACGAAATATGTTGTGTTTATAAAGGATTTGGAATAACTTAATCTTCTCCTGCAGTCTTTCTCGTCACAGTCATATGACGTTGTTGTCTCAGCTGATTTAAAGAGGTTTAGTCGTCCAACCTGCAGCGGCTGGACTAGTCTGCCTTTTGCAGTCTGACAGTCTCAGGACAGAATCTCAGGCGTGCGTCTCTATAAATCTTTACTTTGGCGTCCCCTGTAGACATACCAGTCTCTTCTTATCTTAACATATACAAATATAAAAACAGACTGTTTCGTTGATCATAAAAAGACCTTGATATCAATTTTGACGACTTCATTAAAAAAGAAAATTCCACATGGAAGCTTTACTTTTCTCTCTGCATAAATACACGAACAAATTCCTTATTTCTTCCTGTGACTCTGATTCTTAATATTGACAGACAGCTACAGAGACAAAAAGGCAAACAGGAGAAACCGTCTCAGAGAAATCAACACCGTTAATCCTCTTTCTCTCCAGAAACAACTCCCTCTTTCTCTTTTCTGCTGCAAACAATTCCGCTGACTTCCTGCCAATTACAACCTCATAGCTCATTACGTAATGCTCTAATTTGTGTTTGGCAGACGGATTATTGCTCATAAATGTGTGTCAGAATAAATCACCGGTCTTAAAACACTTCTTGGGACGTTGCCACCGGCTTTCACAGGATCTGGAGGTTAAAAGAATGATGAAAATAGAAATGATTTTACTCTCCCAAACAGAGAGGATCATGTTTTAATAACACTGAGGCTGAACGCACTTCATGGGAAGCTAATAAAGGCACAGATTCAGCGGGTACATCACACCTGCACATCACACTCAGCTCCCCTCCTCTTCATCCCTCGTCGCTCTGCCTCATGCTATATTTATTTGAGAGGCTGCAGTGTCAAAATGAGATCTGTTTTATCTCCACATGCAGTAAGTGCACCCTTCACTACAAGAGAGGTTTATCCTCAGCGTTAAAAACAGGTGGAATAATGGGAAACAGCTCAGGGAAAAATGGAAAGAAATGGGTGATTATCATTAACGGTGAGGGCCTGGTTTTACTGGAGGAGATACTCACTGGTTCAGGAAGGCGAAAAGATAACGCATCACCACCAGCGTCGCCCTCGGGACTCCCAGAAGGATCTTACGGATGCACTGTGCTCTCTCGTACATGTTCTCGATTCCTGCAGCAAAAAAAAACACAACATAAAGCCCCTGAAATATTGCAAGAGGTCTCCAAAACGCCCTGAAAAACAACAAGAAGAAGAACGGCAACAACAGGGGAAGCAGCAGCTCCGCAATTCTGCCAAGGAGGCGATGAGTTTCAGAAAGACAAAGAGACACTTAGAGAAACAAAGACTGAGAAATGGAGAAGAAAAACGAGTGTGTGGGCTGAAGACAGTCAGGATTAAGTCTGTACTACTTTAACTTCTTTAATGAAATTCTTGGCAGCAGCCCATGTGCAGGAGGAAGGAGCACAACTGTTCAAGTGTCAAGTGTTTTTTTAAAGGGATCAGTTTTAGTCGTGCAAGTCAAGAGTCTGGAGTGAAAGTGTCACCCTGTTTGTCAACAATGAATAATACTGATCATGAGGGCTTGACAAAGACTGGGATGTAGCGGGGAATTAAACTTGATTCTGATTCTTCTCCAATTTGACACCCAGAAGGATTCAAGACTAGACTTGGACTCAAGTTTTGATCACTTGATTCCAACTCTGGTGTCAATCTAGTTCTGAAGTAGCCTGGCTGGGCCATCCAGTTGCGTGAATCACTTGCCGTTCCTTCCCACAACAGTCTGGACTTCGGCCACTTGGGAGCCCTAAAAGTGGGCGGGAGTACTTTCCTTGATAGACAGACTACTGTAACCAATCACCGTAACCAAACATCTGACGTCATCACAGTGCGCAACTGTGTTCCCTGCTGGGCTCTCAAGCATCAAGTAAAGGTTTGGTAATATTTCAACGTGTGCGAGCAAACAATGTCTTTTACGTCTTCTTCTGCGGATATAAACAATTTCTGCCGAGGGGCTGCCTTTCCCTGTTGTCCGGAGAACAGTGGAAACACAGTCACTGATTGGCCCGGTTATTTTCTGATCGCTAATACACGCTCCCAAGTGGCCGAAGTCCAGACTGTTGTGGGAAGGAACGGCAAGTGATTCACGCAACTGGATGGCCCAGCCAGGCTAGTTCTGAAGTTTCTGTTTTCTCTCATTTTTAGGTGGATTTATACAGAATATGTTAATTTATGTCAGACAGAGTTACAAAAAAAACACAAGTTCTGGATGCACATTAAAATAAACAGTGCAACTCACGGACGCAGGAGAGGAGGTCATTGAAGCGGTCCTTGGGAAACAGCGGGTTTTCCAAACCCCTGAAGTAAAGCTTCAACACTCCGGCGACAGAGTTAATGTCATGGTTGCTCTCCTCGTCAATCAGCGGATCGTTACCTGAAGGAGAGACTTGACAAGTTTAACAACATCCTCATCCAGGTGTTGGTTAAGTCGCTTTCAGGAGGCGTCTTTACCTCTTTCAAAGGAGTTCTTGATGTCATTGACCTCCACCTGTGACCCTGAAACCCTGAAGATTCCTTGATGCTGAAGACCTGGTGGGAAAGATGGATGTTTGAGCTTCAACAACATACATGTTGTATTGTTTTGGTTAGTATTGTAGCATACTGCACCAGTAGTTGTGATTTTTTCACGAGTTTAATAAAACTAGATGTTGAGACTCACCATGTAGGTTGATGTAGCGGATGCAGCTCTCCACAAGCAAAGGTATGGCTTTGGTTGAATCCTGTAAATACAACCATGAAATTTTCATTTAGGGTCTGATATTCATTCATTTTGACTTTATTTACTGAATTCATGTCTGAGGTCAAGATTTTAACATTAATAACAGACTTTTTTACCCTGAGTTGCATTGCAGGGTTCTTAGATTAGAGGTAAAGCTTGCACCCTTCACAGTATCATGTATTATCAATCAATCAATGAAACTTTATTTATAAAGCACTTTTCATACACAGAATGTAGCACAAAGTAGCCCCTAGTAGCCTGACAGGCAAGACCCAGGGTAAATTAAACTGTTTGCTCCTTAAGCTTTGGTATTTGAAGTTATCAAGATGAACATTTGCAGGCTTGTTTTTCCCTCATCTGTATTTTAGTGGCTACTGAATAACAAAAAACTTTAAATGAGTTTCCAACAATACAATATAAGTTTAGGAGCATCAATAAGACTTCACAAGTGGAAATTATATCCTTTTACCGGCACAAACCCACAGAGAAACAACCTGCAGCCCGACAGTGAAAGTGAAACTCTACCTGGTGCTTGCTGTGGGAGTTCTTCCGCCCACGACTGTAATGAGCAGAACGAGAAAGAGGGGTATCTCAGTTTCATGGAGCTCAAAAGAAGTTAAGTGGTGGGAAGGCAAGCAAGACTTATTATTAAGTTGAAGGATAAAATCTGTGCTTTGATATGTAGTAATAATACCTGGTTGTCAGCAGGTCAGCTTTGTATCCTACAAGAAAGACACAAAGACAGAAGATTTGAATGTGTTTCACAGTCTGAGATATAAAATCAATGGCAGACGAAGAGTCAAGGAGCGGTTATGAAGGTCTTACCCTCGGCTAAGGCTTTCTTCAGTATGTCATGTTTGGCCTGCAACTTGGAAATGAGATTACTCCCTTCCAGATACTCGCGGAATTTCTACGGACAGAAAAAAACAAAAACAGAGTTCATCTATTATCCTATTCAGAAGGAATTCAGAAAAAAAAAAAAGTTTGCTAGCCTGAACAACAGGATCTGAGTGCATTATTTTCGTTTTATTATTCTTGTCTTGTCTTTCCTTGTCTAGTGTTGTCCTTTCCTGTTTTGTTTTTGATCATTTTGTGGGGAAATGAACTTGGGAGAATGGGGTTTATGTATGAACAATGCTCACTTTTTTGTCAGCATTTTTTTGTGGACTTAGCTTGACCATGTGGCCCGCCTGAACTAGAACCACACTCAACTAATGGCAATAAGTGTTTGTTGACAGCCTTTTCCACCATGACAAAGACATGCCAATACACTTATCAACAAAGAGAAGCAGTATTTCTTGGCTAAACTAGGGAATATTGCTACTCTTTCTACTGTATGTACTACTGAATAACTGTTCCTCTCACAGGAGTATCAAGTGTTGGTTCAAGGGTAGAAACATATCACCATATAACATAAAGTCAAGACATGTGCTGCTGATGTCTCACAGTGAAGTAGAAGAGCTCCGTCTCCTGCTGGTTGGCCCGTCTCTTCGCCAGACTCGGTTTGTTCAAGTAACCATCCGACACGCTAGATTTAACCGACTCGGAGGACGGGCTGTGGGTGAAACTCTGGGAGACGTCGTAGTCGTCCAGCACCGTCATGTCCTGCAGGGTGGTGAGCGTTGCTCCCCAGGTCTTCTTCACCTGCAGAGGACAGAATATAGACTTATACTGGAAAAGACTTCTATTAATGTTTCTCTAGTTGACACTTCATTTATATAAGCCTAGAGCTGCATTCAAAGCGATATTTCCACCTTGTGTTTTACTGATCCTGTCCTATAGGATGCTATACTGTTATGGTTATTGTGGGCTTGTTTTGTGTGTTATTGTACAGTATTGTATCATATGCTATTGTATCAAAACCTATCTCATCATGTCATGTCTTATTGTATCATATCATAGTGTATGAGCCATTTTATCTAAACTATTTTTTGGGTTTTGTTTTGTTACTCGTACAATCACCACAAGGGGCACTTCAGGTGGATGGACAGGTAAATGCTACAGAGGGACACAGGCGGAGCAGTGATCTAGGGAACGGGAAGAGCACACGGTTTTTACAACTAATCTCTGACACCACTCTCACCCTCATTACGAACCTCACCATCTTAGTAAGTTGGACATTTCTGTCTTTTTTGTTTGTTTTTTATTTAATCAATAAATGGCAAAAATATAACTCAACAGCAACCTTGGATTGGACATTGGATTGTACAAAGCGCGTCAAAAACTCCTCACTCTCGCACCAGGACAGTGACAAAAATTCAGGTCAGCGTAGTCACTACAAATAGTGTACCTAACGTACTGTTCAACTTTTTATTGTATCATACCATATCATGTCGTATTGTTTCATATCATATTGTGTCATGTTGTTGTTGTATTCTATTAAATTGTATCATATAGTATTGTACCTAAGTTGCTTTGACAGTAGAGAACCATATCATATTATACCATTTCGTATCATCTTGTATCATCTTGTATCGTACTGTATTGTATTGTGTCATATCATGCTGAATTGTACTGTATCCTCTAATATTGAATTGTCATTGTATCAGTCTGTGTTATACCATATTGAAGCATATCATATCGCATTGTCTTATTTCTTACTGTATTGTATTGCATCATACTGAATTTTACATGAGTCGCCTGGACAATTCAGATATGTATCATATCACGCTGTTTATTTTGTGTGTATTCTCAGTGGTCTAACCAATTTTTTTTCACATTCATGCACACAAATATAAGATAAGCACAGTCAAACTTAAATGTTACATTAACAGGTTATTAGCATAATATGAAAAATATGATAATAAATTAGATTAATGGAACAAAAAAACAAATTTTGTACATTTAAGTGGACATATATTTTGTATCACATCATGTAATTAATTTTTCATATTTTTTTTATTTGGCTGTTTTTGTCCTCCGTACACGACGTCGATTGAGCATCTCCAAATGTTTTATTACTGCCCTTCAGCTTTATGGATCACCAGTTATGAGTAATGAATTTTAAAAGGTTGAAGGTTGGGAGTTTCATTCTCTGATGATGAATTGTGTTCGAGCACAGCTGCTGCGTTTGCGTATGCTTTATATGCAAAGTGTATTTGTATTTACAGCCAGGATAATGGTGTGAAAGTGTTGTTATTTGTACATGATAATCAGGGCGTGCCTGTGTCTACGCCTGTGTGTTTGTAGGGTGCTGAGACATGCAGATGCAGCTCATTAATCCAGACTCGTTCAGCATTTTTATGCCCTTCAGGGTGAGTCAACAGCTGCCCTCTGTGCACACAGCGCTCCAGTCTGCCCCACAACAACAACAGCGACAACTAAGACGGTAAGAACAGGACATCTCAGACTGCTGCATCAAGGCGCTTCAGGGTGTTTATTTTTAGGGGCTACATCTGCTCCATTATCCTCCCATTAGAATGGTATAAATTACCATAACTTTGAGAAAACTATGAAAATGACAGAGAGACTTTGTAATTAGGGAGGATTTTTGGACACAGCTGCAGAGAGTTGGCTTTACATTTTGTTTCTAGATCTCACTGGGTGTTGGATTAACTGCTGGAAAAGCTTGAGAAGATATCGAAGCTTTACAGAGGATTAATCTGAAGCCTGGACCAGGTAAACTGACGCTCATGCCGACTCATGAAAACAGTGCTGACACAGCAGAAAAACTACACTGTCTCCTCCCTTATGATACCAAGCTTCTTACCTCTTCATTCTCAATCTTCAGGGACGCCAGGCGTGTCTGGAGCTGCGTGAGACGGAGGGTCAGCTCAGCCTGGACTTGCGGCTGGGACGCGATCTGGGTCACCTGAGAGGAAATGACACATCAGGACAATTAGTAAATCATCTCACAGGGTAAATAAAACCCAAACATGTGCCTAAATTCAAGTGTAGGACTCAGGTTAACTTTTGATTGTCAGTTTTAGCATTTTTATGTCTAAAAAAGAGCAAAAAGTTTCTAGTCGAGTCCACCAGCTCTAAACTCAAACACAGCTTTTTGCATGAGATATACTGACTGCGTCTCCCATGTGGGCCTGAAATCCAAAGCGCTGTGGGGGGCAGAAGGCGGTGGGGTAAAGGCCCAGCAGACGCTGCCTGTCTCGGGCGGGGTCCAGGCCCTCCACGGCCCCCTCCAGCACCTCCAGGCCCGCCCTCCTGGAGGCTTCAAGGCTCAGTTCGGCTGATAGGTAGGTCCTCAGAGCCCGGCTCAGACTGGAGTGGTACCCTAGGTCACAGCACTGAGACACAGACGGAGGAAATATGTTTGTACGGCGTTGGAAATAAGAGGTGGGATGAGGAGGGAAAGCGCACTCACGTCTATGATGTCGGGCAGGTCATGGATGTAGTATTTGAACACGGAGGCATTAGTGGCTTCCAGGGTCAACAGATACTCATTTCTGGCTTTAAGAGTCTTTAGCTTGTTCTCAGAGTACTTTGCCTTCCTCTGATGAAGAGAGAAAGACATGAAATGAGGAAAATATTGGTTAAATCTGCAAAGTAATAATTTCAATTCAGCCTCATTTTCATAATTTCCACTTCTACAGAGCAAATAAAAGACTGTGTGAATGTGAAACTTGCGGAAACAAACGAAGAAGACCTGTGTAACCGAAATCGACCACATTTTGGTAAATATGGCGTGAACAGGTTTGAAGTCTTATTGTTAAGATTTGACAGAGTTATGAGTAAAACGAAGAGAACACTCATTTCTACCACCTGATGCCCATTCAGAAAATACAGTGAAGAAAAAATGTTATTCATAAGACATAAAAACATCGATGCACTGACCTTCTCCCTCATCTTCTCCATCTTGCGGGCGGCGTTGCGCCTCTGATGGCGCTCTTCTATCCGCAGGCCAAACACAGGCTCCACCCCTCCACCTGTCCCAGACACGCCCTTCACTCGCCCCTCCTGACGCTCCGCCTCCCGCAGTTTGGTTTCCGCGCTGATGGTCTCCACGTGGTACATGTGATATGTCTTCATCACCTAGGCAACAGAAGCCCATAATGACAACCTCTGAGCCAAACGGTGCATGAAACTGGAAAACAGCATCTCACTGAAGCCAGAATGGACTGTTTTTACTCTTTAACGTTTTCAGATCCTCTTCAAAATGATCGCTGAGAAGCTTTTAAGGCTTCAAAGAAACTGTGACTTTTGACAGACAATAACAAAAATCTGGACATTTTATTTTAAAAGCCTGAAAAATATTATCAGACAAACACCTGGAGTTCAAGAACATCTTCACCACAACAAACAGTGAGCACTTGTGTCTGCTGCCAATTTTTCTTTTAAAACTGCTGCATTTCCTCCAAAATAAACCTCTTTGACATTTACTTAGCCTCTTGAGACTTCTTACTTTGGCTTTGTTTGCCTTCTTACATGTAGTTCACAGATATCAACTCTTTTTCTAACATGGTTTACTTGCCAACTGGTGCTCAAAGTGCAAGTGATAAGCAGAAATTAGAATATTTTGGATCAGTTAAGGCCTTTTTAGACATCCGTTCCTTCTGACTTAGAAACCACGGGTTCACATTTTTTTCTATTGATGCAAAAAGTTTGTTTGACTTACGGTGTAAAGCTCGTTTAAAAGCTTCATGAGGTCCTCCTGAAGCTGAAAGATGATTTCCTTACTCTGCAAGAAGGTAGAAAGAGGAGAATATGATCAGTTTGAAGTCAATGGATGCATGCACATAATATCATTAACCCTATAATGCCTGAAACCACAAATTATGGCCAGAAAATTCAAATTTTTGGAGCTGAAATGTTTATTTCACTTACTGATGAAAACCAAAAAAAAAACAAAATGTCCTTAAAATTCTACAAATACATTTATTTATCTCGTTTGATACATCAGATGTTTTTGGAAACTGATAAATCACGAGAGGACATTTTTATCATTTATCAGACTGTGTTAAGGTGTTTTTTTTAGTAATTTGTTGATTATATTGATTGATCGAAGTATTATAAAAGTATGTATCAAATATGATACAAATGGCAATGAAAGGGTTAAATGATTCAGAGAGTTTGGAGCAAAAGGACATGGCTGATAAATGATACTGGATGGTCATGATCTGCATAAAAACAGGTATCACTCTGTAGTTGAAGTCGCCGCATGAGCCCAGAATATCACTCCCAAAAACTACCGTCTGTGACCACACTTTGTAACTCTCTTAGAACTGGAGTTTTGTGATCAGATATCTGGAGTCTTGTTTTTGGACACTTTGTAGATGTAATTCCTGTATTTACCTTTTTTTTTATCTCTGTTTTTGGGCTCCACCTCCAAAGGGAAATATCAAGTCTTTATCTAATTAGTTTTAGCAGCTTTTAAGAGCTTTTCTCCATCATGACAATGCTTTTAAAGCACTGAGAGTAAAGCAGAATTGTACAGTTGGGGGCCAAAAGGCTTAACAATAAGCTTAATCTCTCCATAAAGCCACATACAGCAGAATTAGCAGGGAATCCTCTGGAGAATCGACGCTACCAGTAAAGCTTTTAATTATGTTTTTTTATAGTGTAATTACAAAAACCAGGATTTCAGCTCATGTGAGTGAAACAGGTATGGGCATTTCCTTCTTCTTGCAGAGAAACCCGAGCAATCCTTCAAACAGCAGCGCATAAATAAATGGATCCGACAGCACACAAACAAATGCAATCATAAATGAAACAGGGCGAGCTGCCGCCCGACTCCGTCTCATACATTAAACAGACCCTCCAGTTTGGGGAAGGAGTTATGTGGCCGCGCGGTGGTATTAATATTACATTATGCTAAATGACTGTGGGATTCCAGGATGGATGGATCCTGTTCCCATGGCGCCCGCTGAGAAAAAGATCAGCTGAGCTTGTCGCCATGACCACAGGGCTGTCGGTGTTGTCATGGCCACAGAGCGGCCTGCCTCTTCGTGGCGTCCTTCCTCTTCAGAGCCAAGTTTCTAAGAGGACTCGGGGACTTGGGGACTCGATGGGGGTCTTGCTGTTTATAGCTGCCGGCAGCCGCTGCACTTTAGTTAGCATGAATAAAAGAGGAGCCGGAGGACGGATTAATAATGAACACCAGAGCTAAAGTTAGAGGCGCTTTACAGCCTGCACGTGAGTGTGTGTATACATATGTGTATGTGTATATATGTGTGTGTGTGTGTGCGTGTGTTTAATTTGCTAAACTGCAAGGCTTTCCAGCAAACCTCAGGGGAACTCTGACTTTACTTTTCATTAGAATCAACTCGACTACTTGGAGAGGACGCATGAAAAAGTGAACGAGCTAAGAGGCCTGCAGATGAGGCAAACTGACAACAGCAGATCGTACTTCTACTCAAGATCTTTGCTGAGGTACTCGCTCCAGATTTACATAAGCAGCAGTAAATTAAAGAGAAAAACTTTCATTTTACTTAGGGAAATTAATCTATTTAAGCTCTGACAAACAGTCACATGATCTATTTCTGTGTTAAAAGGATGCATGACCGACGATAAAGTTGAATTAAATCTGTTGTAAAAGAACAGGCGGAGGAACATCCAACGAGGTCAGGTTTAATGCAGTACCTCGGGCAGCACTGCATTAAAACTTCCACTACAGGACTCTGTAGGCCCCATTGCATAGGTAGCTTTCATATCTGTGAAGGCTCCATTAATGCTGAACAAGATCTACAAGTTTAGGAGCAACATCTGTCGCCATCCAGGAAATTCCTTTTTCAAAACCTTCATATTTCAGCTTGACAATGCCAAACCACATTCTTCAGGGATTACAACAGCATGGCTCTGTAGTAGAAGAGTCCTGCTTCTTTACCTGTCAACCAAGACCATGAGACACCAGCATCTCCAGAGTTCTGTGAGTTAGAATTGCTGCATTTATCAGTGGACATTGGTAGCTTTAAGTATACTTTGCTGAAAACACTCAAGTCCTTGTTATTTGATACTTTCATGGTCTGGTGTTTCTTCTACTTCCCCAAACGTTCCCATGCCTCGTTGGTTCCACTAAAAACATAATTTCCTCCTCTGTTCCATCATGAATCTGGGAGCCATAGTGACTAATGTAATTACATACCAATAAATGATGACTCATTTTTATCTGCACAGATTCAACATGTAAGGAAAGCAGCAGGATTTATTGGATTTTCTGTAGACCGTGTCCGTGTCTGACTTTATGATCCATTCCTGGAGACTGCGGCAGGATTTAAAGGCAGACGCCGAAGGGACGCGGGGACCTCGGCAGGGACATTTTTATAGATTTACAGTAAAAGTTAGGTTTTTATAGGCAGTAAAACATCACCTTAAATACAGTCTATGACAGAGGTCATTTAGGGTGCTGCGTCAGAGCCTTTTTTTAGCCTGAGAGTAAGTGCAGTGTCTCAACAAGGACGGACTAAAAGTGGATCCTGCAGATGGTTATAAAACGGCACAATTTTTTAAATTAAGCATCAATCTGGAAGAATTATAGTTTATTTCATCATGGCTTTTAATTTCTATTTTAGCTGACTCCCCTTGGTTCCTGACAGGGAAGGTTTATAACATGACGTAATATTGGATTAAAGCTCTTTATTCACACTTTTCATTTGTAAATCATAGCAATGATTTGATGCTTCTACTTATCTGATGTTTTGATGAATGACATTTTTGTTTAGTTTTGCAGAGTAGCTCAGGTTGCCTCAGTGTATCCAGCAAAGAGATCTTGATTCAGTCACAGAAGGGCTCATTGTTTAGTTATGAAAATCTCATTAATACATATATTGTCATTCGTTAAAACAGACTCACCCTCTTGAGTAAGCGGGCGGAGTCCTCGCTGATGTGTGTGAGGCGGGTGATGACGTTGTTCAGGTAGAGGTCGCTGAGGGTGGCATGGTCCTTACTCTCCCTCCTCACCTGTAAAACACGAGAATGAGATGCCAAATATGTTGTTTTTCTTTTTCACATGTAAATACACTTTTATGATCTTAAATGATATTTTCTTAGCTAGCTAAAAGTGTAAAGTTATTTGTTGAAAAATACACGAGACATACCTGGTTTAACAGCAGGTACCAGCAGTTGACTGGAGAGAGCAAATTCTGATCTTTTCTGAAGAAGAGAGAAAAGAGAGACTTTTGAATTAAACAAGGAAATGTGTTGATGAATTGAATTTGATTATCAGTAACATTAACACTATTTCAAGGGTTTTGGGGTCAACAGCAGTTTGGCATCCCTATCATAAATGCAAAGTTTGTATTATTTGGTCTGATCTGTGAATTCATGCCTCCACAGATGCTCTTTTGTTACTAATGTTGACCCATTTTAATCCCTGCCCTTAGTCTGCAGGCAAAACAGTTATTCTGGACGTAAGACATGGAAGTCTTTAAATAAGATGAACAGATTTCAAACCTTCAAATTAAAACGAAAACACTCATCTCCCTTTAATCATTTGCATTTTTTTACTGAAAAGACTATTCTTACCAAAAGCTTACATGACAAAGCAAACATGGGAGATCCTTACAAGAAGAATATGTTAGTAATGTTACAGGAAAAGCAAAGACCCCTCAGATGGTTCAACAGAACAGACACACAGAAAAGCAACATTATACTTCTACTATGTCCACACTACAAATGGTTTTTAAATGGATTTTTCTGCATTTATGAAAAATGTATCTGTCCATCAATGCAACAATGCAAAAACACTTGATAAAGCCCAGCTAAGACGTCACTAGTGGGTGACGTCAATGCATAATGGATTAAAAATCCTATAGGAACATTGTGTGCATGGTACTCAGCAAGCAGCCCTTGAAAACAGGGTGATGAACTGAAAACTATAGAGTACGGTGTATTTATTCGTCCCCGTGCTGCAGTATAATGAAGAACAGCAACATTTTCTTGTCTTATGAGCACTGTTACAAGACGGTCCCTGCTTCAACTCCCCAGCCGGCCAAGGGCCTTTGTGAGCAGAGTTTGGATGTTCTCCCTGTGCATGCGTGGGTTTTCCTCCTGGTACCCTGGCTTCCTCCCACAGTCCACAAACATGCTCCTTCGGTTAATTGGTCAGTCTGAATATCAGTGATATCTCTGATATTCTCAGTGTGTGCATGAATGTTTTTCTGTCTATACATGTCAGCTCTGTGAGAGACTGGCGACCTGTCATGGTTACACCCCGCCTCTCGCCTGATGACAGATGGTATGGTGACATTTACATACGCAGTACATAAGAACGGGCAAGAATTGAAACATGCACATCATACACTATATATAGAAAACTTAAAGTTCATTATTCAACTTGTGGTTGTGGAAAAATACTTGATTCTGATTGGCTGATAGCCCTAAATCACAGGTGACACTAAATCTGCCTGACAGTGTGGCGACAATGTTTCTTCTACTTCTCAGGATGAGGTCTCACTCACCCTGTCAGGATTCTAATTTGCAAAACCACCTGTCTGCTTTACACTCTCCCTCACCTAAATTTCTACAAACAACTCTGACTCAAAAGTGCACAAACACAAACAGAAACACACTCTGAGTCTTACTTGTATTGCTGATGGTCTTTCGTGCTGCGTGTCTTGGCCATGAACCTCTCGGCGAGCTTCTCCAGATTTCTGGAATACTCCGTCTCGATCTCAGCCTTCTTCCTGAAGAAGTCCTGCAGGTCCTGGAGCAGCTGAACCCGCATCTCCGTCTGCTGCTCCAGACATCGCTGCTGCTCCACCAACTGGGCTCGCACATCTACACCAACACAAAAACCACAAAGACACACAGATGGTTGATCTGTTAGAGAGACACTTTGGCTGTTTGCTAGTTTTTTAATATTCCTTTTGCCTTCACGAAGATACCAGATTGATCTGCTTTAGACACGTATCTTCATTAAATGTACATCTACACCCTTTTTTCTTTGACACAGAAGGCAAATACATGTAAAAAAAAAAACAGTGTAAATAAAAGTAAACAAGAAAGAGAACAAGAAACTTGTAGAATCTTCTGAGGAAACTTCAGAAATGAGACACAAATTAAAGCGTCTAAATGTTTATTTCAGCTCCTCTGCAAAGATGCATTATCATAACTGGTTGCAATAAACGTTTTTCTGTTTTACTTTTCCACATCTTTTGCTCATTCATGTCTTTATTTAAGAGAATTTTACCACTTTTTAAAATTTTATTGTCATATCCGCATGTGTTTCCTCACCAACTTATATCTATAATCTCACATTTTTGTCTAAATCTGTAAGAGGTGCCACAAAAAAGGTCAAAAGTTATTCCAACACTGGGTGCAGGCTGGGCTCAGACCCTTTGGTATCATCTTGACCTTGAGCTTCACTTTTCCAGCCCAAAGAGCAGAGAGCACAGGTGGCAGAGACAGACAAACAGGTGGGAGGTTAATTTAAATTAGGCAGAGCAAAGTTTGTTGTATTATATTATAATGGGGAGAAAATACGTCTCAGGATCACATCTGTTTCTGTTGAAGTGTCAGTCAGCTGCAAGTGCTGGGATTTAGCAAGAAATGCGTAAGAAGCTGAAATGTGTATGAATCTACAAAAAAAAGAAATTCCCTTTGTCGAATTAAAGACATGGATTTATAAATTCAGTCTGCGTGCGTCTTCAAATGAAACGTGATTATTGCTTTACTTGCTGTCCACTGTTTGATGTAGTTTCCCCACCAGTTCATTAATCTTCTGCAGACATCTGATGGCTGCAGCAATCACGTTTATAAATCTGCATCATCAGATCTCAGCCTCATCACACAGAAACATCCACCATGCTTTCATTAAATAACGTGCAAACAACATGAAACTCTGACACGTCAAGAAGCAAACTCACATCCAAACATGGGACCAGTCAGCTTTAAATCTGAGTATTGTTAATTGTCCTATAAGCTGTTATAAAAGTCAACAAAAATGTTACCAAAATCACTGCCGTAGTACCAACCTTTTAACAGCCTAAATGCTACTATAAAAGTGTTGCCTCATATGCCACAATAAATGCAGTTGTAAATGTACAATGATTTAAATGCTGCCCTAAATTCAATGATGTATTTTGCCGTAAAAGAAGCTATACATGTTGCTGTAAATATCAGCAAAATGCTGCTGCAAAAGTCACAAATGTTACAAGAAATGTCAAGACGAAAACTGCTGTAATAGTCACACATTTTGCAGTAAATGTCACCATAAATGCAGCTGCAAAAGTCACAAATGTTGCCATGAGCTCCCCTAAATGTTCCAAGAGTTACTGCAAATGCTGCCATAGATGCCACCATAAATGCAGTTATAGTCCTTTAAAATGTTGCAGAAGTTGCATGAAGGCTGCTATAAGTCATCAAAATATTGACCCAAGTACTGCCATACATGCCTCTGCAAACTGCTGCCATGTTTCTGCCATAAATGCTACTGCAAATGCCTCAAATGCTGCAACATGTTGTATTAAATGTTGCTCTCAATGCCACAGCATGAAAAGCTGCTGTAAATTTGGCTACTTATGCTGACTTTGTAAATTCAGCCATGAATGCTCCCAAATGACCCAGAAAATGAACATAAACAGAGTATAAGAAAATATCACAAGTTAACTTGATACTGCAGGTGTTTATAAAAGTCTTTAAACATGACTAAGACACTAAAAAAAGGTCTTTTACAAGTATAAACAAGACTTTTTATGATCTTAATTTTTTTAAAACATGACTTTGGTGATCTGCAGGAAAACCACAAGGGTTTTGGTTCCAATTTTGTTCAAAATGAAAAGATCCGTGGTACATGATCATGCTTTCAACTAATTACTGCAAAATAATTCCAGAATATGTAAAAGGGGGAGGGTCCAGTGGGAATTTCATCTGTTGTGCAGGTTCAAAACCATAAACTAAACCAAACAGTCTCTTGTATCAGCAGGTTATGGCTTGTACACAAAGTAATTAAAATTCACATAGGTAATTATAATGATCTGTGCCAAATGTTATTGTCATCAGTCCAACAGTTGATGATTTCAGCCTGAAGAGATGGAGCCTTGTCCCTTTAAATACAATTAAAGATGTGGAAAAAATATGCATATTTGCCTCAATTTTCCACTCTGAGACACTACACGTGGAGCACGTTTCGTGGGTTATATTGATAATTGGCGAAAAAAAATTGTCAAATTGGTTAATGTAAATTATTTAATTTCCTGTCGATGGACTGATTTATTAGAGCAGCTAATTGTTCTGCAGCTCTCCTCCTCTTCCTCCCTTCACCTCTGCTCTCGATCTCTTTAATCCAAATAATTACTGATGAAGACTGTCCATTTTTCTCAGAGGAGTCACCTTGGCCGACATCCTCTGACCGCATTAAGACAACCGCACGCATAAACATCCTGTACCTGCACACACCACACACACATACACACACACACTATCAGTCAGCGTGGTAATGCTGGGCTGCACGCTCCACTGGCTGTGCTGTTTCAGAGCTCGATCTATCTGCAGCAGGAACAGAGAGAGAGAGAGAGAGAGAGAGAGAGAAGAGAGAGAGAGTGTGGAGGGGGGTAAAGAATACACAATGATAACACACACAAACACACATACACACACAAACACACAGCCAGACAGACACACGCATGGATCCTCAGGGGACTCTATCCACTCCACTACCTGTTGTCTTGGCAACCACACACTGTGTGTGAACCATGTGATGAGGAAGGTGAAGACAAGAGCTTGAATCTGCCGCATCGATACACACACTCACACATACACACACATACACACACACACTCGCATACAAACACACACACACACACAGAGCACACGCTTCATAGATCTCTATAGAAAAACAGCCTTGGCCTTTGGTCCCCACAAGTCTATGAAAGTCCATCCCTCTATTACTGCTCATGTGTTTGTGTGTGTGTGTGTGTGTTTGTGTGTGTATCGATTCTGATATTGCTGCTAACTAATTTAAAATGGCTGCCATCTCATGTACACTTGAATGTGAGTGTATGTGTGTGTGTGTGTGAAGCTGCAACACTTTCATATAAATGAATGTTTGCTCTGCTGCAACACATTATTCCACAGGCAGGGAAAATGCTTGTATCTGATTGGTTGGTTTGCCAAATGGGACATCCCAAATATGGTTTGCGTGGTCCCCATGGTAACAGTTTAATCACTCTTCTAAATTGGTGTTGCGCCTCTATTGGGATTCATGCTACCATAGCAACAATACTGAGGGTTTGATAAGACTGATATTGCTGTCATGCCTGTTGCTATGGTCACTAGCCTGTCAGCATAGCTTAGCATAAGAGTTCAAATTTGGACAGGAAATAATTGAGGAAAGTGTTGGTTTTAACATCTTAGAGAACATTCAAATACATTTACAGTATAATCACTTCCTCAAAAAATGGCACAATTTAAATTTGTATGGTATTACACTGATCATATTATCACTTTAAATCAGAATAAACCTGAAAAAGCAGCAAATGTTTCTTCCAAACCTGTAGATATTGTTCAGCATTCACAGATGTGTAGGCCACCCATGCCAGGAAAACAAATAAATGGCCCCAAGTTTGGAGGTGAAATAAGATCACCTAATCCAGGTGGTTTTTGTGTTTTGGTTGCTCTCTTCACATATAGTATATCCAAACTTTTGAACCATGCACTGACATAAAGCTCGGTGGTTTCCTTTTAAGAACAGAGGATGCAGCATCTGTGACTTCCAAAAAATATGTCATATATATCACGGACCCAAATGACCTGGATCAAGGAGAGAAGAAAACCCCCTTTAAAAATAAATTGAGTGGGAAAGCACCCCCAGAGTAATGTGCACTTATCCGTATTTTACTCTAAAATATCTACTGGTTTAAATGTCTCTCTTTCTTCAAAGTTGCTTAATTTTTCCAAAACAAAAAGCTATAAGCAAATGTCATTCTCGCAAAACTGGCAGCCATCCCCTGTATAAGCTACTGGATAAAACAGTAAAAGTTTGTTGGTTATTTTATACAAAAATTAAGTATAAAAAAAGCAAAAGTCTTCTTCTAACTGATCGGTCATGTCACTCGGTACTTCACAAATTCTCAGATTTATCGGTTTCCTTTAGATGTATTCTAATTTGAGAGAATGAATAACGTTTTATTGCAGTTGACATACCACCCAGTCATGATAATTTTTGTCAGTGGCTGTTTCATCATGCCTAAAGAGGCCACAGACAAATTCTACTCCTCAGATAACAGGAAGATGACTTTATAAGACCCTTTGACAAGGTCTCCAACAATGTTTGGCTGCTATGAAAACAAACCTATCACATCAAATTTACAGATATTTATCTCATACTGTGGTCCTCAAGCTTTTTATTTAAGCGTTGGGAAACCCAAATACTCCTAATCAAACATGAAGCCTGGAGTTGCAGAGTCTTTTTTGCTTTTCTTGCAAATCCGACTCATATTTTCCGCAGGGATTCCTGACTCGACATCAAAGAGACTAAATGCCTACTAAATGATGTGAGAGTTTTCCCATTTACATAAACGTCCATCAGAGACAGAGCTGTTCCAGGAGCAGAGAATATTTAAACAAATACTACATACTCCATCAGCACAAACAGTCATTTTCTCTCTAAATAATGAGCAGTAATCACTTTGGTAATCCTCTGACTTTTCTCCAGCACAAAAACAGGACGAGTATCTATGACTTAATACCTGCAGAATAGTGATGGGCATGGCAGTTCTTTCAGATGTACTGAATCACTAGACTCAGTTCACTAAAAAGATTTGTTCAAAAGATTCGTTCATCGAATCACTGAATCATTCAGTGCTTGGTGGGAGGAGCCTGCGACTCCGACCTCCTGAACTGATACACAGCTGAACGGTTCAGTATCCAGTTCAATTCATAGCTTCTGGGACCAGGAGACAAGAGTGTTGGGCTCAGTGAGTGATTCGTTCACTGAGCGTTTAGAAGAATTCACACTGAACACACTAGTATGCTGTGGGTTTTATCTACTACTTGTAACATGCTGTGTCCGATTGTATGCAAGTTGTTGTGGTGGAAATATAGCAGTAAAAAATAAAAAAGTTAGTTTTGTCCTACAAAAATGATTGCAGAGAGTGTAGTTCAATGCGTGATTTGTTTACCAAGTGATTCAGGTGTCAGTGCATGTGGTCCCTCGTTCACCAGCTGCTCGCCTGACAATGCTGCGTGCTATGGCAGCTGCCCTGCTGACAGTTCAAACGAATGACTTGAGGAAGTGATTTGGTTCAGTACGTTCACTTAAAGGATTCGGTTCTTTTGAATGAATCGTTCTTAAACGACACAACACTACTGCAGAACTGAGGGAATCCAAGCAACCCCATCAAAATCACACTTTAAATTTACATGTTATAGTTAAATAGATAATACAGGAGCAAGGTAGACTTAAGGGTTCGGCTACCCTAATTCAAAATAGCTGCCCATACAAAGAAATGTTGCAATACTATGACTAACCCTGCTTCCTACAGAGCAAGTGACATCTAGAGCTCCCCCTGGTGACTGGCTGCAGTAAAGGTCACAACCTGCCTCCATGTTAACAGATAGGACATGGGTCAAATTGTAAAATCATAATACATGCAAAATAAATCTTTCAAACTCATGGTTTTTGTTGTTAAAGTTATTATTCTTTATCTTAAAGTAATTTTAAAAGGAATATGATTTCCTGATTTACAGGGTTCTCTTTACAGATAAGGCTCCTACAAAACTTATGTTTTGTCACACGTAGTCAAAGATGGATACAAAACCACAACAAGAATTAGCTCTGTTGTGGACTGGACCAAGCTGAGGGATCTTTGCTGTTATTTCACTAAGTTAAATGTATGTTTATTCTTCCTCCTAACAATCTCTTCTTCATAAACTCTGGCTTTAAATTTGCAAGATCTCCATCTATTATGAGGGATATTTTGGCCTTACTTTTGGCAGACTTGGAAGGTGAAAATGCTTTATGTTTGCACTCAAATTGTTTTCAGTGTTGAAAGCGGCCTTAAAAGTATTTTGATTTCCACCTTTACTTTCAGTTTTACCCAAAAAACATCTACAATAAAAAAACAACTTCATTCACGGTTGATTATCTGATGGTGAAAACAATGGTAAGTTTCAGCAGTGGAGTGTGTGAGAGGATGATGATTCAGGCAGATTCACCGAGGAGGCGAGATAGTATCAATGAAGCTCCTTGGCTTGGATCACAGTCGATTGAACGTGAAAGGAGGACACCCGCCGCACTTTACCTTTTGAAGTCTGAGACGCTTCTTCTAAGAAACCTCCTCGCGCGTCCCCGTAACACCCCCCGACAACGTCAAGACTCAAAACGCTTTGATCAGTGGAGCTCCAGCCGAACAATGAGGAAACACATGCAGACAAAGCAGCTAAGTAGAAAGAATTAGTCTGGTCTGCTTCAATCTGGACGCTCTGCAGAGATCGTTTAGCTGCCGGGATGGTCCGGAGATCTCAAAGGTCATGAAGCATAAGGCCTGTAAAGATCAATCATATATTTCAAACATAAATATAATCTGTTTGTTTGATGGTGTCTTGCAGAAATTAAACACAATGAAGTGTCTTTGTATCCTCCTTTTATCACATTAAATCTTTGGTACTTTACACTTCAGGGGAAATCAAAGTCACTTTAACTCTGGATCGGTTTCTTCGCCACTTTTGGCAAAGTTATACGGGCTTCATTTCAATCACCTCTGTTACTCCACATTAGTGAGATTAAGAGTACACAGCTCTGGTCTGAGGCTGCTTATGAGAGCTGGAACACATCCCAAGGAGCCTGTAATGTGTGGAGATAAAAACAACAGAAGGAAAACACCACGTGCACTAAAGCAATGCCAAAAACAACCTTGATGTGATTGGCACCGTGAGGCCGGGGGCGTCTAGACTTTCATCTTTTGACGAAACTGACTTCATAATGGTGATCTGTCTGTCAGTACTTGTTTGGCATGTTTTCGGATTGACATTGTCAGATAATCCGTGCGTGTTTCATGATTTTTTTCATACGTAGTCGGGGATGGATGTCTGGTGATAAGAACTTCAATCTGTTCTGGTTTTCTCCTCAATTTTTTCCAACTGCAACAACTGCCAGGTTGTCATGTTGCATATTCGTCTAGTAAGCCTTTCTTATACAGCTGTGGTTGTGTGAAATTGTCGTAATTTTATTCATACCCCCGCCTGCATTGATCTGCTTATTGATTCATGATCGATTCTCTGAGTAGAAGTCGTGGGCTTACATATGTTTTCAGCTCAACTCAGCCGTTTTATTGTTGATAAATAGATTCAATCAGGGAATATTTGAACAGTGTTTGCTTTCATAATCATTTTCTTCCTGCAAAAATGGAAATCGAGCTCTCTTTTAAAGCTCTCATTTTAATAATTCAGGACTCATAATCCTTAATAACAGATCAGATGGTGGTGTGAGGGGCACAGTCTTGGTGTATTTGTGGAAAGTGAAGGTTGCTACGATTAATCACACTCTTTCTTTATCCCTTTGAATCTTTTTTTCAAGTGTCCAGGCACAGACAGGATTCTGATATCTAGTGTACAACTGTCTGAAAAATTGGATTTGGGCCAAAAACCCAATGTGGATGTCCTTCCTCAATACTTTCCAAAACAAGAGCCCAGTTTGTTTTGTCTCCGTGGAGAGGCTCCAATTACAACATCATCGGGTTGGTTGTGATGATTGGTCAGGTGCCACTGTGTAGTCTCTCTGGTCCATCGACTAAATCATGTTATAAATAAATAAATTAATGGCTCTGCGGTCATCAAATCTGACACAGTGGCCATCATAACAAACAAAAGAGTGTGACCCCAGAGTAAGTAACAATTTCACTGTCAGCTGCAGCTTCAATGACAGCAGAAAAAGGTATATATTTGTGGGTAAAACTGGACATTTTTAGCCTTGAAAATATCCACAAACAGTTTTCAAAGATTACTGATTGAATATTTTTCATCAGACTGCACCTTTAAAGTCAAGGTTTCCTTGTCTCTTGAGGGTTTTTGCCCAAAGGCTATCTGCACCTTCGACTATTTGATCAAATGTGCTGATTTTGACAAATCTGTTAAGGACTCCTGGAACTGCAACAACTGAGGACAGGCAGTACAGTATCATAAGTTAAAGGTAGGTTTTCTATTCATTTTCAGTGATCCCTGTGTTTTCATTGCCACTGTTAAGGGTTGGGGAGTTGCAAAAAAAAAAAAAAAAGTCTTTGAGTGGCAAGACGTCTATAAATACAAATCTTGCACATCAGATTACAGAGTTGTGGTCATGAGCCACTGAAAACATGAAAATCTATGAAATCTTAACCTAAAATTCTTAAAAGAAAGAATTGTCTTGACCAATCAGTCATCAACAAAAAGTATGAATTTTGAATACAAATATCCTGTACGGCAAGTTGACTTGATTTCAGCTAAAGCATAAAATTATTCCACCAATGTTGACGGTGATCTTTAATCAAAAATGCAAAATAGGACATCATTGGCTGTCTGGATCTTATAATGGACTCAACCATTAAGAAGTAATTCATCAATCAGCATCTGAAATTAATGGTTAAATTAATTGATATTTTAATAGTCGTTAGCTGCATCATCTGTCCTCTGACGGTTTCCTTCCATCCGTCTTCTCAAACTGGTCCAGTCTTCATTTCCAGTATGTGACTAATTGATTAACTGTCTTCTGGAAGGATCCATCACATAAATCTCAACCACTCACAGCTCATCTGCGATCAGTTTATGATGACTGAAGGTGTAAGGCTGAGACTAATGCTCATTTTCATTATCACTTGTTCTTATAGTTAGACCAAAAGTTTAAAGATTTATCAAAATTTAGAAAAATGCAGCTTTTGTTTTCCCAGTTGCTTATTTTTGGTGAACATCTAGCCAAAATTAGGTGGGGCTACAAAACTGCCTCAACTTTACCTATTCGCCCCCTTGTAAAGTTGACAGACAGTAAGGACAAATCAGCACTAAAAATGATTTTGGAATGGTTACCAACCATCTGGTCTTGGGTAAGAAAAAATCTCAGTCTCACATAGGATGACAAATTGGTTCCCTCAGTGTGACTACTAGGGGTGTCCCCATACAACTTTTTTACCTCTGATACGATACCGATATTGTAGCCTTCAATATCGTCTGATAACGATACTGATTCGATATTTGCATAAACTTCTGAATGACAAGTTTTGCTCTCAACTGCAATGTCTTTTTCAGACTTTAGTGAAAATACCTCCACAGGGCCAACATCGCTCTGACTCCTTGGTACTTAGTTCCTTAGTACACTCTGTTGTTGTGATCACATGGGCTCTACATGCTGGATCCGGGTGCTGCTCGGTGGAGGTGCCAGAGCAGAGTCTGGAATGGACTGTCTGTATTGGAGTGCTGATATCAGAGACTTGAGATGCAGGCTGATATAATCCGATATTTGAATTTTTGCTAATATTGGACCGATATCTGATATCAATATCGTAATGGGACACCCCTAGTGACCACTATTAGTAGAGCCGGCACCACCAGCCTTTAATCCTCCTTGCAGGTTGACCTCTCCATATCTGTGGTAACCAATTCCCCTGGGTAACTGATTACTTGCCAGTTTGACCAGGCACCGCCTACATACGACTTAATTTCCATTTTCTAGATCAAAATACTGACAAAGCATGCTGCACTATCAGATGCAATCTGTTCTTTGTGCTTGTTTAGATCTAGTTATTAGAGCCCTAAAATGGAGCTGCAACCCCAGTGAGTGGCGGGTGTCTGTGCCATAGGTCTCACACAACATATGAGTGGCATTTAAGGCCTATAATGATAAAGCTCCCCCTTGTTTATTTCCTACTTAGTCACACACAACAGCAAAATGGCTGCCGTGAAGTACCAATGAAAAGTTTGTATCCAAAAAATAAACAGTGCCACAGTCTCATGAGTTTTTATGAACTGGGTCAGTTTTAAAACCTTAGACCTCAGACAAACCACAACCTGCTGCAAAGTTGGATCAAAGTCTGAAACAGCTTCAGGCAGAAGGATGACCAAACACCTTAAACAGAGATATGCAGTAGAGTGGGAGAAATGCGTCTTGTTAGGTGATGCACGAGAACATCTGCGACAAGTAGCCAGCATCAGGGGAATCATTTTCTCATTGAATTGCATATAAACAGAAAGGGAAACAGTGGAAAGCTATTACTAATGCAATTGTGCACATATTGCTTAAGGTATGACTGCTAAGACTTGTCAAAATCCTCTCATCAAACATGTTGAAAAGAGGGCAAATGAGCATATTTACTAAAATATCAAAGTATTCATGATAGCACAGCATTACTTTAGTTGATATAAAAGGGGACAATAGCACGATTCTAGTTGATATGAACCAAAGAAAGACAAGAAACAACTCTTGTCTGAGAGAAGGAAAGTCTGGGTTTATCCACACGCTCAAAATGATCAAACCTCGGTATGTGAAACTACATCCTGTCGGAGTTTGCAGCTGGGAAGTTGGGTGGCACTGACGAAAGCGATAAGGTGGCTGTTTCTGGTGTTAAAAAAAAGTCCTCTCATTAAATAAAAAGGTCTGTCTACGCCAGTGGTTCTCAAGTCCAGTCCTCAAGCCCCACCCATCCTGCATGTTTTGGATGTTTCCCTGCTCCGACACACCTGATTCAAATGAACAGCTCGTTATCAAGCTCTGAAATGGCTTAATAACGAGCTGATCATTTGAATCAGGTGTGTTAGAGCAGGGAAACATCCAAAACATGCAGGACTTGAGAACCACTGGTCTACGCAAACACTTAGAAGACCAATCTGAGCCTGTCAGGGACCAGACCAAGAACTTTCTGTGGAGGTGCAGGTGCCCCAAACGGCAGCCATTACAGCCTGTTTCACTGCTGCAGGCTGGAGAAACCTGCTGGAGCGATCCCAAAACTGTCTGATGAGTCATCTAAACCACGAAAACACAAAAAACCCCGACCCACTATCGGACAAAAAAGAGAAACCCCTTTAAATTTTCCTCTGTCATCCGCTTGATTAATTGTTGCAGCACTGGAGAAGTATCTATGTGTGCATATATGTCAGCGCTCTCACAGCAATGGGAAGCTGTAGCAGTCCTCCTGAGGTGGCCGTTACCATGACGACCAGGTCCAAGGACATGAGGACAGGGCAGAGGAGCGCAGGATCATCAAGACCAGCGGGGCTTTTGATTCTGGCCCTCCGGACCCTTTTTCGTTTTTTTAATGAGTGAAGAGTCACTTCATTATCTCCTACCCTCCTCGCCATCCATTCATTGCTACCCTTCTGTTTGTCTGGCAGGTATACAGATGTGAGGTCACTGATCACCTGCATGCATACGCAGGCAAAAACAGGAGCTGCAGCCAACCAGGCAGCCTGCAGAGTGCAGCAGGAAACACTTCATCTTTCTTCCCTCTTTCCCCCCCTGCAGAGCTCCTTTCTCTCCTTCTCTTTTACATTTCCTCATTAAGGCGTTCTTCCTCGTCTCCTGCAGACAGAGGAGGTGCCACACACTTTCCTAAAGGAGGTGACGCTCCAAATATCACAGCCTCTAAAATATGTATCGTCAGCACTGTGCGCACACACATCTCCCCTGCTACCTTTCCCCGCTCACCTCACCTCAGAAAGCAGACCCCACCCCCTCGTGAGAGCGTGTATACATTACACACCACCTCCAACGTCGGCCAATCAGGAGCCGAAGCAGGGAGGCAGAATTGGAAAGCACATAGTTACAACGCGGATCTATACGCCGGGAGCTTGGCAGGAGGCGCAGAGAGGGCCGGATGGTGGAGAAGGGGGGTTTATCAGAGCCGAGCGGTCATTTCAATGCAGGGCATCCCCGAGTGTGGTTTGGCAGGATGCCAGAGCAAAGGCCACACACATATACAAACACACATACAAATAGGGATGAGTGTGTGTAAACAAGACACACACATACCCCACACGAGGGCTGTAACGCTGTCTATTAAATTTAATCACTCATATCGATTCATTGTGTTCAAAAAAGGAAGGGAGGAAGAAGGAGGTGAGGGAGGGGGAGATTTGTGAATGGAGCAGGAGAGGTTTTGGGAGAAAAACTGCAATCCAATTATTTTAAGTCTTTATCTGTTTCTTTTGTGAAGCAGAAGAGAGGGGAGTTATCTCTGAGTGAAGCTGCCTGGATTTGAAGATCAAAAAACTGAGCCAAGACAATCAAACATGGAGTAAAAGGCGCATTACCACGCATTTTCCAAAGCTGAAAGTGATGGGGATGATGGTTTATGTGTGGGCGTAGGTGACAAGGAAATGCGAAAGTGTGAGGAGCCATGTGGCGAGAGGAGAAAGATGGAAAGAGGGTTTTTTCCTGCCCTGATTGTGGCGTTTTCAGGAAAGGTCGTACAATTTGAACTTGAGCCTCTTCAGCAGGGGCACCTGAATCATCTGGCATCATTCACAGGAGAGAAAATGAGGCAGCATGTTGTAGTTTTACTAAAAAGGTCATTTGATTTGTCGACGCCGCCCCAACATAGCAGGGATGGTGGTAACCATGGCGCCAAGAGGAGGAGGAGGAGGAGAGAGGGTTGTCCCATGGTCATGGCAACCACTATTTCAGGGGTGTCTTCAGCAGCATCACCTGAAACATGCCTCCACTTTAGCTCCAGGTAATCTATGGACACACAGGACAGGACACACACACACACACTCACTGCTGCAGTCACAGCCTCTGAGGAATACCAATAGAAGACTGCCAGACGAAGATGAGGGCACGATCACCCACAGGTTTTAGAGTAAAAAACCAACACATGGGTAGGATGGATGGAGCTGGAGGGGCACCTGCTTAACACACACACACTCACTCACACTGACACACACACACACACACACCTTCTTACTGTGTCTCCTTAAAGCACACAACTACACACACATATAAACACATATAGCCTATAAAACCCGTCCCCCCTTCCTCCTCCTCCCCCCTAAGGCGCCATGCAGCACTCAGGATGAACCCAGAAATCCTGACGTCTCACAGTGAGGTGTCAACGCTCATACACACACACCCTGCACGGGGCTGCATGGGCACGAGAGCTTGCTGGCAGCAGACAGGTGTGTGTGGATGTGACAGTGTGTTTGTGCGAAGGTGTGACAAAGATGGGTGTGACAGTCAGAAAAAAGGGCTGCAGGTTTTAAAGCGCAGGTGGTGCTGAGCTTACCTTTGACTTGGCTCTCGTATTCTGCGAGGATTTCTTTGTCCTTCTTGCTTTTGTTTGAGTTTGACATGTCGTCACGGAGCAGGTGAACAATTGGCAGGTGAAGGAGGAGGAGAAGAAAAAAAAAAGCAGCAGAAGAAGAAAAAAAAATGTCCGGTTTTATTTCCCTCCGCCCGGGGCTTTACCCGCAAACATGCTCGTTAGATCCATCCAGTGCCGCAACAACACAGCCAGTAGTGTCCACGCACCTCCACGCTGAGGAGCAGCAGCAGCAGGAGAGGGAGGAGGGGAGGGAGAGGAGCACGCGCGTGAACACTCAGGGTGAAATAACCCACTCGTGACAGCCGCGAGGACCCTCTAAAGGCTTTTACTGGCTGAAAAAACGGGAATGAATTCACTAAAAAGCTCCAAATGCTTCTTTTCCCCTCAGTTTTGGCGCGTGGAAACATGCAATTGCAGCACGCGCGCATGCACATGCACCGGTCTGCAGGGAGGAGGGAGGGGAAGGGAGGGGGGGGAGCGGGCACACGCCCACAAGGTAGAAATGCACCGGACCACACTCACATGCAGAGAAACACACACACATAAACACACACACAGTTAAAGAGCGCGCGGAGACAGTGTTTGATGTTATCTTCACCTCCTCGTCACCTTTTACACCTCCAGACACACGCGCGCGCGCGCACGTGCCCATACAAACACAGACAGGCTCAGGAACATGCAGACCACGAGCCCGCGCGCGTGAGGGTCATATCAATAAGGGGGAAATGGAATGCCGGTGAGGAAATGGGTGTGTCCGCGCTGGAGGCGGGACTATAGACGTGACTGACAGCTGAGGTGACCAGTGAGTGAGAGCACGAGTCTGGGAATTAATGAATGTAAGACAGAGGGAGATGCAGTCAATGAAACAATGAGGGGAAGGATGGGAAATGTCTGCTTTTCAAACTTATCCTCATCAAATCCTTACCTCTTTTTATCCGATTATTTTACAAAAGCTCCTTCAAAATAAAAGCCTTTAACTGTCACTGACCCCCATTTGCTCCAATTGTTGCAGCATATTTGGTGCAAAACATATTTGTAATTCTAGTTGTTTACTTGTCTTGACATAACATTAATCACCTAAACTGCTACGCCCAGAGTTTTTGAGAAAAAGGCAGCCAGGAAAAGTTTGAACGTACCTCATGTATGTAGGGCAGGCGTAGATACAAGACTGGTGCCACATCCTTTGCGATAACGAAACCAGGTAGATGTTTGATGTCAAATTTGGGCTTTCAAAGTGTTTTCATAGCCTGCAACAAATGTTTTTAGAAAACTCTACAGTGTATCTCTAATTTAGCAATATTTGACCGTCCAGAGTCAGCAGGATGAGATTATTTTTCATAAGACATTACTTCAGCACACAGAACCCAAAATTAGCAGTAACTGCCTTGTCCAGAGGGGGCCCCAAATTGACTGTGAGCTCCTCAGAGGAGCTTTAACAAACTTTTACAACCATTTATGCTTAACTGAAGCAAACTATTTACACTTTTTTCTACCTTAGCTATTTTTACTCTCTTGTAACAATACCTTTATTTGCACGTGTGTGTAATAAAATGTTTCAATCATATATTCCTGACTTTCTATACAGCATACATCTACACTTGTTGCTACTATTGGGTTTTAACATTTCATCAGATTTTTCTGTCAGAGGATCATGAGGGGAAATCACCCAGAACCATGTGCAGGATACTGCAGCCTTAAGATAAATAAGCGTACATGATAACTTTTACATTATCAGCCTGCATGTTATGATCACATGTAGTTTTAGCTTTATGTCGCTAAGTTAAAATCCAGTTTTGGTACATTTATATATTTTCTTATTAAAACTTCAGGGAAAAAAAATACTGTATGATAACCTCAACGACAGCCCCACCTGACACAGGTACAACTAAAAACATGTGACATGCACTGTGTTATCGTCATTGGTGTAACTTATTCTGAGTCACATTGTATAGATATATGTCTCCCTCTTGTGGTCAAATATGAGAAGTAAATTTGACTGTCTACATGAAAAAAGTCAGAGTTTTGTTGGGCCTTGAATGGTGGTATCATCACAGTTTTTCAACTCAAACTGGTCTTTTACATCTGATAAAACTGATATACTTAAAAAAATCATATTTGTAACAGACTGTACCACCAAACACACCAAATTTAATCGTCTTGGAGCATCTTTGATTCACTCTCTGGTCTCAAAATGCTTCAGTAAATAAATTTTAACATTGTTAACAAATGACCATCACACATAACAAATTTTGTTTTGGATTTGGGGTCTAAATGTTAGTGCCAGCACAAATTAACTCCATTTTATCACCAGTTAGATTGTACTTTAACCAACATTTTGAAAATTTACCCACTATTTAAGATGATACATTTGTTTATAACCTGCTTTCCTCACCTGTTTCCCACCATTTGACACCCTCTAAATGTAAGGCATTACCATCAGTTATTTTCCAATAAAAAGTGGCCACAAAAAGGATGAAATTTCTGTTTTCTTTCCCAGGACACATGCAGAGTAAATCTCCCTCCAATAGTCTGTCTCTTTTTTTTGTCTAGCCTTTGTCTTCGTCCCTTAATGAAAACCAGACCCTTCACACTACAGGGGCACGGTGTGTGGAGAGTATTTACAGACCTCTACACTCCAGGAACCTTCTGTTTCAGCAGTAATCTGAAGATGGGAATGAATTACAGCTGTTTTATTTTTCTGTTTATACCTCAGAGTTATCTCTCTCTGCCCCGCTCGTCCTTTTACTTCCTCTTTTCCCCTTTATGGATGAATCTGGCGTTGAGGTCGGCTGCAGGAATGTAAAGTAATCTTATAGCCTTCAGGTGGAGATGAAATGTGCAGAAAGGACGTGCGAGTGTTTGAGTTATGTTATTAGGAGAGACGCCAGCTGCTGGTTTACCCTCAGGTCCTTTTTTTAACACTTCTCCTACAGTGAGAGACTGAAATTAAAACATCTTAATGTGCAGGAAATAAGTTTGCGTGTTGGAGGTGAGAAGTCTGAAGATCAGAGGATTAAAATTACTTCTGTGTCTGCACATTAAATCTGTTGGCTTAGTTCAGCATAATGACCTGAAACTAGAGGGAAACAGCTGGTATAGAGAGTGAGAACACTCGCCTGAATCTGACAGAGGCTTACAACAACAAAAAAATCAACAAATGGATCAGGCAGATATGTGAACACTGCATTGATTTCCATTATTGGTGGGGACATTTTGGGAGGATGTACATTCCCGTAAATGTAGAAACACACCTCCTGGCTGTTGTTGAATGACCACATCGGTCTAACTTTGACTTAGAATTTGCAGCAAATGTTGTATTTGAGTTTTCACTGTGTTTTTACTGAACTGTTGTGCTGATCAGAACACTAGGACATTTGGAGTTGCTTGGTAAAGGTATTATAAGGTCATCCGTTTCCAACTCAAGCCCAGATTTAGTTTTGCTTGGCATACTTCAGCTGCCTGTCAAAATGTTGTCAAAATAAATGGAGTGATGTTGAATTTTAAATAAGTCTGATGCTCATTTATAGTTAATGCATTCAATCATGGAAACGACAATCCCTTCACTTGTTTGATCAGTCGAAATGTATCTCCTAACAAAACAACCAATTCTTGTAATGAAATAACCTTAATCTCATAATATAATGTCTTTAATTTCTGATTTTAATCTCAAAACAACCACAGCTGTACAAAGTGCTGTACATAACTAGCCAAAACAACAAGATAAAAAACAATCAAAAAACAATTAAAACAATGGATAAAATAAAAGCAGAATTAAAAGTATTGTTTCAATGCTTTTAAAAACTAATTTAAAAACATAGAAACAAATAACTAAAAAAACAAACCATAAAACACTAAAACAGGAGCCGAGTCTCATGGAGGGTTAAAAGCCAATGAATAAAAATGGGTTTTAAGACGACTTTTAAAAATGGACAGTGTGGGGGCTTCTCTAATTTGGAGGGGTAGCTCGTTCCATAAAATTGGGGCTGCAACAGAAAAGGATCTATCCCCTCTGAGCTTCCGTTTGGACCTCGGTACCTCCAGGAGCAGCTGATCAGCTGACCTGAGGCACCGAGCTGGGGTGTAGGGGTGGAGAAGCTCAGAGAGGTAAGATGGAGCCAGACCATTTAAAGATTTAAAAACAAATAAAAGAATCTTAAAATGAACTCTAAAATGCACGGGTAACCAGTGGAGGGACGCCAGGATGGGGGTAATGTGCTCCCTCTTACGTACTCCAGTTAAGAGCCGGGCAGCTGCGTTTTGAACTAACTGGAGACGTGAGAGGGAGGACTGGCTGACTCCAAAATAAAGTGCGTTACAGTAATCCAGCCGAGATGTAACAAAGGCATGGATTACTGTTTCAAAGTGCTTACGTGAAAGAAAAGGCTTTGCCTTCGCCAGCTGCCTAATATGATAAAAACTGGATTTCACTACCGAGCTAATTTGCCTATCAAATTTAAAATCACTGTCCATCTTAAAACCCAAATTTGAGACGGTTGGCTTTAAATAATCTGCTAAAATACCCAAGTCTACAGGAGGGGTTTCACAAGGGCCACTGGGACCAAAGACCATCACTTCTGTTTTTTTTTCATTGAAATTTAAGAAATTCAAAGCCATCCAGGCTTTGATGTCTTCAAGACACGCCAGAAGTGGAGTGAGGGAGAAAGCATTTCTCTTGTTAAGTGGCACATATATCTGACTGTCATCAGTGTAACAATGAAATGAAATGCCATGCTTTCTTAGGATAGATCCCAGGGGCAGCAAATACAAAGAAAAGAGCAGGGGCCCTAAAATCGACCCTTGTGGAACCCCATACGGCAGTGGAGCAGAGCTGGACTTTGTATCTCCAAGGCTCACACTCATTGTTCTGTCTGTTAAATATGACTTGAACCACTCTAGTGCAGTACCACGGACACCTATAAGGTAGCTTAGCCGAGCCACCAGAGTGTTGTGGTCCACTGTGTCGAAGGCTGCGGTTAGATCTAACAGAACAAGAACAACATAATCACCAGAGTCATTTGCCTGGAGGATGTCATTAAAAACTCTTATTAAAGCAATCTCAGTGCTGTGGCGAGATTTAAAACCAGACTGGAAGACCTCCAAGACACCATGCTCATCCAGAAAGGACTTTAGCTGAACATGAACAACTTTCTCTAAAATCTTTGAAATAAAAGGAAGCTTGGAGATGGGCCTAAAATTGGCCAGCACACTGCAATCAAGGCCTGGTTTTTTGATGATATAACGTCTTTAATTTCTGATTTTAATCTCAAAACAAAACCTTATTCTTGTAATGAAATAACTTTAACCTCTTAACATAACAACTTTAATCCCTTAATATGATGGTTTAAAAAACTTTTTATTTATCCAGTTTAAAAAAATATGCCTCTGATTTCTTGGGTGTCAGCGCTTTCATGACGATGGATTTGGATCAACCTACTTGTGAAACAATTTCACATGAACTGGG